TTTATTTCTTTATTGTACACACCAGTTATTTATAAAAATATGACAGAGGTAATCAAATGTACAAAGGTGAGCTTAATTCTATTAAGAGTTAAGTTCGTTTTTGTACATTTCAGCAAATTCAAAGTAGAAAGGAGCAACAATGTTAGCAGGTAGAGCGATGTACAATATTGTGGAAAATTTTAAACAAACAAACTAGACATAATTAAATTGATTACATTATATTTAATCGTATAAATACACATATACATATACTATTTTTTATTCCGATCATGCAGACGAGGTAGTGAACCATAGACTCACTCCAGCTAGTGAACTCCCACTTCATCTCGACGTAGAAGTCGGGCGCGAGGCTGAGCCGGTGCAGCAGGTCGGGGATGCCGCCCGAGCGCGCCAGCAGCCGCTGGTGGTCGCGCCGCGCCAACACCAGCGCCAGCAGCTCCGCGTCGCCGCGGGCCGTCGCCTCCTGCACCGCTGCAACACCAATGTGGATGACACCTCATTCATCAATTCAAAATTAACAAATACCTTCAAACCCTAGGCAAAACAAAAGTGTCCGTGTGGTATCAGCATAGAATGAACCACTCTCTCTTTCCCATGGATGTGATAAGAGACGACTAAAGGAATTTAAGGGGGGATAGGGATTGTTAGTAATGAGATTTAATAGCCCCATTGCTAGCAATACAACCTCTAACAGATCGACCTCAGTTCCCCCTGGAAACCATAGTGGTTAATTCTTGTTCAATTGGTTACTATGAACGAACCAACCCACCTTCATCCTCACCTTTCACCCTTCACTGGTACCCCGCCAGTGTATACCGATAGCGCAAGCCAATATACCATTCCATCTTCACCCATAAAAAAAGGAAATTTAATGTTGGAGGAAATATCTTTCAGATAAAAAAATCTGAATCAGTTTATAATTTTTTTTTAAAAGAGTTGCAGTTCTGAGGTAACAAATATAAAAAGAAAATTAAGAAAATATACATTGATACTCATAAATACAAACATTTACTAATTCATATTGCAGATTATTAGTGACATAGTAACCATATTTATTTCTTACCTGTCCACCCATCTTTCTCACAGTTGACATCTGCACCGGCATCAAGCAGGGCACGGACTGCTTCAATGTGCCCAAGAGTGACAGCTAGCAGTAAAGGTGTTCGGTCTCGAGGATCTTTTAATTCTATGTCTTCAGTGGTAAACTGAAAATAACAATAATATAAAATTTCTTTATAAGAATATTTAAAAATTCCTAATATAGTAATATATAAATAAACAAGAATCACAGTGTGGTCCAGGCATGGAATAGGCCACTCTTTCTTATCCCATGGGTGTCATAATAGGTGACTAAGGAAGGGCGAGGGATGAGCAACAGCGTCCCTCTTAAAACAACTCCAAAGTCTAACTGCGGTTGCCAATCCACTTGCCAAGCATGGCAACTGCTGGTAAAACCCCCCAAAAGGGGAGGCTTATATTCAGCAATGGACAATTAAAGGCAGATATGATGATAAAAAATATTATACATACATACCAATCTATGAAACTGCTAAACCTATCTTTATAAAATTTTATAAGCATGTATTACTTACTCTATACTTATCCTAAACTTACAGGATCAAGTCAAAACTGTTTGCCAAGTCTACTAGTTTACATATATTTTAATATATAAACCCTTTAGTCATCAGGGGAGATGGGAAAGTATCGTGACTAATTTTTTGTTGTCATGATGGGCTAACTAACCTGCCTTTTCATTCTTACCAATCATCCCTCATTGGAACCATGCCCGCGTATACTGATAGTGCAAGCGGGGTTACCATTTACTCATCATTTACTAGCGACCTGCCCCGGCTTCCCACGGGTGTAATGCTGATACTAAATATACCTACATAATATATAATATAAAAAAGTGGATAAAAATTAATGCTGTATTGCTTAAAATCACTTCGTAAATAAGCCATTTTTTCCCGTAAAATTTAAAGGATAAAAATGATTATTGTGCGTTATCCTTAAGAGATACCACGTCGTTTTATATACCATCGCAGACTTTTTTGTTGACCTTTTTAAGTTGTACAATATTGTAGTACATTATTTTGATTTATCTCCTGGGATTCAGGCAGCGTTTGCATTGTAAGCGAAAAAAAATGTATTTACGACATCACATTAGAAACCCTAAATCATCTCTACCCATGTATACAATAAATCTTTTTTATCATAGTTTTAAAGATTTAAATAGATGAACAGACAAAACTTTGTTTTATACTATGTAGTGCCCTTAGTACTAGTTATGATTTGCTTGTGAATTAGCAGTAATCTTTAATTAATCAGATGAAATAAATCCATACAAGCCCAGTTGCTTGGCAGTTAGCAATTACACATTTATTTTAACATTTCTCATAACAGAGATTAATGCCCAATATCAATTTACATCCAAGTATTTTGTGGCTTACATAGTAATGGAGCCTAAGTCTTTCTATGGCTTCCAGGTTCTATAACAGGATTATTTTTACACAAAATATACATTGATTGTGTGGCTTCATTAATAAACCTTGAAGATTGTACACTTAAACTATTTACAATAAAAACACTGTAACAGATATAAACATGTGATATTTATTTATTTATTTATATTCATGAGTAATACACACTCTTTTGTAGATGATGCTTTTATATTTTCAACCAATTTAATAAAAAAAACAGAGTTTCTGAATTTGGTTGTATTGTTTTTATGTTTATTACCTCTGCTAGCTAGTTCTAAACTGATTAAACTAATCTTTTTTTTATTTTTAAACACATAAAAATTTAACAAAATTGATTCAGTAGCATAGTTTTTAAATCATTATAATTGGTTTTGCCATAATTTTATTGGATTTTTTTGTTGGATTTTTTGTTCCATGCTTATTAAAATTATAAATATTAGTATACTAGTTTTCACTTGCAATTTGTTTGCATTATACACATGAATAACAGAAATCACAGAATAAACTGTGACACAATGATACTTGCTAGGATATGTTGATATTTCTTAGGACTAAGGTAATTTACCTATGTATCTGTACAATAATTGAACTACCTACATCTCACCCTTCAAACTGAAACAGGTGTATAAAAACAACTGATTAACATCAAAAACATGTGAGGACGGATATCCATACAGCCAACTTTCATAATATCTATGTAGGTTATCATTTCTTTGGAATTTGGAACTAGTATGAATGAATAAATGTATATATTTTATTTCCATTATACAATATAGGAAATAAGGAAGACAATTAATTAATATAACAATACAATTGTATAAGTACAGTAAGGCGGTCTTATTGCCGAGAGTAATCTTTTCAAGACAACCTTAGGGTAATGGATTAATTGTTGTATAAGTAGGCATGATAATATTGTATAATTAAGGAAGTTAACAGCATAAAATATTAAGGAAAATAATTATAAGTACCCCTAACAAATTCAAAAAATAAAATTTTCAACTATATACAATATATAACCATATACATGTATGTTAAATAAGTACCTAATACTAGAAATATATTTGTCTCAAAAACTAATACCATATATTGGGATTGTTGTTACAGCACTATTAGTCATCAATTTACTTAAACTTTGTACTATATAAGTTCTTGTATTAGATATTACGGTTCAAGAAAATTTGCAATTAATAAAGAGAAGACTAGATATTAACAAAAATAATATTTTATGGTAAATAATACCTATACACCCCTAGTAAATATTTAAAGGTCACCATAACCTCAAACGGCTTTAGTTCTAATTAGAATCTTATAGGTTCAAACAAAAAACAAGTACCTTGTTAGCCTCTAAAGAATTCTTCAGTTCTTCATGTTGGTTGTTCCATACCATCCAGTGAATTGGATAACGCTGAGCCACCTCTTCTTCAGTCAACGCCATTATATTCCTTTATTTCTATTAACACAGTTCACTTTTTAGAACGCATATTATATCTTTAGTTATTTAAAGGTACAAAAAAGCACTATCAAGTAGTATAGTTTAAACAATAAATTCTTAAAGAATCTCTGTACGGTACAGATTCGGCGGATTTCTGATTTTCTAATTAATTTTTTTTTGTCACCATTATCTCTCTAGCTATCTTGCTCTAGATGTCAACATCTCTCTCTCTCTCTTTCTAATACTGTCGCAATAAATGTTGCCAATATATGTACGTATATGGTATGAATTGTATTAAAAATATTACTGAAATAGCTGTCATTAAAACCATATAAGGTTGTATAGATTTAGAATAATATCTATTAATTGATTTTTTTAATACATCACGAAGTGATCGTACAAAATATTAAATCAGTGATAATGTCTGCATATCAAATTTCCATTTTGTTTAGTAACGTAGCTTTTTCTTCTTTAAGCTTAACATAAAAAATGCAGCTACATGGAGAAAAAAAAGTTAAAAAACGAGATCTAATAATATTTGCAAAAAAAAGAATATTTATGTATCAATACGTACCCTAATATCGGGGTAAATGTCATCTATAAAGAATAGAGGCAAAAATTATTCCTTGTTCTTAGGATATAAATAAGTAAAACCATTTATGTTTATGAAAAATTGTCCTTCTAAGACGTTAAATTAGGATGGCGCTACAGTATTGTTCTTAGAGTAACACTGAAACATTGGTTCAAAGGAATTGGAACAAGGTTCTTAGATTCATTTATTCATTAGGAGCTCTGTTTTAATCCTTACCTATCACACTTCACTAGTGCCCGGTTAACATATACAAATAGCGCAGCGGGGTTACCATTTCACTATCATCCCATAAAAATATTTTCCTTACCTCTATCCTTTATGTTAGCATAAAAATAGTTAGCTGTCAACGTCATTGATTTGTCAAACTTACAGAGCAGGAATTGTTCAGAGTAATTATAACAATATTGTCTATATTTATTTATTTTTTAGTTTATTTTACGTAACTTATTTTCAGCATAACCCTTTATAATTTAACATAAATAAAATGCATTGAATTAACAAGAAATCAAATTCAAAATGAATAATATCTCCTCAAGTTCAGTTCTATATTTCAACCGAATAAGACCAAAAAAATATTGCAGCCTGTTTATCAGGAATATTATATCAACATCTCGAAAGCAATTAGAGGTATGTAGTAATTATTGCTAGAAGTGTCTTCGTGTGTTCTAAGGAATTCACATAACTATAAGCAGTTCATGGGAGAAACTTAAGTTCAGCAGTGAACAATTAATGATCGAAATAAAAATAACGAGGTAATATCTAATTGATTTGTTAATTAATTCGCATGTCTATTACTTGCTAAGTATAAACTGATCCTGAATAGATATAATCTATTATCCTGAACCACTTGCTCTCTTATACATACCATTGTTTTTTTGTTACAGGAATGCTACAAAATACTTAATATACCACCAGATTCAAAGCAAGATGTAGTTCGTAATGCTTTTCTGGAACTAGCCAAGAAATATCATCCAGATTCAGGGTCTCCAGAAGCAAATATGGACAAATTTGTAGCCATAGAAAATGCATTCAGACTGCTGACTAAACATAATACTGGCAATATAGAGGAAGCTGAAAAAATTGTCTATGATATTAAGGTTTGTTTATATTTTTTAGAAAATTCTAACCCACATACACACATATCTGTCCCACCTATCTCCCATTAAGGTAGGGAGAAACAATGGAAAACCAGATGCTTCTATTCTGACAGACCTCTTTCACTTCCTTCATATTTATGAATCTTCTTTCAAGGGGTTAATTCAAAAAACCAAATTTCTTATTCAGATAGAAAACTTTAAAAAGTAAATTATATGGGTTTCATAATAAGTTAATTTTAATACCTTATCCCACATAATTTTGTACTACATTGCTAAAAGGAGAGAAAGTAACATTTATTGTTCCATGGAGATAGATAACTCATGAGTATATTGTGTGGTGCATAAGATTTAGTAAAGAACTTAAGACTCCACACATATTATTATAATACCTGCCTCAGTAAAAATGACAATAGAAGAATTTTAAATTGATATTAACAATTTGTAATCCTTTGTCATTATAAGTCTATAATTTCAGCATACAGCACCCCAACATCGTCAGTACTTAAGTTTCGAAGGTATCGGCTATGGTACTCCGTTCCAACGGCAGAAACAATGGGCACAAGCCAAAGCACAAAGAGCAGCCACCAATGTTATGGAGCATCGTGTTTCCAAAGCTGTCGCTTCTGAAAATGCATTAATGCAAAAAGGCCAATATGCAAAGAAGCATGATATTAAAACAAAGTATGGCTTTGACAGACTTGTAGAAGATTTGATACAGGAGTCAATGTCGAAAGGGGAATTTGAGAATTTAAGTGGCAAAGGAAAACCTTTGAAAGACCAAAATAGAAATCCTTATGTGGACTTTACTACACATAAATTGAATGAGGTTAGTAATAAAAATACTATATACCATAATTTTTTAAAAACTGGAACGTTCTGTTTTATGAAATAAAAAAACTAACAAGACAAATAAAAAAGAATGATAATTCACAAGATCACATCTTTTAATTTAGTTCAATTTAGCATTGAACTAAAATTTGAAAAAAAAATCACTTTATACAATTCACACTTTACCAGATGAAGACTGTACAAAAGTTGTTTGCTTGGGTACCTCTGTCCTATTCGTATTTCTACTGTGAAGCACTTGTGTTTGCATGCCTGTGTTTTGATTTGAAGGGTGGGATATGGCAGTTAATTTATAGGGTACAGAGAAATAACACCTGAGTCCTCAGGAATGGCAACACATGGGGGATATCATGGGCGAAACAGTATACATGGTACTCATGTCTATAGGCGACACTTACCACTTTTCATCAGGTGGGCCATCAGCATGTTTGCCATTCTAAGTTGCATAAAAAAATATATAATAGTGTAGTTAGAAGGATTTTTCTTTCAAAATTTATTCAAATACTTTTTAATTATAGGTGCTCATTAATAATGGTTTCACCCCAGAATGGATAACAATGGCCAAAGAAATAGACCAAGATATAGAAGCGCTAAAAATAGAGGTACAACGCGACAGGATGACATTAGGGCCATATCCCTTAAGTGTCACAGAGGAAAATAAATGGAATCAACTGTGCGATAGCAATAGAAATTTAGCAAAATCTATTAACACAAAAATTAATACATACAATTTAATCGTTCCTTTAATGAACAAGCAAAAATTTCATGTCGAAATAGAGAGTATTCTAGAAGATGCCCTGAAGAATGGTGTGGACAACACAAATAGGCCTGCTGAAGAGAGAAAAGCTGAGCCTGTTGTGCAGACAGCCACTGTTAATGATGGTGAAGACTTGTTTAGTGTATTCATTAAGGCTTTAGGTGAATTGCTGAATTATAAAAAAGAGAAGAAGCAGTGTTGACCATATTAAATATAATATAACATGCGAAACTCCAAATACCCACCTAATGGTGAGGTTTTGTATTTTTCATACATTTACATTTTACTGCTAAGGTTAGACACATACAGTGAAATGTATGTGGTTTTAACTGAATGGAACAACAGTATTGATGCTTGGTAATTGACAATTTGTGGTTTTTAAATTCCCAATTTTCTGGAAAAATAGACTTTAGTTGTAAACAAAAGGGAAAAGTCAAAAATATTTAAATAGAAACATGTCTGTGATAAATATAAATAAATTTATTTAATAATGAAAATAAAATATCAGAAAAACATACAAAATCTTTTATTAAAAAAAACATTATAAGTATTTAAAGTTTAACAATATTACACTTAGTGTAAAATTATTTAAATTTATAATTGTCTTATGTGGAGTTTAAATTGACATATATATACAAAAATATTACAATAAAATTTAAAATTATTATTATATTTTAATAAAGATCAGAAAATTGAGTGTTAAAATCAGTAAAATTCAGATTTGATATGACATAATTTTAATAATCAGTCAATATAAAAATGTTTGAAAAGTAATAAAATTATATAAAGTACAGTATTAGAAAAACATATAAAAGGACTAGGAATAATGATATGTACTTAAAATATTTATTATTATTTTTATAATAATTACAATTATATTGGCATTGTAAATGTAAGTATATTATGCGGGCAGTCATGGATATAATAATATTGGTATGCAGTTGAGATTCAATATTCTTTAATTTGAATGTAATATCAGCCAGATTTAATGCTACACTTATGTATATTTTAAATTTTCTATTTTTAAAAAGATTATTGTGATGTAATTCGTTTATATTATAATCTAATTGAATCAACTAACTAGATCAGTGTCACATATCTAAATAACTTCTTTAACTAAGGTTTAGTTGGACAAACATTTCAATCAAAATAAATTTGGTCCTGCCGCCAATAAATGATGCTTACCAACGAACAGCGTTTATTAACGTAAATAATAAAATGTATACATAGAATATTGATAAAGAATGGGCAAATACAAAACGCGGCCTCATCGCTAAAAGCAATCTCTTATAGATAACCTTACATAAAGTAGTAAGAAACATAATTATGCATTTGGTATTACTTACAAATAAAACGATTTACATTACATACATGCACGCTGTATACCACCCCACAATGTGTCGTCTTTATCTATGACATACGACATGTCTTAAATATTTTATTTAGTATTCTATAATAACAATGACATTATTTCCAGAAAATTTTTAATATCCTATAATATACCATGTATCTAATAAAGAATGTTGATCCAATTTTTATTATAAAATAAGAAGGAATGCGTTAAGTATTTTAATTTTGGAATGTACGAACAAAATATGGATTTTTTTTTATAATTTATTAATAATAATGTCAATAATTTTTAAATTGTTTCAATGGCACTATTAAAAATAAAGCGATTTTAAAACCATATTATTCAAGTTACTGGAAGTAATACGTAGTTCTATGTAAGATAACAGGACTTACTAAAACAAAAGTATTTGACCAGTTTTTAAACAAAAGAAATATGTATAGAATTATTTCATTTCATATACGTTACATTTGGTGCCTTGACCAAGGTTCAAAATTTAATTTTATTTACAATTTGCTGGACATCCTAAGTTTGAATTATTATGTGGTGCAAGGCAAAAAAAAAAAAAACTGACTTGGCTAGCACGATAATAATAGACTAATGTCTTTTTAAAGGGAGAAATTCGTATTCGGCAGTGGTAGTTTTCTTGGCTGTTATTGCAGGTTTACACGATCACAATTTTGCAGTGTAAAAAAAACTTGTTAACTGATTACTTGCAATACTTTTTATCATTATTTAGTTAAATTTATATTATTTAGTTTGATGACACCGAAAAATTGTTATCGACTGAACATGCCAATACAAAGTGATCATCATACATACATAAGTACCTGCAGCATCTACTTGTATGAACGTAAATGGTGAGTTGAGCTCTTGGCATGTTATAAGCGGGTCTGTTACTGGTTAGAAGTACTTATATCTATAAGATGACTCGAAACACCGCGGGGAACAGGTCGGCTAGGAGTACCATATGAGTTCTCCGCGGGGCGATAGCCGCAGGCGGCCGGTGGCGAGCAGTCGCAGGGCGCGAGGGTAGGCGCGATGCTCGGCCAGGTGGATCCGTTCAGTCAGGCTCTCGGCCGTATCGCCGCGCATCACTGGTACACGCTCTTGAAGAATGATCGGACCCGTGTCCATGCCCTCCTGTACCATTCAAATATACGGTTTATCAGCTTTTTTTAATGCGAGTCTACAATAAGAGTACAAAGAATTACAAAGAGTAAAAAAGAATATACAAAGACATACAAAGGATTGAATTGCAAAAGCAATTTAAAAACATGAAAAATCGAAAAAATTAGTAAGATTGTTTTTTTATATACAAATATTTTTTTTATTGTATTATATTTTTTGTATTTATAATAACAAATAAACTGCTGGACTATTGGATTAAAAGTGATATTCGTCGCCTAAAGAAATGAACAAGACCTTTAATATCGCAGAATAATTAATTTTTTTTTTATTTAAGTAAACTTAATAAGAGGCATTTTTGAATCGTCATATTTTTTATGAATTTAAAGCCCAGTCTGAGAAGAACGCCAAGAAACACAGCTGTTGCTTTTATAATGACTAATGGTAACATTCATGATACTTCTTATCCCGAGATTTAAGGTATACTAAAATGACTGTAATTACACTACCATTCCCAGTTATTAAACTAAAACAAGCATGAAAGCGCAGCTTGCAGATTATTCTTGTATTTTATACAAAGTCTGGTTAACTTCAGAATTATAACTGACGGTAGATGCTCTATATAAACTGTTTTCGTATAACAAAATGTACTTACATCGACGAAGTGCACGGTGCAGCCGCTCTCGCTGTCGCCGGCGTCGAGGCACTGCTGCTGCGCGCTGAGGCCCGGGTGGCGCGGCAGCAGCGACGGGTGGATATTCAGCAGTCGACCTTTCCACCTTCACACAACGCACAACGTTTATTTTCTGTTCACCTCAAATTAACATCAGATCTACATATTCTTACACCATCGTAATTTGTAAATACTTGTCAAGTGTGGTAACTACTAGCAAAATTTCTCTTATGGGAGAGGCCTATGTTCAGCAGTGGACAGTTAAGGGCTGATATTGATGATAATATACTTGTCTATATATACACGTACACACACGCACACGTCCACACACACACGCAAATGCCCATGCACACGCACACGCCCACCTACATGCACACTTATGTATACATATATTCTTTATTCTTTATTATACACAAAACATACTGTTAATTACAATTCATTATAAACATAATGTACAAAAGCGAGCTTATCTCTAATAAGAGATTTCTTCCAGCAAAACCTTTCCATGTCAATTGTGTTATTTTAAAAATAAAAATAGGCAGTCATACGATCTGCATATATTGTATAAACGCATAAGTTATGTATACACAAAGATATATACAAAGTACACATTATAAATTACATAAAATACCCTGTAAACATACACATATAAACATATATAAATATACATACACATATATATAATACGTCAGCATAGTGATAAGTAATGCTCTCTTAGACGACGCTTAAACATGCCTATACTTGCCGATTCCCATACACACATATATATATATATATATATATATATATATATATATATATATATATATATATATATATATATATATATATATATATATATATACCTGAAATAACATTTTTGTAATAAATGAATAAATATTTTAAAAATAATTGCAATACCTTTGTACAAACTCTGAGGACAAGATCCGCATGTATCCGGCGAGACAGACGATGTCGATTTTGTGCGACTCGAGCGCGGCGGATATCGCGCGGTCGAACTCCTCGCGGCTGTCGTATTTTGTGCAGTTGAACACCTTGGAATAAAATACATAGAATATCAAAAGCATTTTATATTTAGCATAGTTATTAAACATGGGCAATATGGATACCGATCCAATAACTATATATTGGGTTCCTCTGAACATTGATAGCGGAGAAAAGGTCATCACCCATTTCGATATCGCCAATGTCGGGCGGATATCTGTTTTCAAATTTGTTAAATGTCTGTTATCTAAAATTTTTTTTTAATAACAAACTTTTACATACTCGTTATTGAATCAGTATGTACGAGTAGATATTGTAACCGAAATATATAGATATTGCAATATATTACCCACACCTAATAGTTTTGTATTTTGTGTCATATTATTATAACTTTACATCTTTATATAATTCCTAAACTGCATGTCTATTGTTCCTTGTACTATAAAACAACTAGTTAAATCCAGTCTATTCCAGACATAACCGGTATCAACTGGTGTTCACTCACCAACGTGGGTATGCCGGCCTCCTCGGCTCGTTTGAGTGCGTACGCATTCTTCTTGTTACTAATGACTAGCGCCACCTCGGAGCACATGCACTGCGTGGGGTCGCGCGTTGTGTCTATAAGCGCCTGCAGATTGCTGCCGTTGCCAGAGACAAGCACCGCCACCTGGCGACATGTTTGGACGTGTTAATCACTGGCATATTCTCGACGCCAGCAACCTCTTTATCAACAAGACGAAGAAAGAAGACGCCACGCCGACATACATAAGTACACAGACCATCCGTGTATGACGGCTTAAAATCAAGTGACCCGGAGTTGAAGCCGGGACAAAGGGGTACGCCCCGATCGGTCCAGTCGATCGTAGCAAGGCGAAAAATATAATATTTTGTTAATCTAGCGGAAGATGCTCAGACGCAATGCTCACACTAATATAAACAAGTATTTACTAAGAATAATTTTCAGCTTTATGTTTTCCCTCTTAATAAAATAAAAACAATACTACATAATTGTGCACTGAACTGTGTTGTTTCATTTGTGATTTCAAGAAGTATGTAATTGGTGGATCGCACAGGGTTTCGTCAATAAACAGTAGATTTTTTTTATACAACTTAAAATGGCAAACAAGCCGACGGCTCACCTGATGGAAAGTGGTAACCGTAGCCTATAGACATGAGCAGTACTATGGACATAACAGAATTTTGCACTCTGTTTCGCCGATGATACCCCCCATGAGTTGCTATTCCTGAGAGCTCAGGTGTTATACCTCTGTACCCTGTAAATTCACTGCCATATCCCACCCCTCAAACCGAAACACAGCTGCTTCATGGTAGAAACACGAAAGGGACAGAGGTGTCCAAGCAAACAACTTTTGTACAAAGTCTCCCTCTGGTGAGTAGATGTTAGGTGTAGTGAAGTCGGCCACGGCTGGTGTATAGCATGGTGGCGCACCTTCTTGCTGGGCAGCATGGGCATGCGGCGCGTGAAGTGCACGGCGGACGCGAAGTTGTCGACGACGACGCGGGCGCCGCCCGGCGGCCGCGCTTGAATCGTGCCGATCACCATCGCGCCGAACGACCGTGTTATGTTCATCACCTGCAACCATACGCCGATCAAACACACCAGTGATTGTTAGTAATGCAAACTACCAGTCACATAGCTAGCAATATACCCCATAAAATCGATCATTACGTGGTCCTCTGGAAACCATCATGCTGAAATCCAGATGTATTCATCGCGATGGGCTAACTGACCTGCTTTTTCATCCTCATCTATCATCCCTCACTGGTGCCCCGCCAGCGTATACTGTTAGCGCAATTGGGGTTACCATTCCATTTTCACCCATTGGAAAACAAACCACTAGTATAGGGGGAAGGGATTATTAGTAATGCAGACTAATAGTTTCATTACCAACAATATACCCTGTCAGGTTTATCTCCAAGTTGTTCACCCTGGAAACCATCGTGCTGAATTCCGGGTATATTAATCACGATGGGCTAACTGACCTGGTTTTTCATTCTCACTTATCATTCCTCACTGGTGCCCCGCCAACGTATACCGTTAGCGCGGCCGGTGTTACCATTCCATTTTCATCCATTTATTATATATATATATATTAAATGGATAATTATATATATATCGGTGGCGTATATACGACGGAACTAAAGTTGGGGCGACTTTAGTTCCGTCGTATAACGATGCGACGACGACTAAAGATACGCTAAATGCAACTTAACCTTTTCAATATATGGTTCAACCTAATGGTAAGCTGGTAGAAAATGCATATGGCATTAAGCTCGCCACTTGTACAAAGTTTTATCGTGCAATAAAGAACAAATAAATAAAAAAATAAAAATATAGTTTGGATTAAATATTTCATAATTACCACTTTGTTGACCGGGAATTTCGTCATGGTTGAAATCTTTGGAATTAAACTAAAATTGTGATAAAAACCTAAATACAAAGACTGAAAAGAATTTTTTTTGTTCATGAACGCTTTGTAATCCAAACGGTGTAGCCCGTTGTGGTGGGAGGAAGTACCTACACGCTAGTGCAATGAGGGATTAACTCGTCACCGGTCAGCAAAGTGTTAAGATGGCAACTTTAAATAATGTAGTATGTACTGACATCGGCCTGGTCCTCCGGAGCTACGATGAGCACCATCCCGATGCCGCAGTTGAAGGTCCTAAGCATATCGTCGTCCGTCACCGAGCCCGCGTCCGCGATCCACGCGAACACCTGTAATGACATATATGTACATATAATATTATTTGTTATTATTATATGGTAACATATTTACAGTGTGTGATATGTACACAAGTATTTTTTTATGCAACTTAGAATGGCAAACAAGCTGACGGCCCACCTGATGGGAAGTGGTAACCGTCACCTATAGACACGAGCAGTACCATAGACATAACAGAGTATACCGTTTCGCCCATGATACCCCCCATGCGTTGCCATTCCTGAGGACTCTGGTGTTATTCCTCTGTACACCGTAAATTCACTGCCAGTATAGTGGGAGTGTGAAGATGGAAATTTGTAGAAATCTGTATGGGTGAAGTGACAGTTTGAGAGTAATGGATTGATATGGAAGTATGTGCAGTGAATAGACACGATATCCGTCTCGTATATGGTGTGAGTGCGTACATGTGTATTGTGCGTACGTGTGTGTTGAAAGTGTGTATCATGTGTAAATGTATATCGTGTTACCGCGTGTGCGAGTGCATGCGTGTTTGTGTATACTATTAATATACGTAAGCCACTAAATTATAATACTAAATTTGCATGCCTTTAGATAAGGCGAAATGTGTAGATCTATTATATTTAAGACCATTATTATTATTACCACATTTCTAGCAAATAAATAAATTATTATTATTATAAACTATTATTATTATATGTGTGTATGCGTGCGCGTGTGTGTATGTCTGCGTGTGCGTGCGTGTGTGTATGCGTGCGTGCGTGCGTGCGCGCGTGCGTGCGGCGGTACGTACGGGGTGCACGTTCCACCAGTGCGCGTTGAGGCGCGCGCGCGTGGCGGGCGGCATGACGCGCGGCAGGTTGTCGAGCAGCCCGCCGCCCGTCACGTGCGCCAGCGCCTTCACGCGGCCGCTGCGCAGCGCCGGCAGCACGCTGCGCACGTAGATGCGCGTCGGCTTGATCAGCTCCTCGCCTGCGCACGCATTACCACACCCGGTCACACGCTATACCTCTCTTAGTCCGCCCCATCAGCGAACAAGCCAATGTCTTATTACAAATTCGAATTTCAAAAATCCAAGTTTCAACCTTTCACCTATATTTCCAGAAACGGACTCGTTTGTTAAGAAGTTTTATTTTAAACACTTTCTACGTTTAAAATACATTCTTAGTTTTAAGTACACAGTATACTCTGGTTCACTACATATCCTGATGAATACTATTTATACTAAGAAACAAAAACTAAATAATTCAAGTATTGTCTATATTTTATCGAATAGAATATAAATACAATTTCCTTAAAATCAATTTCAAATTACATAGACCACTCCGGGTACGACATATTGGCAATTAACTGCTAACTTGTACGTGACTTCTCTTTTGAATTTTCAATGAATATTATTTTTGTGCCCCTGTCATTTTTCTAGGATAAATAACTTCTTATCTTACTACAATAAAATATAAATATTTTATTTTTAAAAATTATAAAATTTCTACTAACTGATCCTGTATGATAAGTGTATTGTAAAGTATTGTACACACTTGTCAAATTGTATTGTACATATACATACATAACATATAACATATTTGCTTTTGACGTACTAAATCATTTCTAATGATGAATCTGCCTACAGACTCAACTATCATTGAATTTGTAGAATTGTCCAAAACAACATTATGTTCTGATATGTCGCCTTTAAATATGATTAATATCAGAAAGATATTAAAAAAATACAAAAAAGAAAGAAATACTTACCTAAAGTGAGTCCCTCTCTGCTGAATGGCGCTTTATCTTCGAGCGTGAGACCAAGTTTCTTCATCAGCTTGTGTATCAAACTGAAGCCGTTACTGTGTACACCGTTGGACGGTAGGCCTATTATGATATCGCCCACCTAATAAAAGACATTATAATTTGTAAATACTCGTATTTATTCTCCGGGAGCTAGATACTGGATAGAAATCGGCAATATATACATAGTGGATATGCAAGTATTTAATATTACCTTGACTTGAATGTGTGACGTTATTAAATGAAATTTCATTGACTTTATACCTGTCCTCCAATGTCCGCCAAAATGTGGCGAACAAGTCAAATGCTAATTTAGTTCTTCACTAACTAAACTTTAAGCGGAAGAAGTTAAATAAATAGTTGAAAGTAGTTACTGATATATTTTTAAAAATGTAAGTTATAGGTATACTAACTACTTAGTACTTTTTTTGTGTTTGTTTAGCTGGAGACTGTACTTTTCAAGGGTTGGGAATCTATTGAGACCTTAGTTGAAACCATGTCACATCAGGTAGAGACTATGGCTTAACTTTTCATAATATATATTTAAGGAGTGAGAAGGCACAGCGTACCGCGATGTCGTTAATCTTCGGCAGAATGCGATCACGCTCGACGACACCGAGCGCGAAGCCCGCCACATCGTATACTCCCGGCGGGTACATGCCCGGCATCTCGGCCGTTTCACCACCTGTACACATACATGAATCATTTTTATGCGCACTTTATACACACATACCGAGCAGTAAGTACTTTATATTATTCTCAATTTCGTGTATAATATAGTATATGTCATATATGTGTAAGTATATTTGTTATTTATATATATTTATTCGTTTATATATGTAATTCTAGTACGTATGTATATCAATAATTAGTAGTACCGCATTCGAGTATTCTGACACTTCCCTATGGTTGACTGGGAGAGAATGCTTTTAGCATTAAGTCCGCCATGTACACATATTTGTACTAATGAATAAATAAATAAATAAATACATAGTGTATTGTTGCTCTCTGGTTGTTGCTCTGCTGCACATAAGATGGTGACATTGTGTAACCTTCCGCATCAGTTCAGAGGTTCCAGTAAGAACTAACGTAAAGCAACTATCTTCTCGCAAGTTGATGCACATACTAAATAGACTGTCATAGTAAAAAACATTAATTATACATTTAAAGCAATAATAATAGCTAATGGATCGATTCTAGCAATTCAGCCTTCGAAGATAAACAAAACATTAACCTCACGTAATCCAGTAAGGTCATCGTCATGGACCTGAACAACTGTCCAGTGAGGGGGGAAAGGGATTGTTAGTAATTGAGTCAAATAGCCCCATTACTAGCAATACCCTATCAGGTCGACCTCTACATGGTTCCCCCTGGAAATCTTCGTGGCAAATTCTAGTTCAATTCGTCAGGATGGGCTAACTGACCTGCTTTCAACCTCATCAGACATCTATCACTGGTGCCCCGCCAGAGTATACTGATAGCGCAGACTGGGTTACCATACCATTATCACCCATTAAAAAAAATGCTGTCCAGTGACGTATGTTGTATGATTAAGTTAATAAAGATTAATAATAAGTTAATTAAGATTATCAATGAAAAAATATATTGTAGTGAGAAGGTAAGGTAAGGTTATAAGTGTGCACGGACCAATAAGCGCGGCTGTGGCTTCCTTGCAGCCGCTGGCAACCCCAGCGACGACGGCAGCGGCCACGTCGACATCGAGGCGGCCGCACGCGAAGTAGTCGAGGAAGGTGAGCGGCGCGGCGCCGTTGCACAGGATGTCGTTGACGCACATGGCCACCAGGTCGATGCCGATGGTGCTGTGCTTGTTCATCTTCTGCGCTATGCGCAGCTTCGTGCCGACGCCGTCCGCCGCCAGTACCAGCACCGGGTCCTGGGTATTATAGTTTGTATAGAGACTCAGAATTTTCTTATAAACTTGAAATTGGAAACAAAACGGAAACTAAAAACTCAACGCCTACAAATATGAACAGTACCATAGACTCAGTATCTGTACAATTTAGCACCTAATATAGTGTCGTTACCATAAACTTTGTACAAAAGTCGATTGCTTGGGTACCTCTGTCCCATTCGTGTTTCAACCGTGAAGCAGTTGTGTTTGCATGGCTGTGTTTCAGTTTGAAGGGTGGGATATGGCGTGAATTTACTAGGTACAGAGGAATGACACCTGAGTCCTCAGGAATGGCAACGCATGGGAGGTATAATGGGCGAAACAGTACACTCTGTTATGTACATGTTACTGCTCATGTCTATAGGCGACGGTTACCACTTTCCATCAGGTGGGCCGTCAGCAAGTTTGCCATTCTAAGTTGTATATAAAAAAAACTAAAATTTTTAAATGGTATTGTATTTTAAAGACTTGCAAATTTTTTATTTGTGTATAAATAATAAATTAAACGTATTAAAAAATACAAACTTCCAAAGTGGACTGAATATAATTAAAAAAAGAAAAATAATTCGGATTTTATTGACTGTAAATGAATTGTTATTTTAATTTACATTTTTTTGTAATGTTATAATGTAGTATCTTTTTTTTATACCACTGAGGTGGCAAACAAGCATACGGCCCACCTGATGGTAAGCGGTTACCGTAGCCTATGAACGCCTGCAATACCAGAGATATTACACGCGCGTTGCCGACTCTGAAGAAACCTGTTTACCCCCCTTTTGAAGAACCCCATGCTGTAGCCTCTTGGGAAAACCTCGGCAGGGAGCTCATTCCATAACCTGAGTGTTCGTGGGAGAAAACATCTCTGAAACCGCGTTGTACGCGATCATTCTATATCTATCCTACACAATGCATTTTGTGCTTTGGATAAATAAATAAATATCACAATTTAAATATAATTACCTTGTACTCTTGTTCGATCGCTTTCAATTGGAAACAACCGCCAAACCCGCCAAGACCTCCAATGACACCGGCCCGTGTAGTCGACCTGTTCCCAGATGTACATTAGATTATGTAGGTTTTTTTAATGGGTGATAATGGAATGGTTACCCCACCCGCGCTATCGGTATACACAGGCGAGACACCAGTGAAGGATGATAGGTGAGGGTGAAGCAGGTCAGTTAGCCCATCGTGACGAATCCAACAAGAATTGTTCACGATGGTTTCCAGGGAAAACCACATAGAGGTTGACCTGATAGCGTATATTGCTAGCGATAGGGCTGGAAGTCCGTTACTACTTACGTACGTTACTAACAACCTCTTCCCTCCTAGAGGGAAGTTTTTTTTTGCTGGGTGAAAATGGTATGGTAACCATGCCTGCGTTAACGGGATACGTTGGCGGAGCACCAGTGAAGGGTGATGATGAGAATGAAAACAGGCCAGTTAGCCCATCATTTATCAGGAATTAACCATGATAGTTTCCAGGGGGAACCGCGAGAAGGTCGACCTGGTTGGGTATATTGCTAGCAATGGGATTCTCAGTCTCCATTACTAACAATCCCTTTCCCCCGCCTAGAGGGAGTGTTAGATAATAGTGCGAGTGTGAGGTCATAAGTGCGGGTGTGTTGGCGTGGTATTGGTGGTGGTGGCGTGCGTGTACCTGGCCAGCGGCTTGATGAGCGAGACGAGCGAGTCGCCGGCCTCGATGTCGACGCCGCTGTCCTTGTAGGAGAGTGGACGCGGCGGCTGCGTCGCGGGCCGCGACCACAGCGCCGCCAGCGGCCGCAGCGCCGCCAGGAAACCCGCCACCTCCACCTGCAGCGCGCCTGCAACCCACATCCGGCCATCACATTAATCTTTACATCGATTTAAAGCTAACTTTAAGCTAAATTTACATACATTTTTATTATGCTAACGGTGATATCGTACGACACTGTACCGCGGGAGATAGTATTTACCAGAGGGAGACTTTGTACAAAAGCCGATTGCTTGGATACCTCAGCCCCATTCGGGTTTCAACCGTAAAGATATGGCTGTGTTTCGGCTTGAAGGGTGGGATATGGCGTGAATTTACAGGGTACAGAGGAATAACACCTGAGTCCTCAGGAATGGCAACGCATGGGGGGTATCATGGGCACAATATACTCTGTTACGTCCATGGTACTGCTCATGTCTATAGGCGACGGTTACCACTTTCCATCAAGTGGGTCGTCAGCTTGTTTGCCATTCTAAATTGTATAAAAAAAAATTGCCAGTGATAAAATCCAGCAATTCTATTACGAGCAATAAATTTTACCCTAGAATGAAAATAGAATGCTAACTTCGCATGCGCTGTCGAGATATATATCAATCGCTGTGAAATTATACACGCACTATTTGGGATGGAAAAAGATACAGGCTACTTTTTCTCCCGGTTTGTGAACATATCCCGGTAACACGGACGAAGTCGCGGATAAGAGCTAGTATCTCTACATTACTATATAATTTACTATAAAGAAGTAATATTATTACTTATAATAAATCTGTAGAGTTGTCAATTCTGTACATGAAATATATTTCCAAAATAACTATTGGGGGGTGATTAGTGATCGAAACTGATGCCAAAAATGCAATCAGTAAAATTTTTGTCTGCCTGTCTGTATGTTCGTTATAGAAACAAAAACTACTCGACGGATTTTAACGAAACTTGGTACAATTATTCTTCATACTCCTGGGCAGGTTATAGTATATTAGTATTTTCATCACGCTACGATCAATAGGAGTAGAGCAGTAAAGGGGAATGTTGGGAAAACGGGAGAAGTTACTCCATTTTTAGGATTTCGTCGCGTGTGCAGCCTTAATGGCCACTTTTTAAATTGTAAAAATGTACACCCGTGCGATGTCGGGACATGCCGCTAGTATTAATATATATAGAATATGCGGTACAGGTGATTCGGGACCGTTCCTTGCAGCAGTCTATGGGGGAGGCTTATATTCAGAAGTGGATAGATACGATAATGATGATGTAAAAACATGAACGATATATACCCTTCCTTTTTTACCACTGAAGTGAATATCTCATCAACGAGCCCTAAATCCCTTGTAAAACACAATAAATAGTCACCATCACCACGAAATAGAACTGTAGACCATACCCAGCTTTTCCAGCTGTTCAACAGAGCCGATCACCGCCAGGTCCTTTCCGACGAGTTCCTGGAGCGCCTCGACGTCAGCTTGGTCCGCGATCACCACCATACCGACTCCACAGTTGAATGTGCGCAACATTTCGTACTCTGATACTTGGCCTGCAAAATAAATATATATATAGTTGGGCATTGGAGATGCTTTGAGAGGGGTGCTACCCATCCCTCGGCCTTAATCGCCTCTTATGACACCCACGGGAAAGGAAGAGGTGGCATATTCTATGTCGGGACCGTACGACGAAATTAACTAATTAAATAATTGAATTTACTCAGGGGTATATCAGTAAAGGATAGTAACCAAGAGACCCAAGTAGACTAAAACTGGCCCTGAATCTATGAAGTCTCTTTCTTGCGAAGCAAAATATATTTCGAAATCTTACCTTTAGCTTGAAGCCAAGCGAATATAGGTTTGATATTAAATTTTGAAGCATCCAGCTTGACCTTCAACGTGGGTGGCAATATCCTGGGTATGTTCTCCAATAAACCACCGCCAGTGATGTGCGCGAGACCTTTGATCAGGTCTTTCTTGATAGCTGGCAAGAGGTCGCGCACGTAGATACCGGTGGGGGTGAGGAACTCCTCGCCGAGAGATTTGTTGTCGGTGCTGAATGGCGCCGGCTCGGTATACCTGGTGATGAATGGCATATTCAAATAATTTGCCAGTGATTATTTACGTCCGAGTATGTAGGTAACTGCCGTTAACTGTCCACTGCTGAACATGGCTTTTCCCATAAGGGGTTTTGCCAGTAGTTGCCATGCTTAGCAGGTGGGTTGGCAATCGCAATTTGGTTTTTGGTGATGTTTAAAGATTGACACTACTGCCCATTCCTCCACTACAAGCTCCCTTAATCGTCTGTTACGACACCTACGGAAAAGGAAGGGGTAGCCTATTCTATGCCGGGTCCTACACGGCTTGAGGGGTATCATTTAATGTCCATGGTACTGTTCATGTCTATAGGCAACGGTTACTACTTTCTGTCAGGTGGGCCATCAACTTGCCATGCTAAGTATTATAAAAAAAAATCTTTAAGCCTCTGTCATATATTCCCAGACAACAGAATTATGTGCCTTCCGAAGCCCGCAGTGTCTCTTTAAAAAAAAAACTTGCGTACAACTTGTTAAAAGGCCGGCGACGCACTGTTAACGTATCTCATGTAACACTTCCCACCAAGTGGACTATCAGCTCATTTGGTTCTCTGACAATAAAAACGATCGATTTGAAGGTGCACTCACTTGAGGTTGTTCTCGGTCATGATCTTTTGCACGAGGCTGTAGCCGTTGCTGTGCACGCCGGTAGAGGGCAGCGCCAGCACCACGTCACCAGGCCGCATGCAGTCCGTGCGAGGTAGCTGCCGTGCGTTATCCACCACGCCCACTGCGAAGCCAGCCAGGTCGTACTTGCCCACCTCATACATCGACGGCATCTCTGCTGTCTCACCGCCTGGTTGGAATAATAATTTTATAAGTTTTTTTTTTATTTATCCTAACTAACAGTTATTTTTACTCCTCTCCATGTTGTCTACCTTGGAAACGATCGTGCCGAATTCCAGGTGTTTTTATCACGATGGGCTAACTGACCTGCCTTTTCATTCTCACCAATCATCCCTCACTGGTGCCCCGCCAAGGTATACCGTTAGCGCAGGCGGGGTTACTATTCCATTATCATCCATTAATAGCCTCCTGCTGCCAAGCTGTTATGCCTACAAGACTGTTTCGGTTTGAAGAATAGGGTATGGCAATAAAGTTACTGAGTACAGAGGTATAATATTTTAGTCCTCAAGAATTGTAACATATGAAGAGAACCAAGGGCAATATGCCTGTAGGCAATCCTACCATTTTCTATCAGATGGCCCGTCAGTCTGTTTGTCATTTCAAGTAGCATAAAAAAGTCAAGTGTAGTTCAAAAACGGACTTTATTGCGTACACAATAGAGCACACCCGCAGAGTACACAAGTATCGCCAACGATACATACGATAATTGTGGGTATATTGACTTATAATCTCCCGCACTCGATGTACTCCGAGAATGTTACGGGAAAATAAACCTTATTGCATAACTACTAACATGCTAAACCTAATTGCATACCCAATAGAGCACATCCAGAGAGTACACAGGCATCGGCAATGCCACGAACGATAGTGGTGGCGACGTTGACCTGCAGCCGCCCGCACGCCATGTAGTCGAGGAAGGCAAACGGCTCTGCGCCCGCGCACAGGATGTCGTTCACGCACATCGCCACTAGATCTTGGCCTAGGGTATTGTACTTCTTCATTTTTTCAGCGATCTGGGAATAAATTGGTGTTAATTATTGATGACAAAACTAGAGCAATCAGTAAGAATTTAATAGCAAAAGATTTCTAGAAATAAGGCGATAACAGCTACTAAGATATTCAACAAAATGGAATGTAGTGACCAAGTAAGATTGCCATTGATTGGTGCCACTTCTATACATTCTGAGGATACTTTTTTTATAGTTCGTGGCACAGTATCCTTGCTGTTGGATAAGTTCTCGGGATGTTGTAAGTAGCGAATACAGGAACAAAATATAATACGTCAATGTAATAAATTGCCCAACATGATAATAGCAGACTGAAAAACTTGTATCCATGGTTACGAATTAATACAATAAGTAGGCTAGCATCTTTCTTTTGCTGAAAGAAACTAGCTTCTAACGATGGGATACATTAATATCCCATTAACCTATTAAGGTTGTCTGGATTGTGAGTTGACAGATTTTTACGTATATAATTATTTGCCGTATGGTCCTGGTATATTATAGGTTATCCCTTCCTTTCCTGTGAGAGTCGTGGGAGTCGTAAGAGGCAACTAAGGACACTTAATGTACGAGGGAGGGGGGGGGGAGAAGGGATTGTTAATAATAGGGATTCGTATATTTTTATCCAATTCTTACTTTTAATTTGGTGCCGACTCCATCTGTTCCCTGTACGAGCACAGGATCCTTCAGGCTCGGGTCCATAGCGGACAGCTGGAATAGTCCACTGTAGCACCCCAACCGGCCCAGTACCCCCCGTCTGTGGGTAGCCGTGGCGATAGGTTCAATCTCACGGACCAGGGTCGCTGCAGCGTCAATATCCACTCCACTTTGTAGATACGAGAGCCCATTGATTCTGGTAAAAAAAAAAAAAATTCTTACTACATCTGAACCAGTGGATGGATGCAGGAATCTCCGAAGACGCAGACGAACTTATAACGACCGTAACTATGGAACCAGCATGTATGCTTGAGACGAAATATATGGATGAAGCCAGAAATGTATAGAAGAATAAACACCCTAAGCATTTGGAGTTCTTTCTGCTTATCCCGCGAGGGATTTACTTGTAGTGTAAAGAAATATAAATTACTATATTAGAACATAAGCCTGCCCCTAGGGGCGGTTTTAGCCCTAGAAAGACAGGCGTGTTGGCAACCGCTTTTAAAGATATTTTAAGTAGCTCTGAACTTTCATTATTTCTACTTTAGACAATATGTCAAATCCTATTTAATACGGTTCACAGTCATGATATAAATATGAACTTTTAACCCAATACCTAAAGGAGTGATATAAAGCAACAGGTATTGGTCATTGTACTCGCTGTCGTCAAAATGGCAACTAATGTTTACGTTCACAGGGCTAGTCTCAAAAGGAACTTCGACTACCTCGTCTGAGAATACAGTTATCAGTATAATATATAGTTTTTTTTTTTTTGTGCTATGTATTGGATTTGAGTTCACAAGCACTTGCGTTTGCGCTTTTGGTGTACGCTCATGTATGCCAAGGTTTGCAGCTGGTTGACTTATAATATGGATAATGGATTTGGGCTTCAACATTAAGTGGGTACTGAGAGTATGACTTTTAAGATCACCTTTCAGATACGGATTGATGGACGATGAGTTACCATGGTGAATTTTAGATTTACAGGTTGACAGTTGATGGAGTCGAGAGAGTTACCAGAGGGAGACTTTGTACAAAAGTCGATTGCTTGGATACCTCTGTCCCATTCGTGTTTCTACCGTGAAGCAGTTGTGTTTGCATGGCTGTGTTTCGGTTTGAAAAGGTGGGATATGGCGTGAATTTAATGGGTACGGAGGAATAACATCTGAGTCCTCAGGAATGGCAACGCATGGGGGGGGGATGTGTATTATGGGCGAAACAGTATACTCTGTTATGTCCATGGCACTGCTCGTGTCTATAGGCGACGGTTACCACTTTCCATCAGGTGGGCCATCAGCTTGTTTGCCATTCTAAGTTGTATAAAAAAAGTCGATAGAAAATATTGGAGAAGGTTTGAGAGTTTATGAAGAGGGTGAGTATTCATATTATATAGTTAACTATTGTTGTATTGTATATTAATAGTTAAAGATGCACTATATAACATTAACTTGTCGGGGGGAAGGGATTGTTAGTAATGGGGAGGTTAGTCTCCATCGCTATCAATATACCTTATCGGGTCGACCTCCACGCGGTTCCCCTGGAAACCATCCTGACAAATTTATCCTTGAATTCGTCATGATGGGCTAACTGACCTGCCTTTTCATCCTCACCAATCATCCCTCACTGGTGTCCCGTCAGTGTAAACCGATAGTGCAGGCGGGGTTACCATTCCATTATCATCCATTAAAAAAAAATTTACTTGTCAATGTAATAAACCAGTGTGCTACAAGCAACGTGCTGTTTCACTTGTCTCGTATGGTGTATACGAGACACAGTAACAGAGCCACTGTCATCCAACAATGCTGTTTGAATGGTTTCCTTTTAATGGATGATGAAATTGTAACCCCACTTTCGCTATCGGTATACGCTGGGGGGAATCAATAATTGATGATATATGGTGATGAAAACAGATCATTTGTCATCATCATAACCAGGTCAGCCCGTTGTGGCTAATTCATTTAGGAAGTAACCACGATAATATCCAGGGGCCACCGTGTGGAGGTCGACCTTGTAAAGAATATTGCTAGCATTGTAAAGAATACGGCATTAGGCGCGTGTTACCGTCCCTAAAGAAACCTCTTTATCCCTTTTTTGAAGAACCACATGTTGTGATACATAATATATAAATATATCAAAAAAGTGTGCAAAGCCGGGTCTGATTGCTAGTATTGTATTTTTTTATTTTATTTTTGTATTATGCTGTTCACATCTATCGGCAACTATCACCACTTTCCAATAGGTAAGCATTCTGCTATTTTAAGTTAAAAAAAAATACTTGGTGAAGAGGGGTTGTTTGTAAAGGGGAAGTTAGTCTTCGTTGCAAATACCCTGTCTTTTTTAATAGATAATAATGGAATGGTAACACCGCCTGTACTAACGGTATACACTATTTCTAACAATGGGATCGATAGTTTGCATTCCTAACAATTCCTTCCCCTACCTCAATATGTCCCGTCAGGTCGACCTCCACGCGGTTCTCCCTGGAAACTATCGTGGTTAATTCTTGTGAAATTCGTCACATTGTGCTAACTGGCATTCTTTCATCCTCACCTCCCTCACTGGTGCCCCGCCAGTGTAAACCGTTACTACGAGCAGGTTTTATCATTTCATTCTCATCCATTAAAAAAAAAACTCCACACGTGTATAAATTGTTACATCTGCAAGAATTATAAATGTCGTATGTATTGTACTGATACTCTGCCAATGTATACCGTTAGCGTAGGCGAGTACACCATTCCAATTTTTTTCTTTTTGATGGGTGAAAATGGTATGGTAACCCCGCCTGCGCTAACGGGACACGCTGGCGGAGCACCAGTGAAGGGTGATAGATGAGAATGATAACAGGCCAGTTAGTCCATCATGATGAATTCATCAGGAATTAACCATGATAGTTTCCAGGGGGAACCGCGGAGAGGTCGATCTGGTTGGGTATATTGCTAGCAATGGGATTCTCAGTCTCCATTACTAACAATCCCTTTCTTATGTAAAGCAAATCCTATCATGCTTCGTGTATACAGCCGGGTCTTTAACCTTCTAGATCTATGAAACAGTACCTTAAATATCGTGCAAAATGCGGATTATATTATAAAACACATATAAATGTAAATTTATAAAGCAGATAGCATTTACAATTAAAGTTGTTGGTCACTAAACAAAAATGGCCACGAAATAATAGATGGCGCTAGAATCGCAAGTGGTTTTTTTTTAATTATTTTGTAATTAAAGACAGTTTGAGTCAAAATTCCCAAATTGGCGAATGGTTTTATTTATTTTTTATCGATATAGTATTAATTTATCACAATTTTTGTCTTTATTCTTTTGCATTGTACAACTTTAAAAAAAAACACATGCTGGCTTGAAACATTGCGGTTGTGTGGGTTATAATTCATTCATCAAAAGATCGCGTATTATCTATCACTACACATTCGTACATAATTATAAAAACCGCCCGCCAATTTTGAAATTTTCTATAAATTAACTTTAATTACAAAGTAATCAACAAAAACCACAAGTCTCGATACCAGCGCCATCTAGTATTTATTGTTTAATTTTGTTTGGTAACCAACCGCCTAAATAAATATGCGGGTAATATAAATTAATTAATTATATAATAATTATAGGTAACTTCATGAATGTTAATTTTAATATATTTCAATCATTCTTATATATTCCAATTGATACTTATATATAAAAAAATAATAAATGTATGAAAGCTACCCTTAATCCAATGAACTTAAACAAACTCTCCAAAAAGCTAATAAAGATATTTGAATAAACACCAACAACATTAGCACATTAAACAATGGATTAATCGACATAGAACATGCAAAGATTACCTACACACGTTTGACCAATGACAATCTGCCACTTTTAATGTCTATGGAAATGCAAATGAAAAACAATAACATAAAGCATAGAGTATTTATTAAAAAAAAAAAAATAACAAAATGAGATTCATGGTTTGAGACGAAACATGATGTATCTCGGAAACAGACAACGGGAATGTACAAGGATGCCACAATCTAACATTATGTCTAACTTGTAAGATTTCTTACCGATATTATCCTTATTAGGCAAGCTACGACAAGAGCGAAAGTTAAATTTAAAAATGGAACTATCATGGAATGTTTATGGTATGAGAGTTTAGCGCCATCATTGGAACCCTCTGAAACAAAATGAAAATGTAAAAATAACGAGAGCAAGAAATGTAAAAATTAAGAAAATATTTCTTTGAAATATACAATCAATCTCATTAGAAAATAATATAACAAATTGTTCTCGATGCAAACAAATTATAAAACAATAAAATATACCAATCAAGACATATCTCTTCATTAATTCGTCTTCTCAATTCAAATTTTAATTACCTTTAAAAAGAAATTGAACAAATGTATGAAACCATAAATCCCAGACATTCTTGACGAATTTAATATATTTATGTATAGCAAATTCGAACAGAAAATTTAATTAAATACTATGATATACATATATATCGTAAAAATTTAAATAAATTTTTATTATATATACATATGTATATATTTGTTTCCTATTTTAATTAACTATATAAGGATAACAAGAGGTTTAAATTATTACATATTTAAATTATGTTCAAAATCCAAAATTAAAAAAAAAACAATAAAAACCTACGACACCCTAATATGTCACATACACATAAAATTATAATCTTTCATTCAATGCTAATCACTCATTCATTCATTTTATAGATCCATACACAAATTCCACAAAAACAGAAGTAGAATGTACGTTAAAATTTCATATCATGTGAACAAGGCTGTTGGTGTTGCTTAAATAAATAAATAAATAAATAAACAAGGAACTACTGTAATGCTAGCCAATTTATCCTCATAATAAATCAATGAATTTATTTAAATAGGATTCTATTTTTATACTAGCTGCCCGTTCCAGCTTTGCATGGTGTACTAATGAAAAAATGAGGCCTAGTCCTCCCTTTATAATACAACCGATCTGATTCTGTCAATTCTAGCAATATAATTGAAGATCTCGCTACTGTCTTGTCTCACTCACTCGCTCACTTTTTCTATATGGATATTTTTCAATCAATTTTTCAATTTTCAAACGTTTCCTTTCATACAAACCTTGTCCTGACAATATTGTACTGAACTAAGCGTTATTTTTATTTTTAATGAAACAAAATAATTCAATTCGACTCTCTTGACCTGACAATTAAAAACACAACAAAGCGCTTACATATATATATATATATATATATATATATATATATATATATATATATATTTATATATATATATATATTTATATTTATAAACATAATAGATAGATTTGATAAATAAAATTAGTAGATTAGTAAAATATACTGCAACATTATAGTATAATACCCTTTATACGACGCCATCCCTGAGGATTAGTATTGCCTCTGTACCTTATAATTGCATTGGCATACTCCACCTTTTAAACCTAAGCACAGTCATGCAATTATAGCAATTTGGCGATGGAAAGACAAGTACCCCATGCACATGAAGTTATAATATCACAGATAAAAGAACTCTTAGGGGGACAGGGATTGTTAGTAATGGGGAAGTTAGTCCCCATTACTATCAATATACCCTATCAGGTCGACCTCCACGCGGTTCCCCCTGGAAACCACCGTGACTAATTTATCGTTGAATTCGTCACGATAAGCTAACAGAACTGCCTTTTCATCCTCACCATTCATCCTTTACTGGTGCCCCGCCACTGTATACCGACAGCGCAGGCGAGGCTACCATGCCATTTTCACCCATTAAAAAAAAACAGCTTCTGCTAACAATCGTACTGGTCGACCTCCACGCAATTCCTCCTGGAAACCATCGTGGTTAATTCTTGTGGACTTCGTCACAATGACTACATAACTACATTAAGAATTAGCTACGATAGTCCCCAGGGAGGACTGCGCGGAAGTAGTTCTGACAGGGTATTATTGTTAGCAATTAATATCCTCATTATCATCAATTTCTGCTACTCTGGACCATTACTACCCCCCCCCCCCTTCGATGACTGTCCACGATAAAATGAGTGGGCAAGGCGACTCACTTGGAGAAGGCGCGGTGCGCGATGTCCTTGCGGTAGTGCGCGCCCGGGAAGTCGATAACGGAGGCGGCGGCCGTGGCGGCGGCGGCGGCGGCGCGCAAGGAGGCGGCCCGCGCCACCGCCAGCAGCACGCGGCCGCCCCACGTCACCAGCGTACCGTTGGCGCCGCGCGCCACGCCGCTGTGGAACACCGTCAGCCCCGGCGTCGCTTGCACCTGGCTCAGCCCTGCGGTAACCACACGACACGTGCTATATATCTGCGAGTACCACTGGTCACGGCCAGTCCGAAACTTTTTAAACTATTCTTAGTATTATATATGCCTATGAATATAATTTTTTTTTTATACAAATTAATCCATTACCACTGATAACGCAGCCCTTGGTGGAAGTTTCTGGGTATCCTTTAGATGCGATCACGACGCCCACTGCCGACAGTTTAGTGTTCCACGTTACTTGTAACTGCTTCAGTGTTCCGTTGACGCAAGCCTGCAGAAAAATGGTGGAATTTAAATAAGTGCTTCAGACAAACTGCTAGGCCTACCAATGAGATATGGCAACATTTTAGTATTCAGATATGCTCCCATTGATGTCACAGTATATTTTGTAATGATCAAGGTGCTATTCATATATATAAATGATGGTTGCCACTTCCCATAAGATTTCCCACTAGTTTCGTTTCAGCGTCTTTCTTAAAACATTACTAAAAGCCAAATTGCGGTTGCCAACCCTCCTGCTAAGCGTGGCAACTACTGGCAACCCCCTCCCCCCATGTTAAGCAGTGGACAGTTAACTGAGACAATAACATGGGCTGTATTTTTATAAATTACTAATTGGGAAGTTCGGGTGGGTCGCTAGTAATATTACGATTGGGTCATTTTGGATTTTGGTTTTCTATCCTATACACCAAAACCTGCATATAATAAGAATCCTGTGAACAAAATGTTATAAAAATATCACCTTCATAATTTTGTAGAGGTCTGACTCGAGCAGTGTCATCAGCACCTGTGTCTCCGGGTCTCCGAAGCGACAGTTGAACTCCAGGGTCATCGGGCCTGCCTTGGTGACCATCATGCCAGCGTAGAGTACACCTGGAATGTTAAACTCTCATTATTGTAATTCAATTTAATAGGGAATTTCCAAAATTTAGCTTGATTTTTTTGCTTTTTCCAATTTTGGCTATTTTTTTGTTTGGTTGTGGAGTTGATTTGGTGTTTAGGTTTCGTGAGTCGATGATGCCCCGTCTTCGTTATTGAATACAGCTGGTGAGGCTCCCAGAACAACATTGGGTATTTGGCCACCCTGTTATCACTTACTGGTGCCCATTATCATTCATTTAAAAAAAAAACAACATTACAATCACCATTACCATTCCATTATCATTCATTTAAAAAAAAAAAAAACAACATTACAATCGAGTAATAAACAACGAAGCTACAGTTGTTTTAGTGAACGAAGCCCTGGTACGAATAATCTCAAAGAGAGTAACAAACATACATCCAACCTTCCAATTTTTCGCATTTATAATACTTATAGAATATTTTTTTATTTTTTTTCTGGTTCTTTTATAAGCGCATACTACTAAACACCTACTTTTTTAATTTGTTAATTATTGTCAAATTTATCGAGATTGGCCAATTGACGTGACTTCGTCCTCACCTATCATCAGTCACTGGGTGTCCGTCAGCGTATACCGATACCGCAGACGAGGCTACCATTCCATTTTAATCCATTAAAAAATAATATAAGTAAAAAATAAAGTAAAAAATGTATTTATTATCAAAGTATGTTTGTATAAGCACAAAGTTTGACATTGATTCCTACACTAGTCTTAGCCTGTCCTGTAGGAAACGGTTTAGAAAAGCCTTGTGAATGTGAATGTGAAAAAGACTCCATTTTCCGCGCTTAGCCTCTCATTTGGGCCATTGTGCGTATGAGTCGTGGCTAGTGCAGTCAACCTAGCTCCGCCCAGAAGCGCAGAAGCTTCCTGGGTTCTTCACAAGCCTCACGGAGCGACCTCACCGTTCCGTTAGAACAGCCTTTCCCAAAGTGAGCGATAACGCCCCCTTGTGGGCGCTGCAGGCCTAAAGGGGGACGGTAAGAGACCCAGATAAAAATGGGGGTGTTATGTAGAGGCTTGGGGGGTGATTTATTGATCTTGAAGTAATAGTGGTTTTTAAGTAGGTGAAAAAATGGGGGCGCTAAAAAATAATTTAATCTCCAAGTAGACAGCAAACAAAAGAAGTTTGGGAACCCCTAGTTTAAAATATGGTATGTAATAACTTTTTTTTTACACAACTTAGAATGGCAAACAAGCCGACGGTCCACCTGATGGAAAATGGTAACCGTCGCCTATAGACATGAGCAGTACCATGGACACAACAGAGTATACTGTTTCGCCCATGATACTCCCCATGCGTTGCCATTCCTGAGGACTCAGGTGTTATTCCTCTGTACCCTGTAAATTTACGGCATATCCCACCCTTCAAACCGAAACACAGCCATGCAAACACAACTGTTTCACGGTATAAACACGAATAGGACAGAGGTACCCAAGCAATCGACTTTTGTACAAAATGAATAATTTAGTACAGAAATGTAATAGATCACAACTTCATACGAGCGATTGCACAAATATGTTACTATTAAATCATACTCGTTATCACCATACGGTTGATCGTCAATAAACAATGGCAACAACTGAAATCACTTGCTGAACTCTCATCACCCGATGTGTATTAATGAAAAACACACCCAACTCCATGACAACAAGGCTCATTATCGCAATGACTAGCGACATAACTGAAAATATGTGTTTACGATGCTTTATCGACGTTTATCTGCTTAAATATGGCTGTGTAAATAGGAGGCAAACAAACAATTGTAGGTTAAAGGCGACTCCACGTATCTCTTTGGTTCGCATGACGTAATCACGAAAGTGAGATTAGAGTAATTTAATGACTACCAAAATAAAGAAGTTCGCAAATAGACTTCAAAAAAAAAAAGGAGATTAATTCAGTGTTTATATATATATATATATATATATATATATATATATATATATTTGTTGCATGCCTCATAACTCCGTCAGTTATAAACCGATTAGGATTTTTTTAAATTTTTTTATTTATTTATTTTATTCTTTATCATATAAAAAAAATTTGTACAATTATGTATGATGATAGAAAGTGGCAACTGTCACCTAAAAACAAGAACAGTACAATGGACATAACAGAATGTACTGTGTCAAACATTCGCCTATTGAATAATCCTTCATGTGTTGCCATTCCTGAGGACTCAGGTGTTATTCCTCTGTACATTCTAAATTTATACAAATACTGATAGGACGTTTTATATACAATTTTGTGCATAACTATCTATTTCATGAGAGCGCCCTCTAGTGTCCAATTCAATAAAGGCTCTCACTGGACACTGCAAATTAAACAAGCACAACTAGGCTTATGCCCAAATAGTGTTTGCAGATTTTGTCACAATGTGTAAGAAACGCCGCAGCACTTAATTCGTGACTGTAGCGCACTCATACATACACGACATATTTCTATTGGAAACTACACTTTATATTCTGAGACATTTTTTAGTTTTAGAATCACGAAGTTTCTTTCCTAACAATTCTATACAAAATATCGCATTTAATTCGTCATAGTCGTAGAATACTGACGGATCTGACAAATATTACATATAAAGATCCGTCAATATTCGTTTATTTATTTATTTATTTTTTGGAAAACGTACAGCTGAATTACAGTCAATACATAATCAAATTTATACTTTATACCGTAAGTGGCGGAAACCACCAACAAATGCATTCCCAAAGAGGGTTGACGTCAGGCAGGTGGCCGGTCGTAAAACTAAAAAACCAAATCTTTTTGTAATATGGATAAAATCATATTACGCCGACCCCAAATGGTTGGGATAAGGGTAGGAAGATAATGACATAATCAAATTTATATCAATGTTAAGCCATGAATCGTTTTCACATTATTCTACGACTATGACGAATTTTTGGTGAACTCATCACGATGGGCTCACTGTTTGGCTGGGAGAGAACGTTATTCAAATAAATTTTTTGATTAAACATTTCTTTGTAAAGAAATAAACAAATAAATATACCTAAACTATTGTTTTTTTTTTTACCATAATATCATCAGCATTACTACTCGTATCTTTACAAATTTTCTGATAACGCCATTTTTTATATGTTTTTTTTTTTATTGAATGCGATTAACTTCCTCGGTGACAGGATTAAATTTTGTTTTCAAACGACTTCAAAAATAAGGAGGTTCTCAAATCGGTTGTATTTTTTTATATTTGTTACCTCATAACTCCATCAGTTTTTTTTTTTTATACCACTGAGGTGGCAAACAAGCAGATGGCCCACCTGATGGTAAGCGGTTACCGTAGCCTATGAACGCCTGCAATACCAGAGGTGTTACGCGCGCGTTGCCGACCCTGAAGAAACCTCTTTACACCCCTTTTGAAGAACCAGTCAATTACAAACTGATTTGAATATTTGAATTTTTGTATATATAAAAGGGTATATATAAAATATATATAAAAATATAGTACCGCATTCGTGTATTCTGACACTTCCCTATGGACTGGGAGAGAATGCTTTTAGCATTAAGTCCGCCATGTACACATATATGTACTAATGAATAAATAAATAATTTGAAAGTATTCATCTGTATAATTTGTACTGTTCGAGGTAAGGGTCCTGGTGACTTGATATACAGGTTTAACACCTAGTACAGGCACCAGCTCCCACAAATAATATTGTTAAAATATTTTGCAAGTTATAGATATTAAGTCCTTAATTGTTTGTGGTGAGAAATAATAATAATAAATAAATAATGTAATGTAAATTGGATTCTCTTTTCCGTGCTTAGCCTTTTATTTGAGCCGAATAAATAAATAAATATATTTATAAATTTTATCTATAGAAATTTTATCAAAATTAGTTCAATAGTTTAGTTTTTAAATTAAAATACAGTTATTTTCATATAAGAATAAAATAATAAAAAAAAAAAAATACTGGTCCCGTCACCTTTCTTATGGAACACAGTCTTAACTATATTAGAAAGCTAAGTCACCATTAGAAAGCTACATTCACCCTGAGTAACATAGGCTATATTTATTGCTAGAAAATATTAGGGATCTTTACTAAAACTTTAGTAACGTAACTCAAGGTGTAAAAAATGTTATAAAATATCTTTCGTCGCGTGCGCTGCGGTAACTATTGGTGATAGAACAAAAGTATGTTCTACAATATCGAAGAAAATATCAATAATTACAAAAAACTTCGCGATACTATGTGTTCAACTATTATCGTTATGTCACAATAACCACTTTTTAAAATGTTGTAAAAATATCCACCCGTGCAAAGCCGGGACGGGCCGCTAGTAAAATATAAAATAAAAATAACTTTACAAATTAATTACAGTTTTTTTTTTATACAACTTAGAATGGCAAACAAGCTGACGGCCCACCTGATGGAAAGTGGTAACCGTCGCCTATAGACATGAGCAGTACCATGGATATAACAGAGTATACTGTTTCGCCCATGATACCCCCCATGCGTTGCCAGTACCTACATGTCAATATAATGGTAACTACATGTCAATAATGATGACTAAAAGTTATAAAATTGGAATTGTCACATTTATTACAATTAAATATAAATAAATAATAATATGTCATAATTTAAATTAGGCATTTAGAATTTTTTTATAACGGATGATAATGGAATGGTAACCCCGCCTGCGCTATCTGTGTACACCGGCGGGGCACCAGTGAGAGATGATAAATGAGGATGAAGTAGGTCAGTTAGCCAATCGTGACGAATCTAACAATTTAGCAATCACGAATGTTTCCAGGGGGAACCACGAGGAGGTCGATCTGACAGGGTATATTGCTAACAATGGGGCTACTAATCCCCATTACTAACAATCCCTTCTCCCCCCGGCATTTAGGTATTTTTTTGATGGGTGAAAACGGTATGGTAACCCGGCCTGCGCTAACAGGATGCGCTGGCGGAGCACCAGTGAAAGGCGATAGATAAGAATGAAAACAGGCCAGTTAGCCCATCATGATGAATTCATCAGGAATCAACCATGACAGTTTCCAGGGGGAACCGCGAGGAGGTCGACCTGGTTGGGTATATTGCTAGCAATGGGATTCTCAGTCTCCATTACTAACAATCCCTTTCCCTCCGGCATTTAGATATTCGGTCACGTTGTAAAAGGGATGTTGCTCAAAATATGTCTTAATTTTATTTTTAAATATATTTCTTGTCAATTGTGCTATTGCTTTGGATTATTTATTATAAATAAAATTCTGGTGTCACGGTGTTTGTTACCAAACTCTTCCGAAACGGCTTTACCGATTTTTATGAAATTTTGTGTGCATATCGGGTACGTCTGAGAATGAGCCAACATCTATTTTTCATATCTCTCTATGATAGGGATGACCCACCTTTAAATATATTTTTTTTATTTTTTTGACAATTTTTTTTATTTTAATTTTAATATGATTTAGCATTGAAAAATACATACAGATTCAAATTTTCAACCTTTTATGATCAACCCCTGTTGTTTAATCGCAATTTTTATATGCCGCAATAGGGTTGCAAGATGACAATCGAATATAATAATTGTAGTACGATATATTTTCATCTATAGATCTAGAAATAATGTTTATGGTAAAATAACGTTTACCGAGTCAGCTAGTTTATTATAAATTTTCATTTTTAGACGTATGTGTGTATTTATACTATGTAATAATAGTGTCAAGCGTGCGACCTCTAACCTCAGAGCAAGCGACGGCTCGTGGCATATTCATATTGCACACGCGTCCAATGCAAAGTAATAAACTCTAAGATAAAGTGCTCCACCGGATCCAACTTCTCTAGAAAGTTCTTCGGTTCCTTGGCAACGAAAATAGATGGCTTTGTACATAGCACATGGCAAATGAAACCTTGTGACTGTTGTCTTAGAGAATGTATTTGAAATTCACACAATTTGCTTAGTCCGCAGACTATGAAATGTTGTGTGTTATACGAAATCAGGCATAGAGTTCTATCGTGGAAAAACACGCCCCGATTAACGACGTTGTTAAACACATTAGATTGAAATGATTTGAATTTAGAATGTCGACACTGCATTCTAAATTCAAATATTACATTAGTACAAATAGGTTTCTAAGAGGAGGTTGTATTTTTTTTGTTTGTTACCTCAAAACTCCATCAGTTGTAAAACGTTTTGGAAAATTATTTTTATCTGAATTACTTTTTTTAATTATTTTTTATATTTATTGTACACACTAATTATACATAAAAAAATATGACAGATGTGATCAAATGTACAAAGGCAAGCTTAACTCTATAGAGTTCTCTAAAAAGTACTTCATTTTTATTAACATCATTGTGACATTTTTTTTTATTGTTCCCTAACAATTATTATTATTATTTATTTAAAAGTATTTAAAATTAGAATGTGATGATGATTAATTGTGTAAAACTGATTTGATGTATAATTTTGGACTGTCTACTTGAACTACATATGTTTGTATGCCGTACAGGCTAAACATGTCGAACAATATTGTATTGTCAACATGTGCATGTATTTATAAGCATGTTTTATAAATAAATTATATTGAATCTTGAATACTTAGAGATTGGTCTGGAATGTTATCAACATTGTCTCAGTAGTTTAGTTTTTAAGTAAAAATAAACTAGTTTTATCACAATTGAATTAGTTTTTTTTTGTGAGACACAACCTTTAATTTGGTCTGAGAAGATAAATGTACATTTTCAATCGATACAAAATTACTGTGGAAACATATCCTAAACACTGTAAAAATAATTAGTCTGTTAGTATTGGGGTACAACAGCTTCATTGCTAGCAATATACAGTATCAGGTCGACCTCCACTAGTTCCCCCTGGAAGCCATAGTGATGATTGATGAAAAGGTTGTCTGTAAGAGATCGCCCTAGCGATAAGACCGCCTTTTGTACCTTTATGTGTATATTTCAATCTGTATTTATGTTACTGTATTTCACTTGAATTATTCACTTGTCATTGTATATTTTTATTTATGGTGCAATAAAGAGTTAAATAAATAAATGAATTCTTGAATTTATCACAATAGGCTAACTGGCCTATTTTCATTCTCACCTATCACCCCTCACTGGTGTCCAGCCAGCGTATACTTTAGCGCAGGCGGTGTTACCATTCCATTTTCACCATAAACAATAATAGGTATTATTTTTTTATTATAATTAAACATCCAAATTCCTATCTCGTTATTGTCACTACAATTATTTAAAGTTACAGATAAAGAATAACATGTATATTGTTTTTGACCTTTCCATTCAAAGACAAAATAAAAATAGTGTTTTTTTTTCTCTACCTATTGTTCGCTTAGTGCAGTGGTTCTCTAACTTTTTTTTTTATTAGGGGCCATTAAAACATTTTTATTTATTACAAGAACACAAAGACAAAAATCTGTACACATATTATTAAGATTGTGTTTTGTAAAAAAAAACCGACTTTAATTGTGACCAAACCAGTTATTTTAATTTAAAAACTAAACTGTAGAACTGTTTTTGAAAAAAAATCTATGGGCCAAATCTGTAAATATATCTTTGCAAATAAAATAAAAGAATCTTCCAAATCCAGGTTCACAACTGACGGAGTTACGAGGTAACAAATATAAAAAAAAATACAAACGAATTCAGAAGCTCCTTTTAAAGTCGGTCGATAAAAATAATAAATACTTAAGTTAACAACTCACCGACATATTTAATCCCCTCAGCCTTCAACCCGTCCACTGCTCGCTGCAGTACTTGATCCTTGACATCAGCCAGTTGGTCTGGTGTGATGAGCGGACACGGGCTGTACGCCCCCATGCCCCCTGTGTTGGGACCGGTGTCCCCATCGCCGACGCGTTTGTGATCTTGCGCTGGGGGTAACAGTGAGACAGTCTCGCCGTCCGTGAACGCTAAAACCTACAAATGATAGAATTTTAACTTGTTATTCGTGTATGTATCAATGGATGATAATGAAATAGTATCCCCATCCGCGCTACTGGTATACACCGGCGGGGCACCAGTGAAGAATGATAGGTGAGGATGAAGCAGGTCAGTTAGCCCATCGTGACGAATTGAACAATTAGTTGAATTTTATTTATATCGATTTACCTTCAGCGTTATTATCTATTTCTCAAACATGCTTGGAAATGTGGGCATTATTTTGACAATCTTCTTAGAGTTAAATCAAAATTGCCATACTGGCCAGATACATGTGGGCAGCGGCCGGCAACAGTTGTATGAAAATCTATATCTGTCGTGTTTTGCGGCCAGATAAATTACTATGTAAACTCATATCTGTCCTGTAATTTAAAAATGGAATGTCCTTTTACTTCGAAACATGGCTACCAAGGAGGTAACTAATAAAAGGATTTATTTAAATTTCTAACTGGCTTCTAACTGGCAAATAGAAAGCTGTTTATTGAAAAAAAAAAGGAATATTATGGCGCGTAAAAAATATTTATTGTAAATTGTGTTTTTGATCTCCGCGCATTGTTTGAGAAAAGGCTTGGCCAAGGCTTGTATAGTACAAGCCTTGACCACAACTAGGCATTGATAGACTCTCGTATGTGTGCCTCGGCTACGCCTCGGCCCACATTTGCACGTTCGTCCATCAATGCCTGAGTTGCTGACCGCTGCAGTAATGTACTATTGTTAATAATACATGATTGTTAAAATAATTATAACAATAGCATAACACTTGTTTGAAGTTAAGAGCGGTCATAACTTCAGCTTCACGAAATTTGGCAATGTCGCAATTATACGTCAGTTTTATTTACTTTATTTTTTCTTAAAGAAAAAGCTATAAATTACTGAGCCGTATTTAGTAAAATTTCTGCAGGACCAATCTCTAATCTAACAATAATAATTTTAATCTTTTAGATAAACAAGTATTTTCCAATTTGCTGTATAACTGACGGAGTTATGAGGTAACGAACGTAGAAAAAGTACGACCGAATACATGGTTTCCATGGCTGTGTTTCTGTTTGAAGTGTGGGATATTGTTATGAAATTACAGGATACAGGAGCATAACACCTTAGTTCTCAGAAATGGCAGCGCATACAGGGTGTCACGGTTGACACAGTACACTCTGTTATGACCATGGTACTGTTCATAGATATGAACAGTACCATGGTCATAACAGAGTCTATAGATATAGGCGACGTAAAAATCAATAAAACTACAATACTTAATTTTTTATACAACTTAGAATGGCAAACAAGCTGACGGTCCACCTAATGGAAAGTGGCAACCGTCGCCTATAGACATGAGCAGTACCATGCACATAACAGATAATTTATTTACATTACTTACACACAAATTACAATAAAAGAAAAAAAACATACACATAATACATAGCAAAAGAGACAAAAGAATAAAAATAAAAAAGCACAAATAAAAAAATACAAAAAATACCCCCCATACGCTGCCATTCCTGAGGACTCAGATGTTATTCCTCCGTACCCAGTACCCGTGTGCTCTCGATATAGAATAGATCACCATTTCATTTCCCATAGGAGTTGTAAGGGGCAATTAAGATAACTTAATGGTCGAGGGATGAGCAGCAGCGTCCCTCTTAATACATCATCAAAACCTTAACTGCTGTTGCCAATCCGTCTGCCAAGCGTGGCGATTACTGGCACAACTACCTTATTGGAGCAGGTCTATGTTCAGCAGTGGATAGTAGACGGCTGATAAGTCAAAAGGCTGGTGCTGGTGATGATGATGAGTCTTTAATTGCAATTTTTGAACAGGTGGCACGCTTAACAATACAGTCTGTGACACCCGTAGTGTTGTTTATGTCATTTTTTCGTGACAACGGCGCGAGCGTCGGTAATCGCCGCCCTCTGACACACACACACACGAACTTGATAAAATGTGACGAAAATGTCATGCACGCTGACAAATGCCGCGCGTGCGTCCGCTCTCATTAATCGTGTTTTTTTTTTAGAAACGAAAATATAATCGCTGGCGAGGTTAGCCTGCGCTATCGGTATACGCTGACGGGGCATCAGTGAGAGATGAAAGCAGGTCAAGTGGCCCATCGTAACGAATTCAACAAAATTAACCATGATGATTGCCAAGGGGAACCGCGTGGAGGTCGACTTAATAGAGTATATTTTCTTTTAATGGATAATAATGGAATGGCAACCCTGCCCGCGCTAACAATATACGCCGACGGTGCACCAGTGAGGGATCACAAGCAATGAAGAGGCAGGTCAGTTCTTTTTTTAATGGGTGATAATGGAATGGTAACCCTGCCCGCGCTATCGGTATACACTGGCGAGGCACCAGTGAGGGATGACAGGTGAGGATTCAAAAGGGGATAAAGAGGTTTCTTCAGGGCCAGTAACGCGCACATAATGCCTCTGGTATTGCCGACGTTCATAGGCTACGATGACTGCTTACCATCAGGTGGGCCGTATGCTTGTTTGCCACCTTAGTGGTATAAAAAAATTGTCATTAGACCTATAAGTATGTAGTAAAAACACTTTTATAAAAAAATCATAATTACGTAGGTATATAATGGAAATACTTACAGAAACCTCGTCACCTTCCAGCAACTCTTCAACGACAACAGTCTGGCCAGCATCGCCGAATTTAGCTTCGGACAAGATCTCGTCGACAGCCTGGTACGCCTCCTCTTTAGTGGCAGCGACCACTACACCTTTACCAGCAGCCAAGCCTGATGCTTTCACCACCAGAGCTGGGTATGGAGCGCTAGAAACAAAAACGTACAATGTTATAATAGTTACATTTCAAATTTTTTTTTATGCAACTTATTCTAAGTTGCATAAAAAAAAAAATTGCTGACAAGCTGACGTCCCCACCTTATGGAAAGTGGTAACCGTCGCCTATAGACTATATATTGGATTATGCCATTTTGAGTGAGTCAATACCTTGCCGTAACACAGTTACGACTATCACTATAAAATTCTCTTTATCAAAACATTTTTGTGTACTTTTATGTTAGTTAAATTTAAGTTAAATGATAGTATTTTATTTAAATAAATTAATAATATATTATCACATAAATGCCTATTAGCTTATTAAAATGTCAATTGTTTTTAATTATGAATTAGAGTACAGTCAGCGCCATAGCTAGACACAAGTTAAAGGTAGGGCAAAAATAACTTTTTGGTAAAGCAAAAGCCATAATTAAGTGACTTCGAAAAAGTGAATCTGTCTAATTTTCTTGGGGCCATTCATTTTAAGGTAGGGCATTGTTTCTCAACCCCCCCCCCCCCTCCCCCAGCTATGGTCATGAATACAGCAATTGATTCGATCATGTATCGGTTTCATTGTTTTTTTAATTATAATTTTTGTGAGGTTAGGAACGAATAGACAGGCTGTCAATCATTTCTACTATAATTTTTGTCGATAGAACAAGCATTAAACAAGACATCAAGATTTAAAATATCTTTTAATTATAGTAATAGCTGGTAAATAATCATCCAGTTATCACAGGTAATGTTTAAATTTAAAAATTGTAATCTTTCTTATTTGTGTTGTTATAAATAAATAAAAAAATAATTAACTCGACCCTACCACGTTCTGTCTTTTTCAATAAAACATAATGAAAAGATAATAAAGTTGTGTTGAAATTATCAGAGAAACACTTTCTAAATACAATTCAGTAGTTAAGTTGTTAAATTAAAAAAAAAAACTGGTATTTCAACGATTGAAGTCAATGTTTTTATTGTGGATAAAAATCTAGAATAGATTGTACAGTAATTATTTACTAACATTCTAATTAGACAGTTAAGTTTCTTTATACTGCGTCGTTCGCTGTATTTATAACGTACTTAGATAATAAGTAGACTACACAACAAACGAGATGACTTTAACATCATCCCACGATCTTATAATCGAAGTTCAAAGGACAGTGCTGACAAGGAGCGACTTATAAAAACAAAGTTAAAAATATCAATACGCAGACATTGGCCTAGTTCGGTGGTAGCGAAACCGGCCCTGAGATATCTGTAGAAGGGGTCGCGGCACTATCTTTGCAAGGAAATAAGATTTAAGGGGCCACCTTATTTTTACACCGTCCATATCAACCGTTAATTGTCCACTGCTAAATATAGGCCTCTCTCTAATAGTCTCAAATGTTTTGTACTTTTGAGGTAAGAAGGCGTTTGGCGCATCAAAGATTTCCAATGTAGCAGTATAAAAAAGAAGTTTTTAAGACATGCTCTTTGCTCTCTTTGCTCAGAACACAGTGCCACAAGTGAGATGTAAAACATAAGATAAACACAGAATTTGACTATTTAAAATATAGTAAATAGCATATAAAAAAAAACTGCTAGACAGTGGCGGACTAAACCCATCAGAGGCCCGGGGCAACAAAGCTAAATAACGCCTCCAGTTTAAAAACTAGATGTAATTTTTCAAGCTTGTCATTCAGTTTACATTTGTATGAATATGTGTATATGTTTATTTAGTTATAATCTTGTAAGTAAAATTTAAATTACACTTAAATAAGGACCGAATTAGCAATGAGGAGGTCCTGCTTAGGGTTAAGAAAAAAAGACAAATTATTAGAACTATTGAGGACAGAAGGGGAAAAATGTTGGGACACTTGATACGACATGACGAACTTATGAACATTATAATAGAAGGTCAGATAGAAGGAAGGAGGGGGAGAGGGAGACCGAGACATGGTTATATCAGGCAGATCAAGGGAGGAGTTGGTGTCATGTCGTATCAAGAGGTGAAGAGACTCGCTGAAAATCGTAGTGAGTGGCGAGAGCTCCACCGACAAGAGCGCAGCTCTTAAATAAGTATACATATAATATGGTTATGAATGTGGACATTTTTAACTTTATCATGCGATCAGTTTTTTCTTGACTATGAGCAGATATGATGGGATATGTCGAGTGGAGTTGACACTCTTCATAAAATTCTTTCATTGGCTAACTTTAGCCAGGTTGTTTTGCACCTCTTCAAACGTGTCACACACTCCGGTAATGTCAATTCTACAAAAAGTTTATTTAGATGATTTTCCAACTTAGCTTTATACTTTCCACGGATGTTTAAAATTTACGGACTTAATTTGGAGATCCTCATGTGCCTCTGAATTACGAATACACCAGGGTGCAAGACATATTTGCTTTAAAATATAGTTCTGGGTTCGATTTTTCGAAATAGATTCCAATGCGTGTTTTAGTTATATAATTTTGCAGGACGAGGAAAATGAAGGCGTTTGGAGGCATTTCAGAACGTTACGGCCAATAGTCCGCCACTGCTATTAAATTTTCTCACTCAAGGTCTAACAGCTTTCTAGAAAATGGTTTAATATTAGACACTTTTTCACTCATTGGTGTGTTTTATCAGGATTTTTTTTTAATGGATGATAATGGAATGGTAACCCCGCCTGCGCTATCGGTTTACACTAGCGGGGCACCAGTGAGGGATGATAGGCGAGAATGAAGCAGATCAGTTAGCTCACCGTGACGAATCTAATAATAATCACGATGATTTCCAGGGGGAACCACGAGGAGGTCCTGACAGGGTATAGTACTAGCAATGGAGCTACTAATCCTCATTACTAACAATCCCTTCTCCCCTCCATTCTATCAGGATTGTAGTAGCTGTTTTTCGAAACAATATTATATACTTATTCAAGTGTACGTATTGTATACACGAAACCACGAAGCAACCTTGGCCTAAACGGCTTGATAGATTTTAATAAACGGGAACTGTTCGACATAATTGTGAGAATAATACAGGCTACATGACATACGGACATAAATTGTAAACAAATAGATGTATATAATATTAATCTTTATTCATTCATATCTTTTACATATAGGCTGAAGATCGTACGAAATGGAGTAACATCATAAGAGAGGCAACAGACACGTTTCAAGGACACGACCTTCAGTAATGAAGTTGGCGAAGAGAGAGAGTTTGAAAGCATGGACTCGAGTTCCTTTTTTAGTATAATTAAATAGCTGCGTTAGAAAACACTTAATAAATATGAAATATCATTATATTTAAATATAATTTAGTAACATTACTATTCTCGATATATAAGACTATGTTCCACAAAAAAAAAACAGACTTCAATTGTGGAAATTTTTTGTTAGTTTGATTTGAAAACTAAACTATTAAAATCGATTTTGACAAAAGTTGATTTTCCAATACAGTTTACAACCGACGGAGTTATGAGGTAACAAACAAACAAAAATACAACCGCATTGAGAATCTCCTTCTTTTTGAAATCAATTGAATATTATAATAAAACACACAATTTAAACGAGGAATAATATTTATAAAAGTAGATTTTGCTCCGCAACACACTATATTTTGCTCCACAGCACGCTATATTTTGCTACACAACACGCTATCTTTTGCTCCACAACACGTAATATTTTGCTTTACAAAGATAAACTACGTCTTCAATGATAACAAATTTAATATTTAAAAAAAAGTGTAATTTATGGATAAATAAAATAAAAAAATATATATAGAAAAACTAGCTGACTCGACAAACGTTGTTTTACCATATACATTATTTTTAGAACTATACATGAAAATTTATCCTACTACAATTATTATATTCGATTATATAAAAATTGCGATTAAAAAATAGGGGTTCGTCGTAAAAGCGTAAAAATTTGAATTTGTATGTATTTTTCAATGTTAAATCATAATAAAATAAAAATATAAAAATTTGTTAAAAAAAAATATTTAGGGGTAGGTCATTCTTATCATTGAAGGATATGAAAAATAGATGTTGGCCGATTCTCAGACCTACCCGATATGCACACAAAATTTCATAAAAATCGGTAAAGCCGTTTCGGAGGAGTTTGGTAACAAACACCGTGACACGAGAATTTTATATATAAGATGAACCCAAAAAATGAATACTGGAACCCTATTCATTGCGAAAAGCACTATCAAAATCGGTTAGAAATTAGCCAAATCATCGTGTAATACACACAGATAATATAACCGAATCGAGAAACTGCTCCTTAACAATGTTTTCAAAAAACAAATATATCAATCACGAAGAGATAACACTCCTATAGCAGAATCTGCGTCTCCATTCAGCAGATTAAAATTGTAAAGGTCATTTAGCATCAGACATTTTGACACAAATATCAACGGAAAAACACCCACTGTCCTAATTTTCAATTCAAGCAAGTGGCTATTCATTCTCACTTATCATCCCTCACTGGTGCCCCGCCAACACATGAGGGGTATCATGGGAGACACAGTATATTATGTCCATGGTACTGTTCATGTCTATAGATGACGGTTACCGCTTTCCATCAGATGGGTCGTCAGCTTGTTTACCATTCTAAGTTACATAAATAAAAAACTGACTAGCTACTTACGTGTTAATAAATTGCTTGGCTAATGCAGCATCAGTGAACGATTTGTATCTAGCCGTTGGTATCTGGTATTTGTCCATAAATTTCTTGGACCAATCCTTGTTGGCCTCAATCTGGGCGCCCGCTTTCGGTGGCCCAAAACATTGGAGGCCGTACGAGCTGAGCGCATCCACAATACCATCGGCCAGAGGATCTTCCGGACCAATTACGACAAGATCGATTTGATGATCTTTTGCCCATTGTGCAAGTGCCTGGAAAAAAAAAGAATAATTATAAAGTTGAAAAAACCAGTGATTTGACATTAACATCGGGAAAGATATTTTGGGCCCATTATGTTGGGTCCATTCATTATACAGTATTTTAAAAAACTGCGAAACATACGAAGATTATCTACAAAGTAAAATAAATATAAATTATAAAACAATAATAGAAAATAATTCTGTAACAAATATTTGCTTAGTAATTTTTTTGCGTTTGTATGTTATTTTCAATTTTTTTTTTTTTTTACTTGTGGTAATTATTTTATTTATTGTCAACTTGTCAGCCTTTATCCGTCCACTGTTAAACATAAGCCTCTCCCTTGGGGAGGGGAGCCAGTACTTGTAACGCTTGGTAGGCGGATTGGCAACCATAGTTAGGCTTTGGACATGTTTTAAAAGGGACACTGCTGGCCATCCCTCGCCCTCTCTTAATCGCCATTTACGATACCCACGAAAAAGAAAGGGGTGGCTTTGTCTATCTCTTAAGGATAGCCCACAATAACCATTTTTTATTCTTTACATTTTACATGAAAAAATGGCTTATTTACGAAGTGATTTTAAGCAATACAGCATTAATTTTTATCCAATTAAATACCTTAAATACATTGTCCATTTAATATAGATCAATATGACCTTTTACAGTATGTAATTTAAATGAATATTTCCGAAGATATTACAGATTTAAAATGCAGGGCCATAGCGATGCGGCCGTACCGGCCCGACCGGCGGCGCGTGCCTATAAATAGCGCGTCGAAGCGCGTTTCACCCCATAGCACTTTATCATATTTGTATTGTCTAATGACAAAAAAACTGTAAACGTTGTTTAAAAGGGCATTCTGTAGTAGGTAGGACTCGTATTTAGTATCAGCATTGCACCCGTGCGAAGCCGGGGCGGGTCGCTAGTAGTAAATAAATTATAGCCTAAACTGTAAATTAATAATATAAAATTATACAAATAAATGATAGATATGAATGAAATTTCATATAAGAGGAGATCATATGCTAACTTAACACACAGGATATTTTACATCTTAATTTCATACAAGTAAAGGCATAAACATTTTCTTCTCAAAGTAAGTAAAGTAGCACTATCAAGAAAAAAAAATATTCGAATGGGACTTGTGTATGAGATAAGCTTGATTCAGCCAACTTGGACTAGAAAGAAACAAATTGGGTTGGATTACCACAAGTTTTCAGTGGGTATCTCAGTGATTTAAGGATCTACATTCATTACACAAGTGATATGCATTGATATATAAAAGTACAGGTGCAAATAGACAGGATTTTGGAATATACATTTGTATGAAAGTTTAAACATTAATGCACAAATATACATACAAATTAAGGAGTGAAAACCTAACGAGTTATGATATTGAGCTATTTATTTTAATAACAAACCTCCTTCTACACGAGACTTTCTTGAAAATACCATCTGTATTAGAGATGGTATTGATACATTACCATTCCAAAGTATGTATATTAGCAAGATAAAATAGACTCTTCTGAGTTTATTTTAGTGTCTAAAAGTGACAGTACAACTTGCAGTGATATCTCTAATTCTATATTTAATATTTATTTATTAAATAATTAAAATCAAACATTTATTAGTAATTATATAGTTTTAACTGATATAAATAAAAAATTAATTTTTCAGAAGAAAGAAATCTATATATTTCTTATGACAATATAGTGAATGACTACCTATTACTTAATTGTTTAGGCAACAAAATTTATATTTAACTATAGTTTGTTATCAACACAATCAACATTACATAAATATATTATATCAACTAATTTAATGGACAAATGTGTTATTGGCCCAAGCACAAGCATTGTTGAACTTATAGATAATAAAAAGGTTATCATAGGCTCACGATTAGTAATATTATAGTTATAATATTCAATAGTATTTGTATCTAGTATCTGTAATGAAAAAAGATAATTGTATCTCACATATGCAACCCTTGCTTCCCTTTTAATTCAACGGCCCAAATGAGAGGCCAAGCGGCCCAAATGGGAGGCTAAGCGGCCCAAATGAGAGGCTAAGCGGCCCAAATGAGAGGCTAAGTGGCCCAAATGAGAGGCTAAGCGGCCCAAATGAGAGGCTAAGCGGCCCAAATGAGAGGCTAAGTGGCCCAAATGAGAGGCTAGGCGTGAAAAATAGAGTCTTTTTCTCATTCACATTACCTTTTAATTTAAAAAATTTAATGCAGTTCACTTACTATCTACTATCCCTTATGTACATTTATGGTTTCATCTACATTCATAATTTGTAATAAGTATTAAGATAAAGGTTCAAGAGATTTGATATTGTCAAACAGTACCTAATCTCAAATGTCAATTCATAAAATGGTATTTTGATTACTTTATATGTATAAATTTTATTAGTATTATTTTCATATATATTTTTATTTTTTTTTTGATGGGTGAGAATGGTATGGTAACCCCGCCTGCGCTAATGGGATACGCTGGCAGAGCACCAGTGAAGGGTGATAGATGAGAATGACAACAGGCCAGTCAGCTCATCAGGTTCATCAGGAATTAACCATGACAGTTTCCACGGGGAACCGCGAGGAGTTCGACCTGGTTGGATATATTGCTAGCAATGGTATTCTCAGTTTCCATTATTAACAATCCCTTTCCCCTCCTGTCATATATATTGAAATGGGTACTTTTATACTTTGTAAAATAATAAAGTGTACTAATGTAGGTAGAACATGTTTTGAACATGACATAAAGTGATTCAAGCTACACAGCATGTTTTATTTCATAAAATTAATATTCGGAACATGTTAGTTATAATGAAGAAAATAAGCTAAATTAAGATTGTGTTCCAAAAAAATAAAACTGACTTGAATTGTTGGAAAATTTTTGTAATTTTTATTTCAAAACTATTGAACAAATTTTGATAAAATTTCTTTTTGATCAATATATTATTATATTTTTTCAAATAAAAAATAATTTTTAAATTGGTTTAGGGTTGATGAAAAATGAGGTAACAAACATAAAAAAAATATGTACAACTGAATTGAGAACCTATCACTTTTTTAAGTTGGTTGAAAATCATATAATTCACCAACTGCACGAGATGTGAGAAAGATAATGTATGATCACATATCACATAGAAAATTGTAATACAAATAAACATGTAATATTTATTGTGAATTTAATCTATTACTTATTTTTTAGCATTACTTTATAGCTGTTCATGATTGTAACAAGATTACTAAATTATGAGAAATATAAAAAAAAAAATATTCAAATTGAGAAATTATGAAACAAATTTTATTTATTCTATGAGGAAACCTCTTTGTACATACCTCAGAAGCAATATTAAAAAATTAAATTCCAGACTAGGATATACTTTCTTCCTTTCACTTAAACTTCACAAAGTGATACTATTTATAATTATTAAATATTAGAAAAAAAATGCAAGTTTATTGTATTTTTCTCAATTACAGTTTCTTTTACCTTTTCACTGTTTAACAAACATGTACACTGGTTCTCTAACTGAAGTGATTAAACAGTTAATTTAAGTAATCCAGCCAGTTATTTATTTAGTTTTAAATATGTCTAATAATATCTAGGTCTATAATCTTTGGTATAGAATTTTATGAGTACTAAGTACAACAGGGGGGGAAAGGGATTGTTAGCAATGGAGATTGACGGCCCCATTGCTAGCAAAATGTCCTATTAGGTCGACCTCCATGTGGTTCCCCCTGGAAACCATCCTGAACAATTCTTGTTGAATTCATCATCAACTGACCTGCTTCACCCTCACCTATCATCCTTCACTGGTGCCCCGCCGGTGTATACCGATAGCGCGGGTGGGGTTACCATTCCATTATCACCCATTAAAAAAAAACTAAGTACAACAACACATTGTGATAAACAGATATGAAATAAATATATTTTATAAATGAAATTGCAATAGTAGTTTAAATTTATCAATATAGAGATGTACATGTTCTTCAAATAACCTTGTACACAGTAGTTTATTAAAGCAAAATCATAAATAACAGATAATAAATATATAAGCAGGGACACTAACTGGATAATCTTTGATGTTCAAGTCCACACTCTCCACCTTATTTGTGGTAGATATACCAACACTTCCAGGGGCACAGTATATGCGCTTCACATATGGCGAGTCTGCAAGCTTCCAACAGAGAGCATGCTCCCGGCCTCCGCTGCCGATAACAAGTATGTTTCCTTCTTCAGTCATTATTTAAAACACTTGATCTACGAAAAGTTTTATCACGTGTCGACGTTTTCCAGCAAGAAATTTTCGTGATAATAAAATACAAAAAAATTATATAAAAAAAATAATGTTTCTTTAATAATTTATTTATGTTCTTTCGTTTTACGTCGATTTGTTTTTATTTTTGACACTACCACCACCAACACGTGTAAACAATCAAATGACATTCCACCAACTGGTATTGCTAGGGATTGAACAATTGTTTACTATCAGCATCCATAAAGTCGATATTTATGTGTAATAAAAATCGATGTTGACATATAAATTCCATTTATATCTCACTATATATGAATTTATTCAGGTTCCTTTTCCGGATAGTAATAAGAATATTAATTTTGATACTATTTATATCCTCTAAAAGATATTTTCTCTAACTTTTTCCATAGATAAATCTAGGGGTTCTAGTGCTCATTCCATCCCAGGATGCAAGTAAAAACTTAAAGTATTACACAAAGTGCATATTTGAGTATACATATGCACCTTTTTATAGTGTTCAGGCCGCCCTGAAAAATAATTTTAAATATGCCAATGTTTTTTGCTTGCTAAATATTACATATATAAATAATAATAATAAATAATCTTTATTTACTACTCACAAGGAATATTTTACATTGTATAACTATTTAGAATTTTAACATAAAAATTATTATCCTTGTGAGAGTCTGGACTCTGAACTAGGTCTATGTATATAATATGAAGCCATACTAACATAAATAAATAAATAAACAGTTAAGCTTTACGAAATTGAATATACCAAATATAGCATAGTGTATACGCTATACTATATTTAATAAAGAAAAACGTAGGATACTTATTATTTCAATCAATTAACATCTATCTATCTCTATCACACTGACAAATATCAGCGTCAACATCATAGAAAACGTTATGTAAATTTAGATATATTTCATGATCAATCACAATCTATTAATTAATAGGCTAAAATATTATCTAATAATATCTATTGGTATTATATGATTTGAATCAGTCCTAAATTTTGATAAGTAATTTTTTGTATTTATAAACCTCTTTTCGTATCAATGTATTATTTCAATGTTGTGCATGTGTATAATTGATGCAAATATCATATTTCGTATTTTGTCAATGTTTGTATTTGCATTGTTGATACGCCTAAACAAATAAATAAATAAACTGTGTAACTACAAGTTGATTTTGAAAAATAAATAAGTAACATTTTGTAATCTTTTGTAATTTGCGTTATTTATGATTATATTAATATTTTTAACTCTTTTACCGAATATAAGACATTCAATTAATACTGATTTGTTCTACGTTATTTATTTATTATTAAATTAATTTTGAATATTATGCGGACAAACTCGTGAGTACAGCATTTATCAAATAAACAAGATGATTATATTTAATAGTGAATGAAACCACATCCCTAATTTTGTGATAAATATTATCAGAAACCTTAAAGTGCAAATGGCAAAGGCCAAACTTTTCAGTAGTTTAAGATAAAATGACATCATTTTATGAATACCATTATTACTAACCGTACTTGATGCTGGTAATTTAGCAAAATAAATATATATAAATATATGTATATAGAAGCACCATAGGTGGCCTAATGGTATACTGTTCTATAATATCTTTAAATTATGTGTAAACCTAGCTAAAAACTATAAGGGTGAACTATATACGAGAAGATAGTTTGTATAAGAATATTTCAAGTTGCTCAACGAGCTATGGAGAGGGTTATGGTTTGAAATTCACTGTGTGATGGTTTCCAAAACGTGAAAATCCGTAGAAAAATTCAAGTCACTGATATAGCCCGGAGAATCTGCAACCTAAAGTGGCAATGGACCGGCGGACGTGGCGATAACCGATGAGCAACAAAGGGCTGCAAGTAGCGATTCCGTGCAACTAAAAGTAGTATGGAGCAACCTCCTACATAATAGAATGACGTCCTCAAGAGTAATTCAGGGACTTGCTGGATGCAAATGACTCAGATTCATACTTTTTGGTGTAATATGAGGGACACCTATATTCATTTTCTTCTTCTTCTTTCTACCCGTATTCCAATTATTATATGTGGTTGGCGTAATATGTTTTTTATCCATATTACAAAAATTACCTATATTCAATAGTAAACAATAGACAGGTTGTAATTATGATAAAAATAATAAAAAAAAAAGTAGTTTTGTTTTAAATTATTGTACACCAGTTGTCTCGCAGCTTTTTGCGAGTACATCAGTATGTAAAATATTATTAAATACTCTTTGTTAAGCTACCTGCCTATTAAAATAGATTTTATATATTCATATTAGTTTATGAAGCTCACACGTTGCTAAGATAGACTGTTATTTATGTTGTTTTCTGTCAAAGATTAAAAAAGTACAAAAGCATATAAATAAATAAAATATATGTTGACTGTTCCGAGTTATCTATATTAGATGATTATCCTATATCCAATTAGCTATCTTTTAGCACTACCCGTGTACCAAATTTTATTTAAAATTGTCCAGTCAGTTAAGTACAATTGAGTGATAGTTTATAATATGTAACTAGTATGGATAGTAAATGGTAAAACAGGTACAATAGATACTTTTGCAAAGAGACTGGAGCTTAATTATAAAAAAATGGATTCGGAATATATTTGGGCAAACATGATAATAAAGACAGCAATAAATTGCTCGTGTGTCGGAACTTAAGAGACCACACATTGAATTTATCCCTTCGTGGCGACACTGTACTTCTTAACATTTATTATAATATTAATATTATGTCATTATGTATTCCCAAGAAGTAATGTAGTGAAAACCAACAAAATTAATAAAAATATAATACATTTACAAATTTACATTCCTATTTTTAAAGAACAGTTATTCGTCGTATATTACTCGTAATCGAATTATTAAATATAATCTAATCTTAATCGAATACACATAGGTGCATCACTGTACGTAATTTTTTGCCGTTTGCGTTTCATTTCACGAAGATTTCAACATTACTATATATTTTATTATATGTTGTTATATTTTCTTTATCATACAACACTCTGCAAAAACAGTTAATGTATGAATAGATTTATTTTTTAAGGGTTAATAAATAATAATGATGTAGGTAGTTAAAAAGGTATCTAATTTTTTACAACCGAAAATAGGAGGGTATATCGAAAATAAAGACAGCATTTTAAAAATTGTAGGTAATATGAAAATGAAGGTTTATAAATTTAATTGCGTCCGTAAAATATTTTTTCTAACACTGTAATTCCTAACAATGTATTTCTTAATAAAATATCCAATGTTATTAAATGATGTAGTAATTGTGGTACGAAACGTACGCAAATATGGCGAAGTTATTCATTCTTGTCATTTTACTCTAATGCTCGTTTTGTGGTGATAAAACTGTAATTATATTATTTAAAAATGTCTGACACTGGACTACGTATGAATTTTGCTGCTTTAAAGAGGGCAGATCCATACGCCAGAGAAATAATTGACAGTGCTACCCACGTTGCACTTTATACATTCGAAGAAAATGAATGGGAGAAAACCAATATCGAGGGTGCTTTGTTTGTGTACAGTAGAAATGGAGAACCATATCACAGCTTAGTGATTATGAATAGATTGAGTACGAATAATCTTATTGAACCTGTGTCTAAGGGAATAGAATTGCAATTGAAAGAGCCGTTTCTGTTATATAGAAACGCAAAGTGTCGAATTTACGGCATATGGTTTTACGATAAAGAAGAGTGTGTCCGAGTTGCTACTAAATTAAATTCACTTGTTAAAGAATCAATGAAACAGCCGCCTTCCGACAATATGCCTCAAAGCACCGTCTACACTTCATCTACGCAGTCGAACGCGCCCGTTGATATTTTTAGCATGTTGAGCAAGGCCCAAGATGACTTCAATTCTAACAAGGGCATCGTGGCGAGCAAGTGTGAAACGACGCCTTCGCGAGCACCAGACATGACATCGCAAAGTGTCATGGACTTCTTTGCAAAAGCTGGTAGCGGTGCCGCCGCGCAGATGCCGGCTGTATCTTCGCTGCCGTCGCCTGGTATTTTCGGTCCCCGTCCTTCTGATTCGCGGGAGGGTCCACTGTTGCTGCAGAGGCTCATGAGCAATCCCGCGCATTCTGTGGAACATATAGAGAAACAACAACGATCTGTGACACCACAGGAGGCTCAGAGTTCCAATGGAAATATATCATTAGACTCATCCATGCGACAAAACAGTGGTTTTCCAATGAAATCTACCCCTGTTGAGAAGCAAAGGTTACCTCCAATGCAAAAAGGTCAGCTGGAGTCTATTGACTCAAATGGGTCCAATTCATTGGAAATTGACTTGAACATGATGCGTATATCATCACCGAAGCCTACCTCCCCGTTGGCAACATATTTGAATCAATCCCAAGATGTTAGTCACACGGTAAGCTCTTTCAATGGTAGTAAATTTGAGGATGTAGGGATGTATCCGTTAATTAACCCAATTACTTCCCAGCAGAAGCCAGCCCTAATGCCACCTACAATGTTTACGGCTAGTACCGGTAGCGACATCCAGCCCACCCCGGAACCGCTGACTAGGAATCAACTGCTGCAAGCTTTTAACTACTTACTAAAACATGACGCAGACTTTGTGAACAAATTACACGAGGCTTACGTTAAATCCTTCTCAGAAAAGGCTTACTCAGTGTCATAAATTTCTTTTTGGACGAGTTGCTGTTGTTGCAGTCACTATCTATGTACAGTTGTATTAAAGTATAAATCTACTAAAATGTTGTGTAGACCCTATAGTTTTGTAATACCCAGTTGTTTGAACAGAGTATTTTTAAATAAGTTTTAAACCTTTGACTGTGTTTAATCTGTATACAGAAAGAATTTTAGTGATTATCCATTAGTGGACTGTTAATGAGTATTTTACGATTCCTTGAGCAGTTGTTTGTGATATTACTATTGGCTACAGCTTAAGGCTCAAACTTGAAATCTGATTTCCTTCTAAGGACTTGTTTCTTTATTAAGTTTTAGTTTTATTACACATGAAGTTCATTGCAACATAATTTAATGTATTAAACGTGATTTAAATTACATTTTCTTTTAAATAACTGTATCTCATAGAGATATAGACAATGCTTCGTAGATGTAAAAATATTATTTATATGCAATGAACTTTAGTATATAATGGACATTTATCAAAACAGTTTGTAATATTATAAGGACTGCAAATATTTGCTATTTTTTACAAGAACTGTAATTTCTTTTTCATCACACCTTAGTAGTTTATGTACTGATTTTTTAGTTTTATTGTACATTTAAAAGTTTTAATTTGTGTCAAATTTGTCAGTTAGTTTTTGAATATAAGGTTCTTGTTTTTTTTTTTATATATATATATGTATCGACTTGTAATATTTAAATTTTAGTATGTGTATTTGTATTAATCTTATGGATTGAGAACGGCTTTAATATTCATTAGGTAGAAGACACAATCGAATTGTAATGTTTATTCTTTTTCACTTGTAAAATTAAACTTTTACTCTTAAGGGAGAAAATCTTTTCTAAGTTATATTTCTCCTAAGAATAAATTTTCTATAAAGGCATAGTATTACATACACTTTCATAGAAAATGTATGGAAATGTGATCTATGTTTGTAGGGATTTACACAACTTATCAAAAGTATAGATTTATAGATTTCATTTTGAATATTAAAATGACACCTATATTTGGATTCGAAATATTTGAATAAGTTATCTTGGCCTCAAGTATGTATTCATTGGTCGTTAAATTATAAATAAATAATGACAAGGCTAAAATACTATTTATTGTTTCAATATTGGAAAGATGAATATAAATTAAAAAAAATAGGGAGAGCTGATAACAAGAAAATCATTAGGCCTAGAGACACATAAATTTTTAAGTTTGGATATATTTGTAAAGGTAATCTCGAATGCTCCCTGGCGTGATTGTAATCAAATGTAAATTAACATCGAAAATATATCTGGAAATTGCACCTTTTGGACAACTCAATTAAATACATAAAAAATAGTCTCAAATTAAAGGGTTCAATTTATTTCTGTTTTTTTATTTTTACTTTCTTAGAAGGAGGAATTCATAAAATAAAACACTATAAAAAATGTAACATTTGCTAGCAATGGGGCTCTTAAACGCCGTTATTAGCAATGCTTTTCTGCTCGTATGCATAGGTGCCTTGTTTTTTGCTGTTGTTTCAATTTTAAGGATCTGATATGGCAGTGAAATTACAAGGTACTAAGGCCATATTAATCTTAAGAATTGACAATGCACGAGGAACACCATGGGAGTAATTATAGTTTGTATTATTTATAAAACTGTCCATGTTTATAGGTGAAGGTTACTTCCCATAAAGTGGATCAAAGACTAAACCAGAGGGAGTAAGTCATTTACTCGGTTATTTCTGTCCTATTCGTGTTTCTACCGTGAAGCAGTTGGGTTTGCATGCGTATGTTTCGGTTTAAAGGCATATCCCACGGCAATGTAATTACAGGGTACAGAGGCATAACATCTTAGTCTTCAGGAATGGCACGTGAGGGGCGTCATCGGTGACACTGTATACTTTGTCCATGGTACTATTCATGTCTATAGGCGACGGTTACCATTTCCATAAGGCTAAGTGTTTTCTTGCCATTCTTAGTTACATAAAAAAATACAATCTCCTCTTATTGGTAACAGCTTCACTTTCTGTTATGATATTATTATATCAGGCATAAGCTCTTCATTTAAGAGTTTCTTCTTGTCGGTGCAACTAATTCATGCATTTCAGCCAGTCAGCTTTATCCCATGTCCCCATCCATCCTCGTCCTCCCTATACGACATGACATCTGGGGGGGGGGGGGAAGGGATTGTTAGTAATAGGTTCTAATTGACCCATTGCTAGCAAAACAATAGCAATCAGATCGACCTCCCTTGGAAACCGTCGTGGTTTCTTCTAGTGGAATTCGTCACGATGGGCTAACTGACCAGCCTTTTCATTCTCACCCTCACTAGTATTCCACCAACGTATCCCGATAGCATGGCTTACTATTCCATTATCACCCATTACAAAAAATACGACATGACACCTAGTGTTTCCTTTAATTGCCCCTTGCTGAACATAAAAAAAGCTTGGCAGTTAACTTGTTCCCCACCCCGAATTACATAAAAATGGTTATCCTACACTATTTTTGCCGCATTTTCTCATTGTTCTTAATAGTCAGAAGTTAACAGGTTTTTTTTATACAACTTAGAATGGCAAACAAGCTGACGGCCCACCTGATGGAAAGTGGTAACCGTCGCCTATAGACATGAGCAGTACCATGGACATAACAGAGTATATTATTTCGCCCATGATAATCCCCATGCGTTGCCATTTCTGAGGACTCGGGTGTTATTCCTCTGTACTCTGTAAATTCACGCCATATACCACCCTTCAAACCGAAACACAGACAGAGGTACCCAAGCAAACGACTTTTGTATCAAGTCTCCCTCTGGTACTTATTAAGGGAATAGGCGTGAAGATATCAATAATTTTATCTAATTATTCTTCACTATCACATTTTTAGGGATTATAATAAAAATAAAAATCAACCGTAAACAGCATTTATTAGTACACAAAATCGTTTGCAACTGAGTCTGTATACTTTGTACATGATGGAGTTACGTAATCCTATTGTCATTAAACTGTTCCACATTTGATTTAAAAAAAAAGTCCATCCATTTTCATGTAGGGCACGGCAAAAGGCGGTTACCTTTATATAGTAAATCTTGTAAACTTTCTCAATATGTTTATTCAGGAAATTTAATTCTTCATAATAGAACTATTGGACGCTTTTGTAGTTTACCGTTAGCACAGCACGATGTATGATTTTTCTGTGTCCATATACAACAAAGTTAAACCACTCACTCCTTACACTAGAGGGCGCCACCTTCATACGAGGGACGAGCGATAGTTACAATATAATAGGACAATGTAATTAATTGTACATACATATTTTTAAATTTTCATGTCATTTTACCTCACCTCTTTACCTCCCATTTTAAGAATCCTATGATGTAGTCTCTTTGGAAAATATAGATGAACCGATTTCTGCCATGCCCATGCGGACGCGACAAGTGATTTGCCGATTTTTAAAAATTCCTTACTTAATACAAACAACAATATATAGAAATTATATTATCTAAATCAGGTTAAGCGTAGTCGAGTGACCATCCGCTGAAAGGATGGGGCTCCGTGCCCAGTGTTTCACATAAATGAACATTAAAACTAAAAAATACCGAGATCAAAAATGGGCAAACCACTACGGGCGTGCGCAGACGAGGGACCCGTCCGCGGGCGGTTACAATCACAGATCAGCGGGTCTACCATGTAATGAAATTCCGTATTTTCGGACTCAATTTCGTTTGTTTATACCAAAATCGGACCAATAAATGGAGTTTAACATTTCGTTTGTCGTACATCCTATCATAAAAATCCAAAGGAACGATATTTTTGATACATTTTTCATATTTCCAAACGGCATGTATTATGTAATAATGTAATTTTAACATCAAATTTGTGTTTCGTTTGGCTCGGAAATTTCGGAAACATTTCATGGTAGACCCTCAGCTGTCGGGCGTTTGCCGTGACTGCGTGTGCGTTGTACCGTTTTGACGGGCAAAACTGTTGTCCCTCGTTCGCACAAGCCTCTCTAATTAATTAATGTCTCTCACTGGAAGATAGGTTGTTTGCACGAATTTTTCAGCGGCTTAATACATTATAGACGCAGGGTGTAAGGTGAACTTTAAACTGAAAACATACATTCTACTCGTTATTCTAAAATAACTGTATTTAAAAAAAAAAACATCAGATCGCCATACAAATTGTAATACCTGATTATCAATTTTAGAAAAAAATTTCTATTACATATAAGTGGAGAAATAATATAAAATCTCCTTTCACAGCGTGAATATAAGAGTTCAGTACAAATTTGTTTAATCAAATAATCATCAGATTCAAATGTTACTATTGATTTCCAAGTACAAATATAGTAGGAAAAAATGTTGAAAAAAATAATATGTAAACTCTAGTACTTTGACGTACACTTTCCACTTTACCCTTCTTTGCATTATTTTTCGTTATTGGTGAAATAAATCAAGGTGATATAATTCATGTCTAAAATTAAAAGAAAAATAAAAAAAAAATTGACAGCTATTTTTTTTTAAATGGACATTAAAAAAGGTATTCAGACACGATCAACTTAAAGTGAACTTGGTCTTTTATATAATTTTTGGGCACTGCTAATGGCGTCGATTTCGAAATGCCATTGGGACACATCTCGAAATGTATATCTAAAATACAAAAAAAATTCAATTTGTTAATCTATATTGTGAGGGACAATATGAACTAATTTTCCAATACATTAAGTCAATATTATTATATTTGTTTATGATGGTCCATAAAACAATAATTTCATGAAATTATCAAATAAAAATATTTTAAAAGTTTTTTGATATAAGTTTATAAAAATGACATTTTAGAGTCGAACCCAATATGTTCAAATAAATCTTTAAATGGGAATAATTTTAAAGATAAATTAGAGAAAGAGAATCCATGGTTCTTACGTTTACATACCATTGTATGCTTTAAATACGTTTTATAAATCTATAATATCATAAAGAACATTTGTTTATTTCACATAAGGTGAGGTAGTCCATCGTGGTGTCACAGAGTTACAATACATATTATGTTAATACACCATTTCATACGAATGTTAGGGAACAAAGCAGAAGGGAAACTTGAAACAAAACCATAGGCGTAACTGAAAGCTGTGCGATGCGATAGAGGGGGGGAGGGGGTGCCTTTCTAAGTGTTTTAAAGTCCCAGAGCCCCCTGGAAAATAATCTTAAAAAATAACCATGGATAAAATCTCATATTAAGCTATATGGGCAACGCCGCAAATCAGCTACTATCCGTCTCTCATAGGGAAAACTTTGCCCAGCAGTGGGACACTTATAGGTCGTTAAATTTGTTATTCAAAATAGACGATTTTGGAAGTGGTTGAATCTTAGTGGTTTAATAGTAAATAATCAAAATTGACACAAACGTATTTTATTTCCACATTTTAATACATCATGTAATAATATATGAAAATTTGTACATTTTTCATCGTCATTTAAAATTGGCCCTGTGGTCCCGGCATAGAAAAGGCCACCCCTTTATTTCCCGTGGTCGTAAAAGACGACTAAGGGAATTTAATGGTCGAGACATGGGCAAAAGCGTCCCTTTTAAAACACTACCAAAACCCTAACTGCGTCTGCCAAGCGTGGCAACTACTGGCAAAACCCCCCAAGGGGGAGGCTTATGTTCTGTAGTAGCAATTAGAATTAGCAGAATCGCTAATTCTATCTAACTTGTTTAAAGATGTGAATAAACCAAATCAACTATTTAGAAATATGAAAAACGTTTCATTTTACTATTTATTACAATACAATCTAATAAATCCTAGAATTAAATCAGTTAAACTCACAAAATAAATCACAATCAAAATATAACATCACAACGATTTGGTTTTATATATATATATATATATATATATAATAGAACTACGAAATAATCTGTGGACAGGATTGTCTTTGTTTACTTATGTATATTTTATTAAAATACTCTTTTATATAAAGAGGTAGACGTTGAAATTTATGTAATGATCAAATATTGGATACGACGACATTTTTTATCATCAATCGTAAAAATTAAAAGCTTTTTGAACCGCTTTGTTTTTCTTTCTTTCAAATTGAGATGTCAACACTTACAAAATGATAGCAATAGCTAAAATATTTTGACGTTTGAATTGGGGGGGGGGGGGGGGGGGGCAGTATAATTTTGAGAGGGTAGCATGGTCTGACGTCACTATAGAAATAGAATACTGTAAAATTGGGAAGCAAACAACAATTTTAGCCAATCGCTGCAATCTATGGGGGCGTGGCCCAACTAGTTGCACCCAATCACCCAATAAAGAAGCGAGAAGCTATGCATAGGTGGCGACACCGTGTTACAACGTAACCAAAATCAGTAATTATAAATTTACTGTTAGGAGTAACTTGAAATTCCGTAATGGAGGGAAAATATTTTTTTTTTTTTCCGCCTATTCTCAGAGACTAAAACATAATAAAGTTTATAAAACAATAACGTCTCTATCGGGATAAATTGTCATTTGGTTGTTTTCACAGATGTCGCTGCGGTCTCGATGTGAAGTAAAACGAAGCCTGACAGGTTAGACCGTGTGATACCTTACATTAGGCCTCGCGTTAGGCAGTTTATGAAAAATTGGTGCAAACATTTATTGTTAGTGTCTCAGCATTGTAGCACACCTCACCTTTGTTTAAAAACAGTACCCATAAAGTAATTCTTAGTAACACAAAACTTTAATGGAATCGTTATTAATATAATAGCGAACAACCGATAGATCAATACTAATGTAATTTTTGTTTGAAAGTGATTTTATCGTTCGCCAAAAAACTATTTCTCAAACATGCTTGGAAATGTGAACATTATTTTGACAATCTTCTTCGAGATAAATCAAAATTGCCGTACTGGCCAAGATACATGCGGGCAGTGGCCGGTAAAAGTTGTATGAAAATCCATATCTGTCGTGTTTTGCGGCCAGATAAATTACTATGTAAACTCATATCTGTCCTGTAATTCAAAAATAGAATGACCTTTTTCTTCGAAACATGGCTACCAAGGAGGTAACTAATAAAAGGTTTTATTTAAATTTCGAACTGACTTGCAAATAGAAAAATTATTGAAAAAAAAAAAAAGGAACATTATGGCGCGTGAAAAATTATTATTGTTCGTAATTCGTCATTGAACTTAAAAAGTCAAATTGTGTTTTTGATTTCCGCGCATTGTTTGAGAAAAATACTATACAAGCCTCGGCCACAACTAGGCATTGGACTCACGTATGTGTGCCTCGGGTGCGCCTCGGCCCACATTTGCACGTTCATCCATGCCTCAGTTGCTGGCCGCTGCAGTAATTTACTATAAAGGGAAAGTTCTTGAATATCGACCGTGTACAAACAAACGTCGTATAGGACGATTCGCTCGCTAAATGGAGCCACTGAATTATATGTTCTCTTAATTGAAATTATACTGCCAGTTTTTCTAGCGGTCATTTATACCAGTTGTTAATTTGTTCTATATGTTTACTTCAATAAATACATACAAATTTGTCAATAGACTTCAAAATGAAGAAGATTATTAATTCGATTTTTTTTTTTGTAGTTTTTTACGTTATAACTTCGTCAATTCTAAACCGATTTGGAAAATTATTTATTTAAATATTATATATATATACATACTTATAGATTGGTACTGTTGAAATTTTATAATAATCGGTTTAGCTGTTATGTTTTTAAATCAAATTAACTGGTTTTGCCAAAATTGAAGACCATTTCTTTTTTGTGGAATACAATTATATAATATAATATAATTATTAATAATTATCTATAATTAAAGATTGTGCCTCAAAAAAAGAAACAACTTCAGTTAAGACAAAAAAAAAACAGTTATATTGTTTTAAAAACTAAATTACTGAATCGAATTTCAAAAAATTTCCATGGGATCAATCTCTAAATATCAAATAAAAAATAAAAAAAAAAGATTTTTTTTAAATCAGTATAGAAGTGACGGAGTTATGAAGTAATAAACATAAAAAAGAAAATACAATCAAATTGAGTATGTCCTTCTTTTTGAGAACGGTTGAAAACTGTTTAATTTCAAATTTCGAAAACATAAGAACTGGCGAACGATCAACTTTATTTTTTGAACGAACTATTACGAAAAGAGAATATGTAATATAAATATATATAAAATTTAAATGAATTTACATATCACTAACATTACCATAAGAATAAATATTCGGGTAGAACTGACATTGGTGTGAATTCAATAATAATAATAATAATAACGTGACGACTCGCGTCTTATGAAGTTAGAACTAATAAGTGACAGACTGCAGTGAGCGCGTCTCGCTCACTCGCACGTAAGTCACGTACGAATGAGCGAGACGCACGAGTCATGTTGTAAAATATTATACATATATATATATAAGGAAAATATAACTTTTACAATGTCGTTCTAACAATTGTTTCAATTTTATTCGTAAGTCTTCTTCAAGGATCCACCAATGGGAGTTAGGGTAAATTTTACCAGGATGCTATAATCACAGAGTATGTAAGTCTCTTACCCAGTCTATTTATTCTTATGACATTATTCAGCTTTCTCTTACTGCAACTAACAAGGGAGACATCTGTAACGGTACATTACCTAAGTAATGTACCGTTAGGTAACAGTCGAGAAGTTCGTATCTACAATGTTTTGGGTGAACAATTCATGTCTTTATAAAAACACCTAAATAAAATTAACATTCTGTCCAAGTATAAAATTTGAAAGGAGACTTACAACATATGTATTTACTATTTTACATAAGTATTTAGCTATCAACATTAGGTACATACATTTTTTATACAACAATTATTTACATTTCTTATGTATTCGCGGATATAAAAAAAAAAAAAACAAAAGTGAGGTGTTATTTGAACTTCACATAAACTTGGTTCAAATCTGGTGGGTACATTAAATCTAATGGTTTATTATACTAGAGAAGGACAGGCGATCGCGCCGTCTAGTTCACTCACAATACAGGGTCCCCCGCAAACGGCGCTTCCATACAAAACGGTACGAAGTTTTATATAAAAAATATATGTATACTAAAGTTTGGAGACAACCCTGTATTGGGCGTATTCACATAATTGTTTGCATCTCCTTCTTATTATTAACGAATGAAAGAGACGCCTATATACATAATCAACTGACTTCAAACGTTTGACTTGTAGACTGTGGCCTAGCTCTGAGCCAAATAACGTACATATGAGTATTAACTAACTTACTTACATATAAAAACCCTGCTATTTACTTTTTTTTAATATACCAGATGATAAGTAGATAGTAAATTATACTACAAGCTCTATCGACGCCAAAATGTGGAGTTGTGCGGACAAATAAGGGGCGCACGCGCACATCATGGACCGCCTTCTAGAAACATCGTACAAAACCGATTGTGTACCGTGTCTCAGTCGTAAATTGACACTGGGCATATCAGATTTATTCTAAATTTGATTTGTCTTAAGCAAGAAAAAAAAAAAACAGAATCTCACATCTAACCTAAAAATTATTGACATTGGTTTTTCTTCAAATATAAAGGGTTTTTCGTTCGAGAAATAAAAAAAAAATCCTTATTATATTAATAAAATCAACTCTATGCGTATTGAAATAAAGATTTATCAAGAAAGTGACAAATATAAACTCAACATTCAATAATGATGTATTGTCTAGTATACTGAATTGAATTGATACTGCAGAATAATACATATACGAGTATATAATGATTTAATAATTTTATAAACATAATTTTTTATACCACAAAGAAAAGAATCTGTTAAATATCTATGGTTTGTAGAGAAACATTTTTTACTATTTTTTTTTTTATCTTTTTTTACCACTATTTTACAAACACAAATAGACATCAACACATTTGGTATTTAAAATGATTTTTAAATATATTCATATATTATTTTAAATTCACAATCAGTAAAATACCGATTCTGGTAAAATACTGGATTTTTTTAAATTACATTTTTGGAAAATTGGGTAATTATTAACTATTTATATAGTATTAGTAATATATCTATTTGTAATTTGAACTTTTGGTATCCAAACTAAGTCATGTATGATGAGAGTGCTCTCTTAATGATGGTAATCAATTTAGGCGGAAAATTCCGTAATATAAATACAATAGTGTTGCATGATTTATAATTTGTAAGACATGGGGTTCAGGGGCGTTCATACAAAATATTATAAAAGTATGGCAACATTATCGGTCAATTTTTAAAATCAATAAAACAATTTTAAATATTTCCAATAGATTATTTAAAAAGAGCTCTGCAGCGAAGTCAAACGTTAAACATAGAAATAGTTTTTTATTAATTCTAAATCCACATTTTCAGTGATAAATTACCATTCTAGTTCGTTATTTGAGCATTTATTAATCAATTACAAATATTTAAAACATTACAATTGTCTTTGAAAATGACAGATAATTTCGGTGTTGCCACTTTTGGGTAATTTTCGGGGTGAACGCTGTCAACTGGGCAGAAAAAAAAACAACAATCGCAATGTAAACATAGGGAGTACTCAGAGAGGCCACGTCTGTCACTTATCTAACACGGGGTGTTTTAGAAACGCCAGCAAACCCTACCAACGTAGGTAACTCACTCGTGTATACGCGCAACACTTTACAAGTACGACTTAAAACCATTAACTATGTTCATATGTATAACGACTTAATGTTCCATTTGAAATAAATAAGTCCAGGGCGCCCGGGGCACACCTCATTTGTACAAAAGCCAGTTATCACCTGGAAAAAAGAGAATATAGTCACTACAATACTGGCCTTACACAATGACATTACAATAAAAAAAAAATTATACCATGACGTGGCAAACAAGCATACGGTCTACCTAATGGTAAACAGTTACCATTACGTAGACCCAGAATAAACCTCTTAGTCTCTTTTTTGAAAAATCCTATACTGTAGCCACTTAGAAAGACCTCGGCATGGAGCTCATTTCATACCCTGAGCGTTCGTGGCAGGAAACATCTCTGAAACGGCGCTGTTCGCGAATCTAAACTATGGGGGTAAATGCCTTGTTAGGTAAGTTATATGTAAATATGTAGGGGGTAAGTTGTATGATGGTAGAAAATAGCCACGGGCTTCATATTGAATAATCCCTTTGAGCACACTTCGTTGTACTAATATAAGATTTCGTTTCATAAAAAAAAAAAACACTGACTTCAATCGTGGCAAAACCAGTAATTTTGAATTAAAAACTAAACATACAGCGAGAAGTTTTCTTCCTAGAACGCTCAGGCTGTGAAGTGAGCTCCCTGCTGAGGTTTTCCCTAAAGACTACAGTATGGGATTATTCAAAAAGGGTGTATTAACCCGCCACTGGTGACGTATGTGTCTGTGAGACCGGGTAGTTAGTCATACGATAATAACGTTTACAACCGCCATTGATTTTTGTCGTGATTTTGAGTAGCTGCTTTATTGCACGCCCTCTGCTGTCAGTTCGCCCCGCGACGTTGTAGCGGGCACAGGTCTCGAGTTTTCATACTATCCCGGTCCGTGAGACCGGCGTCACCGAACATGTAAGTTAAAACGTCATATTTGAATATTTGATTTTACACATTTTGATGACGCTCTGTGCTTACTTTCACTGTATATTTGATGAATGTGTAGTACATTTTGTACTGTTATAGTATTATACTATAATTAGTAAGTTTTTAAAACGGTTTTTTTTGTAGCTAAAATACATATGCATTTGTTTATCAAATCATAAATTTAGTTTCAGAATGAATTACGACCGCGAACAGAGACGTCTCGAGGCTCTATTACAGGAAGAATTGTTAGGTGAAGATGACGGATCACCATCGTCGTCAGACAGCGAGGCTGGAAATGATGGCGCATCGGAATATTCCGCACCAGATCAAATACAAAACTCGGAGAGCGAAGAGGATCTAAGCGATAGAGAATCTTCAGGTAACGACAACTCATATTATTTGGGAAAAGACAAATCTACTAGGTGGAATAAAGAACCCTATCGTCAATCAGTCCGTACTAGAAAATACAATATTATATCTCAGTTACCAGAACCCAAACGGGTTATTGCAGGTGAAAAGGAACCTCTGAGTATTTGGAGGCACTTCTTTGACGACACCATAATTGATATCATTGTCAAGTATACGAACCAGTACATTGACACCATTCGACATAAATATACCAGAGAAACGTATGCTAGGCAGACTAATCTCAACGAGATACAGTGCTTGATGGGATTGATACTATTAGCTGGAGTACAAAAATCTAATCATCTGAATGTTGAAGAGTTGTTTCGGACGGATGGTGGTTCGGTTGAAACATTTCGGCTTTCTGAAATATTTCAGATTTCAATTTCTGCTGCGAGTATTGAGATTTGATGATGGTAGTACGAGGCAACAAAGAAAAGTAATAGACAAAATTTGTCATATTAGAGAAATATTTGAAAAATTTGTCCAAAATTGCAAAAATAATTACACCTTATCTGCATTTATGACGGTCGATGAAAAAATGGAATCGTTTCGTGGGAAGTGTTCGTTTAGGCAGTACATCCCGAATAAACCCAATCCCTACGGAATCAAAATTCAAGCTCTCTGCGACTCTAAAATGTTTTACACTTTTAACATGGAAATTTATCCGGGAAAACAGCCCAATGAAGGTCCATACAATTTTGACAATAGTGGCCTAGCAGTTGTTCAAAGATTATGCGAACCGATTTTCAATACTGGTCACAACTGACAATTGGTACACTAGTGTACCTTTGGCTGAAATGTTGCTTCAGAGAGGTCTTACGACAGTAGGAACAATTAGAAAGAACAAAAAGGAGATTCCCCCTGACTTCAATGTATTGCGTGGTCGAAGTGTGAAGTCCAATATGTTTGGCTTTCGCGACAATATGGTGTTGGTTTCACACATTCCAAAGAAAGGCAAAAATGTTCTACTGATTAGCACTTTGCATAATGATGCCAAAATTGATGTCGAAACAGGAAAACCCGATATAATTTTAAGCTACAATGACACCAAGGGCAGGATCGATGTCGTAGATCGTTTATGTGCAAATTACAACTGTGCCCGTGCCACAAGACGTTGGCCTATGGTAGTATTTTACGCTATGTTGAATGTCAGTACCATAAATAGTCAGGTTATATATATAGCTAATAACTCAAATTCAAAATCTCTACGCTGGCATTTTATAGAAAATTTGGCCATGAAACTAATTGAGCCTCATATAAGAGAAAGACAGACACAGTTGAATTTGCCGCGTTCGTTGAGACAACGACTCTCCGAAATTTTGAAGATCGACGAGGTTACAGAGACGTTCAAGAAATGGTCGGTGTTTTAAGTGTGGATGGCAGAAAAACAGAAAAACCAAGTACACTTGTCATAAATGTAAAAAATATTTGTGTCTCGAGCACGTGGTGCCTTTTTGTAGTAATTGTTTGACTGGTGACGAAGAGTGAATTTGTAAATTTATTTCTTTTATTTTTTATTAAAAAAATAACTTTTTTTATTCAATTTTATAATAGTTCAAAATGTCATAAGACTGGCTGAGGCTGCTACATAATTTTAAAACTATAAAATTGTTTATGTTTTTGTATTTTAGAAAAGTAATATTAAAACTTGATAATTTTAAGTGTTCCAAGTACCAATGAATAATTTCTAATAAATGATCTGTGATTTAAGATATACCTGTATTTTATTGTCCAAAGTATACCTACTTTTAACACTAAGTCAACTACGAGTACAGTTAATAGTTAATTCTTGAAAAAAATTAAGTTGAGAATCCCGGTGCGTGAGACCGGCGTCACTAATGACATAACTCTAACGGACGTCACCAGTGGCGGGTTAAGGTTTCTTCAGAGTCGGCAACGTGCACGTCCCTAGTGTTGCAGGCGTTTATAGGCTACATTGATCATTTACCGTTAGATGGTCAGCATGCCTGTTTGCCACTTTCATAATTTAAAAATAAAAAAAAAAATACCAATTTTAACTCTTTGAGTGCCGACGAGCGCCATCGCGCTCGTACGCATTGCAACTACAAGTGCCACGAGCGTCATAGCGCTCGTGAAATCAGTCGCTGTTTAGCTTGTTGTAAAAAAAAATATTAAAATTGGATAATTTTTGGAGGAGGTACAGTTTTTTTAGAGACAAAGGTAAATGACATCAACACGACAAAGATTTATTTGGCATTTTTAAGTAGATATGATTAAAAATCAATGGCACTAAAGGGGTTAATAAAACTATTTTTAGGACCCATATGAATGATAAAAAAAAAAGAATATTCCAAATCGATTCACAACTACGAGGTAACAAACATAAAACACAACTGAAATTGAGTCCCCCTTCTGGTATGTCGTTTTCCTTTATTCCTTCAAAAGCATATTCCATTTTAAAAGGCCGGCAGCACACCTGCAATGCCTCTAGTTGTGCAGGTGATCATGGGTGCCGGTAATCACTCACCATCAGGTGAGCCGCATGCACGTTTGCCCCGTGTTGTAAAACAAAAACAAATGTCTGGTGTGGTGGTACCTGCGCGGCTACCAGAGGCGGTGCAGATGCAGGTTGCGCGAGAGCACGGAGCGAACGTCGTGCGTGAAGCGCAGCGCGTCCAGCACCGGCAGCAGGTTCAGCAGCGCCACGTCCAGCGGGTCCGAGAACCACGACTTGATTGGGATCGCGTTGTCTGCCAACACGGAAATTAGAATCAACATTCAACTAATTATATTCATGTTTTTTTTTTAACAACTTAGAATGGCAAACAAGCTGACGGCCCACCTGATGGAAAGCGGCAACCGCCGCCTATAGACATGAGCAGTACCATGGACATAACAGAGTATACTATTTCGTCCATGACATCCCCCATGCGTTGCCATTCCTGAGGACTCAGGTGTTATTCCTCTGTACCCTGTAAATTCACGCCATATCCCACCCTTCAAACCGAAACACAGCCATGCAAACACAACTGCTTCACGGTTGAAACACGAATGGGACAGATATTATAAAAGTGAAAGTTTGTAAGGATAGATGAATGGATATTTGTTCCTGTTTCATGCAAAAACTTTTGAATGAATATGAATGACTTTTGGTATATGGATAGTATTGTAACTCAGCATATAGGATACTTATATATAAAGCAGTATTTATATAGATCACGACAGGACTGAAGAGAACAGCTTTGTCTGACAGCTCGCGCAGTCTGTTCGGGTACCCTCACATTGTTACCATTATTGCCTAGGTCAGGTTAAATCCCGATAGTGTATTTAAAATACAGCGGTACCTCGACATACGAGTTTAGTTCGTTCCGTAACCTTGCCCGTATCTCAAAGCAATTTTCTCCATTGAAATTAATTGAAATGCCATTAATCCAGAGGGACAGACTTTGTACAAAAGTCGATTGCTTAGGTACCTCTGTCCCATTCGTGTTTCAACCGTAAAGCAGTTGTGTTTGCATGGCTGTGTTTCGGTTTGAAGGGTGGGATATGGCGTGAATTTACTGGGTACAGAGGAATAACACCTGAGTCCTCAGGAATGGCAACGCATGGGGGGTATCATGGGCGAAACAATATACTCTGTTATGTCCATGGTACTGCTCATGTCTATAGGCGACGGTTACCACTTTCCATCAGGTGGGCCGTCAGCTTGTTTGGCATTCTAAGTTGTATAAAAAAAAAATCCGTGCTCCCAAAAGACAACCTCAGTTGTTTTTGTCAAGTGTTAGTCTGAGGTGGGAGAAACTGTTAGACACCAACATCCAACCCGCACATGGGGGTCGTGTGTAGCGGTGTAGTGTGCGATTCCTCGCATCTCAAACCTTGCTCTCATCTCAAAGCAAAATATCGCTCGCTCGCCGGGTTAGGGCACTCGTACAACGAGGTACCACTGGAGTTTAACCTTTGTTTAGGGGCTACAGGACGCAACAGACGCTTTGACAACAGAACATTACCTGGAAAGTCCCGGTACGCCCCGGGCGAGTTGTCCAGAATGAATACCCTGTTTAGGTCGTCGCATATCGACGACAGGTTTTTTGTATATGAACCGAGCTCCGCGGTGCAATGTTGCCTGTAAACACACATTATGAGATTGATGTTATTACTTTTTTTTTTAAAAAAAAACACAGGGGGCAAACGAGCATAGGCTCACTTGATGGTAAGTGACTACCGCCGCCCATGATCACCCACAACACCAGCGGCATTGCAGGTGAGATGCCAGCCTTTTAAAAAGGAATATACTCTTTTCTTGAAGGTTATGTTGTCGTATCGGTTCGGAAATACTGCTGCTGGAAGTTGATTCCAAAGAATGGTTGTGCGTGGAAGAAAGTGCCTTGAAAAACGCACGGTGGAGGACCGTCACTCGTTCAGATGATTGGGATGAAACCGTTAACTGTGCACTGCTGAACATGTTTCTACCATAAGGAGGGGGGGGGGGTTACTCGTAGTTGCCACGCTTAGCAAGCGGGTTGGCAACCGCAGTTAGGCTTTGGTGATGTTTTAAGAGGGACGCTGCCCACCCTTCGCCCTCTCTTACTCGCACACAACACCCACAGCAAAGAAAGGGGTGATCTACTATTACAATGCTAGTTGGTTTACTTATTATTCTTTTACTTTAGCCCAGTGGTATAGGTCTCAACTTGTTGCTAGTTGCCACCTGACAGACGATTTTACTGTCAAGATATATAGATAGAGTAACATCATCGGCCGCTGTAAGACGAAGAAGAGAGACGCTGCTGTCCATCCCTCTGTCATTAAGTCCCCTTAGTCGCCTTATGAACTGTGCTGCCCATGTTTTACCCTCCCTTAAACGGCTCTTACGACACCCACGGAAAAGGAAGGGGTGACATATTCTATGGCGGGAGCACACGGCGAATCTATCTATTCGTAATTACCTATAAAACCTCTTGCGCAGTATACCCCGGCCGTTGTCCAGTTTATCGGCGACAGCGGCGCCATATATTTCCATGGACGCGGTGAATACCACCAACTCGTACCATTGCGACACCTGGCGAATAAGAAATATGGGACTGAATCATCATTTGAACATCTCAGTGCTGAGACGGTTTAAAAAAATTTTTTGCCCTCTGGCGTTTACTTTTTTTAATGGGTGATAATGGCGTGGTAACCCCGCCCGCGCTATCGGTATACACTGGCAGGGCACTAGTGAGGGGTGATAGGTGAGGATGAAGCAGGTCAGTTAGACCATTGTGACGAAGAATTCAACAAAAATTGTTCACGATGGTTTCCAGAGGGTACCACGTGGAGGTCGACCTAATAGGGTATATTGCTAGCAATGTTTTCCACGTGTCGAAATTGAAATGTTATGTCTAAATGTGAATCATGTTGTGTACACATGTTTTTGAATTGTAACCTAGTATAAAAACCATAATTACCTATATATAAACCCAACATGGTTATAATTTGTTATGTGCCCTTTTCTATCTGTTCTAAGTTCTAAGTTGTCTGTAAGAGACTGCCCTAGCGATAAGAACGCCTTTTGTACCTTTATGTGTATATTTGAATCTGTATTTATGTTACTGTATTTCACTTGAATTATTCACTTGTCATTGTATATTTTTACTTATGGTGCAATAAAGAGTTAAATAAATAAATAAATAAAATAAATCTGTACCTCATTAAAAGAAATAGAAATAAATGGGGCTGGCAAACTCCATTGCTAACAATCCCTTTCCCCCCGGCGTTTACGGGTTGGATGCCCGTACAGTATAAAAAATCCTGGATTTTCTATCTGTCTATTGATGTATCTTTCTGCTTATGTATAAACTAGTAATCCGCCCCACGGGTAGATAATGTAAGGATTTTAATAAAACTATAACTTTATATACATATACCAAAGGGAGACTTGAGAATGCAAACAAACTGACGGCCCACCAGATGGAAAGTAGTAACCGTCTCCTATAGACATGAGCAGTACCATGGATATAACAGAGTATACTGTTTCGCCCATGATACACCCCATGCGTTGCCATTCCTGAGGATTCAGGTGTTATTCTTCTGTAACCTGTAAATTCTATGGGATGGACGAATCAGGAATAAGTATCTTGGGCCCTTGGATAATGACATTTTAAAATGGATTGATCATTATAATTTGAAATATTTGGAATGGACGCATCAAGAATAAGTTTCTTGGGGCCTTTTGTAAGCAAATAAAAATAGCAGCGATGTAATGCCATATCGCACGGTGACGTAAGCGATAGGACGGTCTCTTTTGAACCCTTAGATAAAACATTCTAATACGGAGATAATTTAAAACATTTAGGATTGACGAATCAATAATAATACATATAATAAAATCGTAACTGATCGCTGTTTGTACATGGATATATAAGAAAAACTATTATAAGGGGGGCTTTATGAACGCAATAGAACCCAAAAATTTTAAAATTTTTGTCTGTATTTTTGTGCACGCCAATCTCAGAAACGGCTTAACCGATTTAAATGCTGTTTTCACTGATGCGGTACGGTTTGCTCCACTCAACATTTCAATCGGTACAAAGATAAAAAAAGTTATATCAATTTTAAGAATACCCACGCGTGCGAAGCCGGGGCGGGTTGCTAGTAAGTAATGAATAAACTTTAAATACCCGCGTTGATTTCAGCAAAGGCGAATACCGCCTTGGAATGGAATGTTAACATAATTGGAGGTTGGGATCTTATGAAGTGAATTCTAATACACATTTGCACACCACATGTGAGCGGTTCCCAGATCATTGCCCTTTTAAGAGATATCATTGTTTACTTTAAGTTATTTTGAATTTGTTTATAACATAAATGCTAAAATGCCACTGTCTGTGTTCTTTAGAATCGTCTATTAATTTGTATGTCTATATATATATATATAATTTAAAATTAATTATAATAAATTATATGGCGTCCATAAAATGTATTATGTGTCTTTTTTTATGCAATTTAAAATGGCAAACAAGCTGACGACCCACCTGATAGAAAGTGGTAATCGTCGCCTATAGACATGAGCAGTACCATGGACATAACAGAGTATACTGTTTTGCCCATGATACCCCCCATGGGCCGCCATTTCTGAGGACTCAGGTGTTATTCCTCTGTAACCTGTAAATTCTATGGGATGGACGAATCAGGAATAAGTATCTTGGGCCCTTGGATAATGACATTTTAAAATGGATTGATCATTATAATTTGAAATATTTGGAATGGACGCATCAAGAATAAGTTTCTTGGGGCCTTTTGTAAGCAAATAAAAATAGCAGCGATGTAATGCCATATCGCACGGTGACGTAAGCGATAGGACGGTCTCTTTTGAACCCTTAGATAAAACATTCTAATACGGAGATAATTTAAAACATTTAGGATTGACGAATCAATAATAATACATATAATAAAATCGTAACTGATCGCTGTTTGTACATGGATATATAAGAAAAACTATTATAAGGGGGGCTTTATGAACGCAATAGAACCCAAAAATTTTAAAATTTTTGTCTGTATTTTTGTGCACGCCAATCTCAGAAACGGCTTAACCGATTTAAATGCTGTTTTCACTGATGCGGTACGGTTTGCTCCACTCAACATTTCAATCGGTACAAAGATAAAAAAAGTTATATCAATTTTAAGAATACCCACGCGTGCGAAGCCGGGGCGGGTTGCTAGTAAGTAATGAATAAACTTTAAATACCCGCGTTGATTTCAGCAAAGGCGAATACCGCCTTGGAATGGAATGTTAACATAATTGGAGGTTGGGATCTTATGAAGTGAATTCTAATACACATTTGCACACCACATGTGAGCGGTTCCCAGATCATTGCCCTTTTAAGAGATATCATTGTTTACTTTAAGTTATTTTGAATTTGTTTATAACATAAATGCTAAAATGCCACTGTCTGTGTTCTTTAGAATCGTCTATTAATTTGTATGTCTATATATATATATATAATTTAAAATTAATTATAATAAATTATATGGCGTCCATAAAATGTATTATGTGTCTTTTTTTATGCAATTTAAAATGGCAAACAAGCTGACGACCCACCTGATAGAAAGTGGTAATCGTCGCCTATAGACATGAGCAGTACCATGGACATAACAGAGTATACTGTTTTGCCCATGATACCCCCATGGGCCGCCATTTCTGAGGACTCAGGTGTTATTCCTCTGTACCAAGTAAATTCACGCCATATCCCACCCCTCAAACCGATACACAGCCATGCAAACACAACTGCTTCACGGTTGAAACACGAATGGGACAGAGGTACCCAAGCAATCGACTTTTGTACAAATCTCCCACTGGTGAATGTGTTAATACATATTGACACAACTTTTTTATTTATGAACTGATTGAAATAAAGTAAACACTAAATGTTGAGAGGAGCAAACCGCACCGCATCAGTGAAAATTCCGAGATTAGCGTGCACGAACGTAAAGACAAAAATTCTAAAAACCATTGTTTCGGGTACTATTGCGTTCATAAATCCTCCCTATAATAGTTTTTCTTCTATATTTTCCGTGTACAGACAGCGGCCAGTTACGATTTTATTTGTATTGTTTTGAAATATATTTATACTTTATTGTACACATTAATAATATGTAAGAAAATATGGAAGAGGTAATCAAATGTACAAAGGCGAGCTTAACTCTAAAAGAGTTCTCTTCCAGCAACACCCAAAGTGGAAAGAAGCATCAATCATTACCAAAGTCAAGGCCTTAATACGTTAGTAGAAGGTTTTATTTGTTTTATTTTAAGTAAGTTTTATTGTATACTAGTTATATCTCTCGGCTTTACCCGCGTAAATTGCCAGAGGGAGACTTTGTACAAAAGTCGTTTGCTTGGGTACCTCTGTCCCATTCGTGTTTCAACCGTGAAGCAGTTGTGTTTGCATGGCTGTGTTTCGGTTTGAAATGGTGGGATATGGCGTGAATTTACAGGGTACAGAGGAATAACACCTGAGTCTACAGGCGACGGTTACCACTTTCCATCAGGCGGGCCGTCAGCTTGTTTGCCATTCTAAGATGTATGAAAAAAACGTATTTTCGAGGAGAAAGAGGGGCACGGGAGTTGGGCCGTGCAATTTACACAGGCGGACTTATCCCTTAAAGGGATTTCTTCTCAGAGAAGGGGTTTTGTGTCCAATTTTCTTACTTTTACATTGGAGTACCAAATACAATGGCGATGAGTATTAATTTTACTAGTTTTGGTTACGGTATTGTAACTTGTAAGAAATCAAGCGTGTAATGGGCTGACATGAATGTTTGATGACATCGCCTACACACTTTTTAACGTTAGTAAAATTTAAAATTTAAACCTTATTTCGATTGCATAAAGTTGAATTACGGCTGCGGCGAGACGAATAATGACAATTATTGTAAAATGAGCCCTTTACATAGTACGAAGTCAACACGGGAGTAAGCCCGATATATCCCGAGGGAAAGGGATTGTTAGTAATGAGGACTAATGGCCCCATTGCTAGCAAGCTGTGTCAGGTCGACCTCCACGCTGTTCCCCCTGGAAACCATCGTGATTAAAACTTGTTGCATTCGTTACGATGGGTTAACTGACATACTTTCTCACCTATCATCCCTCACTGGTGCCCCGCTAGTGTATATGCTATTTTTTTTATACAACTTAGAATGACAAACAAGCTGACAGCCCACCTGATGGAAAGTTGTAACCGTCACCTATAAACATGAGCAGTACCATGGACATAAGAGTAAACTGTTTCGCTCATGAAACCCCCCCATGCGTTGCCATTCCTAAGGACTCAGGTGTTATTCCTCTGTACCCAGTAAATTCACGCCATATCTCACCTGCTTTACGGTTGAAACACGAATGGGACAGAGGTACCCAAACAATCAACTTTTGTACAAAGTCTCTCTGCGCTAATAGCGCTGGCAGGATTACCATTCCATTATAACTAAAAAAAAAAAATTGGTAGTAATATGTAAAGCCACTTACTATATCCAAGAAGTAGTCAACATGCGGCCGCTTGTGCACAAAGAACCTGACTGGATGCTTGTCTATCGTCACCTTGAGGACGAAGTCGGGCGGCGTGCCAGGTTTGACGGTCGGCCGCAGCATCGCGTCGTGGTGTGAATGAATCAGCGTCTCGTCTAGATCTAGTACCAACATTTTCCTTTTCACTAAACCTGAAAAAAAAAAATGCTTTGTCCGAGGAACTGGTTTCATAATAAAAACGCTTATGTACACACAGATATATCGTCATAGTCATAGAATACTGACGGATCTGACGAATATTACATATAAAGATACGTCAGTATTCTACGACTATGACAATATATTTGTATTTGTAACACAGGGAGGCAAACGAGCATACGGCACACCTGATGGTACGTGACTAAGGCCGTTCAAAAACCTGCAAACTTGAAGGTATTGAAGGTGTGCTGCTGGCATTTTAAAAAGAAATATGCTCTTTTCTTGAGGTTCTTATGTATATAATATTGGCACATGTAATGTAATGTAAGGAAAGAATATATATGATATATATATGTACATATCTCAATATGTATTGTCTTCTTGTATGTATCTTGTCTCATAAGTGGAAGCTCCTCTCAAATTTTGGATTTTAAATGGTTAGATATAGTAATGGTAAATATGGTTTGTAAAAATATTTGATACTCAAACTTAAATAAATAAAAATCGAAATATCTATAAATAAAATTTGGTATACAGATGGTATACTCTACTCAAAAATATTATATCATTGATTTAAAAATCAAACAATGGAACTAACTGTAATGAAATGCCTATGGGACCAATCTAACAGTATATTATTTCAAATAAATAAAGAATGTTCCAAAATTAACATAAAAAAATACAACAAAATTGAAACCACCATCTTTTTTAAAGTTGGTTCAGAATCTTACTAATATAATCAAATTGTGATCAGAGGATATTTATATGTGCAAGATATTTAAAAAAACTTATTAATAGGAGGGGTCTTAATAAGACCATTAGAAATCAAAACAAACTAAACAAAAATTTTTAGAAATTTTATCTGTCTGTTTGTATGTTCGTTCTGGCATTACACAAAAACTACTGCACATAGTTTATTATTCAGTATTCACAATTGCATTCTGAAGGTCTAACTTCAAATCTGGTGTATGTATTATTTTCATACACCATCTAAAAGTGATTTATTTAATTTTATGCGTAAATTTACTTGGTACAGAGGAATAACACCTGAGTCCTCAGGAATGGCAATGCATGGGTGTATCATGGGTGAAACAGTATACTCTGTTATGTCCATGGTACTGCTCATGTCTATAGGCGACGGTTACCACTTTCCATCAGGTGGGCCGTCAGCTTGTTTGCCATTCTAAGTTGTATAAAAAAAAAAAAATTGATTTTCCTACTCCTATACATACAAAGTAACAGGCAAAAAGTTAGTAAATTCTAAAAAAGTTTCGACCTCAATCTATGATTATCACTTTACATGGAATACACAATTCATCATGACATCTGACAAAAAAAAAAACCACTTCCATATAATGTACTAACAAAATAATATTTGATGTCACTTAATTTTGTGATGATACAGCAGTTTTAATTTTTTTTTTATGTTATGTTGGAATGACAAAGGTAACAGTTCATGTGATGGAAAGTGGCAATTATCAACTATAGGTATGAACAGCACCATAGAAATCACAGAATACATGCTAATAGTAACCATCACTTGTTCCATCTAGGGGGTTATGCCTCCATACATTGAAATTTCTCATAAAAAATTCCACAACTAGAGTAAAGGTATTCATCATCATCATATCAGCTATTAACTGTCCACTGCTGAACATAGACCTCCCCCTTGGAGAGTTTTACCAGTAATTGCCACGTTCGGCAGGCAGATTGGCAACCACAGTTAGACTTTGATAATATTTTAAAGGAGTACTGCTGTCTATCCTTTGACAACCATTAAATTTCCTTAGTCATCTCTTACAACACCATTAGGAAAGGAAGACGTGGTCCATTCTATGCCGGGACCACATGGCTAATTCGTAAGAGGTATTCATGCATATGACTTTTGTACAAAGTCTCCATTCGTAAATTTTATCCACTTTCATTAAGTCTGTAATTAATACTGGAAGAGAGAACCAAGAATCAGAAGCTTCACTTTTACATAAAAACCTTTTTTCAGTCTTTTTATAAATCATAATCATGCTTGGACACTGTTTTTGAACTCTAATCCTCTCTCATAGACATGATGATATACCTAATTATAACAATATTATTTTTTTAAAAGCTTATGTTAATTTTTATTCAATGTCTGTATGAACTATAACAAATATAATTTGTATATTATTTTATTTTTTCTAAGGGTTGTACTTTTCATAAGTTACATAGATATGGATGTAGGTCTATATTTAAGGTTTTTAGATCAGTTTATTGAGTATCCCTTTACTCTAGAAAAAAATTAAAAACTTAAGTTTTATAATTAGACTATCTCAAGTGAAAGTTTATAATTGTATAAACTGCTGAGATAAAAAATAAATAAAAAAAAGTTTAATTAGTGTAATTAAGTCTGGTAAGAATCATTATTATAAAAATGTAATTGTAACTTATCTTATTGCTTCTACCATATTTTTTTTATAAGCGATACTCTTTTTACATGATAGAATGTTATTTGGGTACTAAAGTAACTATGGCTTATTATATAGCCATAATATACAAAAAGAAAAGATATGGACAGAGAGTAGTGCAGGGAAATATTTAAAAACTTAATTTGATTGAATAGTTGTAACTTTTAATATTCAATTCTACATTACAGGAATGTTGGTCTGAGGTTTATAAAAAAGAATCTACTAAGATTATATGATAATATGTAAAAAGTTTATTAATCATTCACATTAATATTTAAACAGATTTGAATAAAATTAGGTAACAAATGAATAATTTCCTGGATGACACTTTATCCTAATTCATATAGCAAATTGCAAGTTACAATAAGGATTTACATATGATCAATAAATAAAACAGTAAAAAAGCTATAGACAAAGAGTACTTATATGATTATTTCAATAACATAAATAGAGATCAATCATAATTTTTATCACTATGTTTATGACACTACAATGCTCAGTTTTTATCAGTACAATGAAAAAAGAATAAACAGATTTTATGCAAATAATTACAAGTACTTGTATGCTTGTAGTTATTATTTTTAGTAAAGTTTATTTCATTATTATTGTATTTCTAATTATAAATTATACTTATCATCTATTTTCATTTAACATAACTAAACTTTTCAGGACTATCAAAATAAGAAAGAAACAATGCTTTAATTCATAGTGATAAGCGTATGAGGTACCGCGTTAAGCAATGATTTTCAGCATACAAGTACATAAAAATGATTACTTACTCAACCTGTGTCTAGATACCGGGGAAAGCGGATAAATTTCATACTTGACAGATTGGTACTGCGCCAACTGAAAACCAAACACCACGTGAGACTTGGAATCGTCTTGTACTTAAAATAAATCACAGTATGTCCAAAACACTTTATATTTACCGCTCGATATTGCTTCTTAAACATATAACAAAAACAACTCCATACTTTAGATGCGATAAGCATAAACGTGCGAAGGCCCATTTGCAATTGTTTCAGCATTTGAATAGATTAGGAGAGGATCACGATTATATAAATACAATTTGTATTAAACAACAGTGATCGAAACGAGATCATTGACGGCGTAATTCAAAACAAATTCCATTTAATCAACTGCCGAAAACATCTAACGCGCCATGACATAATCGACCCAATTCACAAAACCACAAACAAAATAGAACAGATAGAACTTTTCCTTTCATTTTGTCTATGTGTTTTGACATGATAGTGTTGTTCATTTATTGTCATTGATGTGACAGTTTTGTTTTTTTTTTTTTTTTTTTTTTTTTTTCTTTTTTTGTAGCGTTCACCCCGATATTAGGGTATTTTGCCAAGAACAAAACGGGGAAACGATAATAGTAATAAAAATACCTAACACAAACGAATTTAGAAAGGATAAGGATTAGGTCTAGGATATTTATAGGATATGAAACATATACTTGTACATATGAGAATATACTTATAAATATATAGGAAAAGCAATTGATGCAACTATAAATGTATTCATGTAATATAACTAAATCTTAATATTGTTATCATATATATATGAAGATAGTATTTTATAGATAATAGGATCATTGGAAGAAAGTAGAGTAAGAATAGAAGTTGGGAATGGAACACGGATGGATCGGAGATGATTAAAAAGGGAGGTGTGGTCAAATTTAGAACATGAGAAGAATATATGATTCAAGTCCGCCACTTCAGCACCGCAATTACACGACGAACTTTGTACAATACCAAGCTTGTATAAATGAGAAGGTGTGCATACGTGACCTAGACGCATACGAGTTATAATAGTTGTTGCGGTCTTTCCAAGCTTTAATTTACAAAACCATGGTTTGAAAGGAATATCGGGTTGTATAAGGCGATAAAATCTTCCTTTTATTGTACTTGTTTTTTCCCAATATTCTTTCCAGGCATACCTTAAATATATTTTTGGGAGACAAGCTAGGTCACTACAGTAATTATGATACGGATACATATCACCACAAGTTACAGCCTCTCTTGCAATAAGGTCAGCTTTGTCATTGCCGCTAATACCACTGTGTCCTGGTAACCAGGCAAAAGAAACGGAATAACCTCTCAACATGCAAAGATAAAGACTTTGTCTTATGTCACAAATAATGGGATAAACTGGTTTTGATTTAAACGGATATTTGGCTAGAGCTTGCAAAGAGCTCATAGAGTCAGTGAAAACTATTGCCTTATGTAATTTCATTAAAAGTATATATTCTACAGCTTTTAAAATACCATAACATTCCCCGGTAAAAACTGAAGACTCCGGTGGAAGTTTAATTTTTTGAACGATATTAAATTGTGAATGAAACACACCCACACCTACACAACCGCTATTGTCTGGTTTTGATGCATCAGTAAAGATGTAGTGCCATTCATTCCATTCAATGTCAGTTATAAACATAAATTTGGCATTCAATTCTGAATCATTTTTTAATAACCCAAAATCATATTTAATATTAGGAGATAAAACTAAAGATTGATATGAGCATTTATAAATGGGAAAACAGAACAATGTAAAAGTGGGAGATTCTATGGATTTATATTTTTCATAACTTTGTATTAAACATGGAGGTTTTTTATGTTTCCAATAAGATGAAGACGAAATAAAGATATGTAGTTGAGATAACTTTTGAATAAGCGGATGATCAGATAATTGTAAACAACGAAAAAAGAAGCGATCAGATAGATATTGTCTTCTTAAAACCAAAGGTGGATCACCGACTTCGAGCTGTAAAGCATTGATTGGACTTGATTTCATTGCTCCAGAGATAATCCTCAAGGCCTTTGATTGAATTAAATCCAATTTCTTAAAAGCAAATGAACTTCCTGGAGCTAACAAAAAAGTTCCATAATCAATGACACTCCTTATAAGACCATTATAAGCAAGTTTTAGTGAAACGGGATGTGCTCCCCACCAAACTCCAGCAAGGCACCTAAGAATGTTGAGGTTACGCTCACATTTCGTAGAAATATAATTACAGTGGGACAGACCTGTTAATTTATTATCTAGCACGATACCTAAAAATTTAATTTCAGTCTTTATAGGAATGTATGAGTTATCATAAAGCACCTTAATTTGTTGCGGTGATCTCATTCTTGAAAACAAAACTACACTACTCTTGGTTACAGAAAGATTAAGACCATTTGCATCTAACCACGTTTTTAACAAATCTAATGAATCAGATAATTTGGCAGAAGCAGATTCTATGGACTTCGCAATAAAATATAATAAAAGATCATCAGCATATTGTAAAATTTTGACGGATTTATCAAGGAATAATTCTAGATCGTATGTGTATATGTTAAATAAGATTGGACTGAGAACAGATCCTTGTGGAAGGCCTTTCCATACTGTTCTAGATAATTTGGTATCTTCATCTAAATTCATATATATTGTTCTTTCTGATAAAATATTAATAATGAAATTAGAAAGCATTACCGGTACATTTAGAGCTTGTAATTTAGTTTTTAAAATAGAAATTATTACATTATCATAGGCAGAATTTATATCTAAAAAGGCTGAGAGGATTGACAAATTTTGTGAGAAAGCTATATGAATATCTGAAATAAGAATGCTCACATTATCTAAGGTGCTCTTACCTTTCCTAAAACCAAACTGGTTCGGGGATAGTAAGTTATTACTTTCTAAAAACCATTCTAGACGGTTTTTCACTAAATGTTCAGCTAGCTTTAGTAAGACAGAGGAAAGTGCAACAGGACGGTATGAAGATGGTTCAGAAGGTGGTTTATGAGGCTTTAGAAATGGTATAATAATCTGAGACTTCCATGAAGTAGGTATATTTCCCGAAATAATTATGGAATTAATTATATTTAAAAAGTAAATTAATGTCGCATCGCTAGCATTTTTAAAAAAGGAATACGGTATACCGTCTTCTCCCGGTGCAGAGTCTTTAATAGAAGCTAGAACACCTTTAAGTTCTACTAGAGTAAAAGGAGAGTCAAGTTCGAATAATTCGTCAGAGACGGATAGAGAAATATTGTAAAGGCATTCCGGCACATAACTAGGAGCAAGACGATCTAAAAATTTATTCGCTAAAGTTAAATCGAGTGCAGAACGTGATGTATGATCACTAAAGGCAGATCTGAATCTTTTAATATTATTCCAAACGACTGATGAATTAACTTCTGGACAGATAGAAGAACAAAATCTTCTCCAGCCTTCTAATTTCTTTTTTTTCAGTAGTTTTCGAGTAGAACGTGAAACTGCGGTGTAAATTTCAAAATTTTCTGGTGTCATGTAATTATTATAATTTTTTTCAGCCTCTTTACGATTTTTAATTGCTTCCGTACAATCTTTGTCCCACCAAGGTGGCGAGGGAATTTTCCCTGAAGCACTATTTTTAACAGGAAATAATAAATCAGCAACCTCCTTCATATTTATCATCAAGTCATTACAACATTGATGTTCATTTCCATGGTAAACAATAGGTAACTCCGATATTTTATTATCTAAATATTGTTTGTAAATATTCCAGTCTACATTTGATAAATTATATTTAAGCCGAGGACCACTCTTTCGACTTGAGGGAATGGAAATTGGAAAAGAAAGAATGAGGGGAAAGTGATCGCTTCCGAAAGTAGAGGAATGAGGATACCACGACAGTGAAGAAGCTAAATCAGAAGAACATATTGAAATGTCAGGAGCACTAAACCCTTCATTCGGTGCAGTTCTACGTGTTGGTACATCTGAGTTAATAATACATAAGTTGTAAGTGTCAATTATCGTCAGGAGTTTTCCACCATAAAAATTAGAAGTAGAACTGCCCCACGATTGGTGTTGAGCATTAAAATCGCCCATTACGAGAAAAGGTTTAGGTAAAATTGAAAATAATTGTTCTAGTTGTGAATATATTTGGCATGTAGGATCAGGAATATATAAAGTAACAAAACAGATACCATTTATAATTATAGCAGCTGCATTAATGCCGCTATATACAGGAAGCGAAAAAGAAGAAAAAGGAAGGGAGTTTTTGACCAATATGGCAACACCGCCATATCCGTCAGCTCTATCATCACGGAGACTTGTAAAGCCTGAAATCCTAAAAGGATATCCTGGCTTTAACCAAGTCTCTTGGAGAGCTATTATAAAAGGATTATATTTATTAATCAAATAAAATAAGTCTGATTTCTTGTTTGTTATGCTACGACAGTTCCACTGAATTATTAGGACTTTGTAATCCATTGTGAGAAGTTAATAATTGAGAAAATACATTGTAAATGGCATCGTTGGACGGTGGTAAAGTTGTTTGTATCATTTTCGATTGCGATAACACTTTAATAAGCATGAGAATAATATCAAAGATGGATTGATTATTGTCAATATTATTTGATGATAATGCACAACCATTAGAGGGAGCAGGAATATTATATTCCTTAACTATGGCTTCATGGGCAGAACGATCATATCCTTGTTGTGCTTTTTGAGGAGAGCGTGGTTTAAGTGTAACTGTTTTTTTATGTGATGATTGAATATGTGGTAATGATGATTTCTCTTTGAGGAAAGAAGATTGAAAATGAGATTTATTGGACGGAGATGATGATGTTAATACATCTGAATATAGTTTAGAAGTGGGAGGATGAAATTTTGATGCTTCAGCATAAGAAACACAACTGTGGGCCATTGTTTCTTTAATGGCTTTCTGACGTGCATATTCAGGACATTTCTTACTAATTGCTGAATGAGAACCATTACACAAGATACAAGAAACATTTTCCTCATCTACTTCACATTTATCACCTGTATGATTTTGCCTGCATTTATAACACCGAGGATTTGAACGACACTGCATCTTGACATGTCCGAACCTACAGCAGTTATAGCATTGGATAGTGGGGTAAATGTACAAATCTACAGTTAATGATGTGTAAAACATAAATACTCTTTTTGGTAATATTTGTCCATCAAAAGTAATAACAATGGTTTCAGTATTAATAAAACTTGGTTGTCCTTCATTAATGGTCTTTTTCTTAATTCTTCTGGTTTTTAGAATTCTCCCACAACCTATAGGTACTGATATATTTTGGATTACTTCCTCTTCTGTCCAATCTTTAGGAATACCCCTCACAATTCCCATACGGGTTACATGGAAAGAAGGTATAAATGCCTTAAAATTATGTGTTTCTAAGTGACTATTATTTAAAAATGCATTTGCATTTTCAAAATTTGAGAAAGAAAGCGATAAACGGTTTCTTCCTATTCTTTTGAGGCTACCATTCACTATATTATTTATCTTATTAGTGTGTAAAAAGCGACCAAATGCAATAGGATGTAATGTAGTGTTATCATTAGGATGTGTTTCATTTTTTTGTACATGAACGACATAAGGAGCTACATCCTCGGCATTGTACAAAGTTCTGCTTAAAGTACTGGGTGGAGAAGCAGGTTTAACAGACTCGGTATTATTTACAACTGGTATTGATACTAGAGTTTGATTCTCATCCTCAATACATTGACAATCACTATCTTTAATTTTAGATTCGAGACCTTTGGTGTGCCTCCTTCGTTTTTTATTGCAATGTTTGCAAATGCGACGTTCGCCACGTACTCGCTTACGTTTAGAACTTGCAACGCTAGAACCATCTGTGTCCATACTAGATTCACCCAATATATCAAAACTATTATTAAATGGGATAGTTATATTTGCAGACACCTGGGGGGTTGTCCCCCCAGGGTCTATAGGTGGATCCATAATGTCTAATTAATATAGGTAATTTACTTACCAATATTTACAGCAACAAACACTATTACTACAAAATATACAATTATATATACAATCTAATACACAATATATAAATAAAACTAATCCTTATATAATTAAAAATAAAATTAATTTAAAGAAGATCAAAAAACACTCCCGCTTTTTTAAACGTTTCCCGCGCTTTTTTCCGACAGTTTTGTTAGATTGTCAACTAGTTTTTGTTAATGATAGAGCACAGACAATAATAATCATTATTATATGTCTATGGGTTTTTTTAATGGGTGAGAATGCAATGGTAACCCTGCTGCGTTATCAGTATAAGCTGGCGGTGCACCAGTGACAGATGAAAGGTGTTTATCAAAGGTCAATTAGCATATCGTGAAGTCCAGGAGGAAACGCGTGGAGGTCGACCTGATGGGGTACATTATTACCAATGGGGCTGTTCAACCTCATTACTAATAATCCCTTCCCCTCTATGTCTGTGGGTTGGAGTGAACTTGTGCAAATAGTAAAAATAATAATATAACAAAAATACGTTTTCAAACGAACATTTATTAAGATCTTGTAATAAAATTTATTAAAATAATTAAAGACTACTAATATTTACGGAAAATGAAATACGCAAATTTATTATTTGGGGCTATGTTGTGGTCGTCTACAGAGTAAGTAAACTGCGTTACACTTAACTGCAACTGTAAATATTATGAAAATATACACATCAGTAAAATAAAAGAGAAAAACACAGATCAACATATATTATATTAGAGTGAGATAAAAAATCATTTATGTACACGCTACAGGATCTAAAGTAAATGGCGGGAAATATGAACAAAATAATTTCTCATACTTACATACATTCTCCGGGTAGATAGATAAGTTATAGTGGGTAGGTATTGCGAAAAAAATATTTTTGTAATATCTAAAAATCAGTAAAAATAATTAAGAGTCTCATATAAAAAAAATCTAATCTCAAAAAAATATATAGCCAGTCAGAAAATTTATTTAATAACAAAGGTTAATTCTAATAAACTTTGGTAAGTAAAGCCCTTGATTTTGCAAATGTTTACAGTCATCAGCATGAAATAAATACTACGTAGATGGGATACGATAACCTATGACGATTAGGAGATGGGCAAATCGTATTGTCTTTGCTACTATTGGTATGAAAAAAAGGAGTCAATTTCATAATTGTAAAATATAGTTTATTATTCATATGTATAATGTAATTATTGATGTATATGTGTAACGCAAGCACTAGGTCCATTTGGTGGCTGGGCGGCTATTCCTCTCCTGTTCATACGGCACGTGTGCTCTTCTAGTCGATGGCGGGCGTCTGTCAAAGCATCTTTTCGGGCGCGGTAACTGGCAGCTAGACTAGCACTCCACAAACGTTCCGCTACAGCACTACTTCGCGGCCATACTCTGTTGTAAAAAAATAATAACAATAAAAATGGCATCATTTTTTTTAATATGTTAATTTTTAATATACGACACTAAATAACAAAAATTGAGTGAACTTAATAATATCTTGCGTAGTTATCAACATTTTTGTCGACTATTTCAAAATTACTAATACAGCTTGCTTATATACTACGTTTCAGTTTAAATAATGAGATTACATTATATAGTTTTATATGTGTATGTATATATACATAAACAACTATTTATATATTTATATATATAAATATCAAACCTGTTAATAACGTTAGCATCGTCAACCACCTCGCCCCACATGCAAGCCTCTCCGCCAATAATGTTATCCAGCAAAGAGTCATTCCCTGTGGCATTGTACACCATTAATCTTGGATCAGCTATGTAAAAGTCTGTCCAATCACCACCAGACTTTATGTGGTCGAGGTACCAGCTCGCGGAAAATATGAGCCTATGACCAGCTTCAAGAATCTGCAAATTTGGATTTTTTTTTTATTATTAAGTGTATTTAAAAAGCAAGCCAATATTTTTAATAATACTACTGACTGATAGATAAAGCAAATAAAATAGAATAAATAAATAAATAAATTTTGCACAGAGGGACGAAAATTTATATTATTGCAAATGGCGGTGAATTTACAAGGTACAGAGGAATAACACTTTAGCCCTCAGGAATGGTAACGTATGGGGATTATCATGGATGAAACAGTATACTCTGTTATGTCCATGGTACTGCTCATGTCTATAGCTGATGGGTACCTCTTTTCATCCATTGCCATTCTAAGTTGCATAAAAAAAAGTTCCTTAGGATTGTACTAATAAACTATTTTATCGAGTATAATGAATTTTACTAATTATATATACATATATATATAAACGCTTACTTTTCATCTTATGATTTTTATATCCCATACGTTGATCAGTAGACCTAACTACTAGTTATAAATTAAATTAATTATATACATATAAAAATACTATTAAAATACTAATTTTATTAACCACGGATTTAATTTACACAGCCTGTACGAGTTTTTTTTTTTTTATACAACTTAGAATGGCAAACAAGCTGACGACCCACCTGATGAAAACTGGTAAGTGTCGGCTATAGACATGAGCAGTACCATGGACATAACAGAGTATACTGTTTTGCCCATGATCACTTCAAACCGATACACAGCCATGCAGACACAACTGCTTTAAGGTTGAAACACGAATGGGACAGAGGTACCCAAGCAATCGACTTTTGTACAAAGTCTCCCTCTGCACGAGTATAATATCACTCCTCTCACATGGCACTCACCTTAACCATGGTATTCACCCATTGATTTTTCCAAACTTGAATAATAGTATCACTCGACAGTGGAACACCTTCATCAAACACTTCCTGAAAATTGAGCATAGAATTTTAAACATAGTCATTCCCTATGGGATTGTACGCCATTGATTTTGGGTCAGCTATGTAAAAGACTGGCCAGTCACCGTCAGACTTTAAGAGATTATGTAGAAAACAGCCGTCTCTTATGAACTTTACAATGTGGCTGTTTTATGTATAAAAAAAAAAATATTATGTTTATTTAAACGTACTTGCCACACGATGGGAAGCGATTTATTCTGTAATAAAGGTATAACATTTTGCATGAAGATTGCATGTAGTTGATATGCGCTCACGTTGTGTTTAGCCATATAATCTTGAAGCTCAGGATTTGATTTCCTGTAATGCATTAATGGTATTGATCACGGAATTCGAGTGTTTTTTTTTTTTTAATTAAAGTAAAATTTAAATTATGTAAAGTAAATTAAAATAAACTAAAGTAAAATTAAAATGAACTAAAATAAGAAAAAAAAATAATAACAATACAAATGAAGCTTTTCATTTATGATTTAATTTTGTTAATAAACATAGTCGAAAGTATGAATAAATGTAAGAAGAAAGCTAAATTAAGTATTTAAATTGTACTGGAGGTGTTGTCATTGAAAGAATCTACTTATCTATCTATTTTATTTAAGAGCTGCGCTCTTGTCGGTGGAGCTCTTGCCACTCATTACGATTTTCAGCGAGTCTCTTCACCTCTTGATACGACATAATATAAACTTTGTCCTTGATCTATCTGGTGTAATTATGTCTTGGTCTACCCCTGTCCCTTTCTTCCTTCTATCTTACCTTCTATTATAATCTTCATAAGTTCGTCGTGTCGTATCAAGTGTACTAACATTTTTTCCCTTCTGACCTCAATAGTTCTTATAATTTGTCTCTTTTCCTTAACCCTAAGCATTTAATATTGAAAGAATATGACAAAAAAAAAAGAAATATCTATCTTACCAACAATTCAATTCGACTTCGTCACCGCCAACATGTAAATATTTATCAGGGAACCATTCTTGTATTTCTTCAAATAATTGCCCGAGCATTGTATAGGTGGCGTTATTTATGGGATTCATGGGTCCTAAGCCTATGACGTTCTTTTTGTCGTAACACTTCGTCAGGATGTCAGGGTATGCTACGCCCCAGGACCGAGTGTGTCCTATAGAGTAATAAATAAGTAATTAGGCACTTCGATAAACAAATATCGTTTTAAATTTTCGTCATGGCATTAACAATTATTCATTTTTATAATGAGATATTTACTCTGATTATATCGTTGTGATAATGATTATAGTTTTTGATATTTCGATTATTTTATCAGTTCCCGGCCATTGTTTTTTTTCAATGGACGATAATGAAATGGTAACCCTGATTACACTATCGGTATACACCGGTGGGGCACCAGTGAAGGATGATAGGTGAAGATAAAGCATCTCCGTTAGTTCATCGTGACAAATTCACCAATGAATCAGTCATGACGGTTTCCAGGGGGAACCACGAGGACGACCTGATAGAGTATATTGCTAGTAATAGGGTTTTTAACCCCCATTATTAAAAATCCCTCCCCCCCCCCCCTTCCACGGGTCATAATTTGCATATTACAGGCAAATATGTAATGTCTCGTTATAAAATAAATAATATTATTAGTAAAATAATAATATTATAAAATTTAGAAAATCAAACCAACTTTGAAGTAGAAAAATGCAATCGAAACAAACCTGGTACATCAAATTCTGGTAAAACCCGTATTCCTCGCTCCGTGGCATATGCTATGATCTTCTGGATGTCTTCGTGCGTATAGATCATGGAAGAGTGATATGCACCGAGAGCGCTATGGATATAAGACACTTATTTATTTATTTAAACTTTAATGCACAGCAAAATTCTGTGTACATTTGGCGGACTTAACACCGGACGGTGTTCTCTACTAGTCAATCATTGGGCAAACCGAGAAATACGTAGGCGGTGCATTTTTGAATAGAGAAAACAATAAAGCAATATTGGATAAATTTATATAATATAAACATACACATAATATATTAAATAAATAAATGTATACATACAATAAATACATATATAAAATATTACTATATAAAACAATTAAATAAAACAACTGCAATAAAAGAGCAAATAGCAATCTATGACTCAAACAGAGCAACCAGCAGGAGAAGCTTAAAGGGAAAGTGATTTTTCTAAGAAACAGGTGCGCGACTTATATATATAATATCTTATATATAAAATAAAGGTATATAATATAATATAGTATATATATATATATATATATATATATATATAAGGTTAGTTTAGATCAAGAATCACATATTATTATGACTACCGATTTAAATCAAATTGTCTCTTTTACATAACTTCAAATCTAACAAGCTAACACGGCATATAGACTTGTATTAATTTGTCTACGCTTTAAACATCTCTAGAACCTGCTATATATGGTTAGATGTACATAAACCTAAAAATTATAGGATCCAATTTGAACTTTGAATAAAAGACTGTTCTTTAGCCGTTACCTCCGAAGGTTTATGCCAGTGAGACAGTTTATTTTAGATCAATAAAATTCAATATAACCTAATTCAGCCCGGGGATCGATTAATGTCTAAAAGACAGGATATGGCAGTGAAATTACAGGGTAGGGAGGCAATATTATAGTCTTCGAAAATGGCAATCATGGGTATAGCAGTGTATGTGTATTCTGTAATATCCATGCCTTTACGCGAGAGTTAAAATTTCCCATTAGATAGGCAATTAGTTTAATTGCCATTTTAAGTATCATAAAAATATAAATGGCTGAGTACTTCTTTATGAGAAAATAAGGTGTATACCCACTTTTTGTAATAGGTAATGGATAAGCTGAAATGACAAGCCCTTTCTTTCCCCGTGGGTGTCGTAAGTGGCGACTAAGGGAACTTAATGGTCGAGGGACAGGCAGCAACATGCTTCTTAAAACAGCATCAGGGCCTGGCTGCTAACCGTCTGTCAAACGTGGTAATTACTAGCAAAACCCTTTTTTGTAAGGAAAGTCTATGTTTAGCAATAGATAGTTAACGAATGATTTAATGATCATGCGATAAAGCTGAAATAATTATGGTACTCTTCCATAGAGGATACTCTTCCTTTAGCAATAATTACCTCAAATTCGGAAACTTTTCACTCTGATACGGAAAACTTTGGTCATCGACGATATGCCAGTGGAATACATTTAGCTTGTTCATGGCCATGGCATTCAATGTCTTCAGAATATTGGACACAGATATATAATGCCGCGATGTGTCCAGCAACAGACCTCGATGCTTGTACCGGGGGTAATCCATTATATGTGTTTTGTTTATCCTTAATTGCTGGAATAAAAGTAGTATATCATAATAAAATAAATTCCAAACATGTCATAAACAATTGATGTGCATCATATTCTATTAGAGTGTCGTATTAACACGAAGGAAAGAGAAGAACTCATGCGCCACTTTAACTTAAATAAATTTAATGTTGGTCTTATTCAATCTATGTTAGCTGAACTTAAACCAGAAATTTTTGAACATCTCTGTAAATTATTGATGCCCATTAATTGTTCTCTCTCCGCGTCTAGGAAAAGTAGATAAAGTTTTGTTTGAGAAATCAGTTCAGGGTACGATAGGACTGATATACCTGAAAAAGGTAAAAGCCCTTTAAAAAATAATAATAATAAAAAAAAGTGTTTAATAATTACAGTGTAATTATCCGTGAGGTAAAAAAGTTGTGACCACGTTTCTAGTCCTCTCAGCGCACCCCATACGGACTCAGACCTCAGTATCGATATTCTATCAATAGTAAGGCTGTCTGTAACAATATATTAATAATGTTTTATAAAATTTATGTAATACAAACTGATCTGTAGCCATGTAAGTCCCGGTATAGAATAGGCCACTCCATCCTTTCTCGAAAGTGCTGTAAGAGACGACTAAGAAAGCTTATGGTGGAGGGATGAGCGGCCTCTTAAAACATCATCAAAAACCAAAATGCGGTTGCCAACCTGTTTACCAAGCGTGACGAAACCCCCCTTATGGCTATGTCCCAAACTGGGTGCCAACCTGCCTGGCAAGCATTGTAAAAGCCTCCTTATGGAGGAGGATATGCCCAGCTAACGGCTGATACAACAAACTGATCTGACTTCATCCTCACCTACCATCCCTCATATGCTAACGTATAGTGATAACGCAGATACGATTGCCATTCTATTGTATATATATATATATATATATATATATATATATATATATATATATATATATATATATATATATATTATTACTATCACTGGCTATACATACATAAATACATATATAAATATAATAAACAAAGCCTGCAATGAGCCAATAGTCATCATGCGTTAACCGGGTTATCGCTAAGAGTTGTTTGTGACCACTTTGTCATGGTTGATACACAAATTAGATAAAAATATTTGCTTATCGCCAACAAACTGCGAGTGTTTAGAGAAATAAAATACATACTGATTTATTTGTTAATAACATAACAAAGCGTAACATACTAAATAATAGGTAATTAGGCATAAACATTTTTTAAGTTACCAATAATTTTGATATACAAATTGAGTCCTAGGACTCAGCCAAAAAGACATTGGAAGACAGTTATCAATCAATAATTTATATAATCATTATTGTCATAACATTAGCAAAATCATCAAGTCATTAACCTAAATTAATGGTAGCTATAAAAGATAAAATTAGCCGTGTGATCCTCGTATAGAATAGGTCATCCCTTCTTTTCGTGTGGATGTCGTAAGGGGCGACTAAGAGAGTTTAATGACAGAGGGATGGGCAGCCGCGTCCCTCTTAAAACATCTCTAAAAGCCTAACTGCATTTGCTAACCCGCCTGCTAAACGTGGTAACTACTGGCAAAACTCCCTTTATGGGGAAACCTTTAGAATATTCGACACCGATATATAGCATCGCGATGTGTCTAGCAATAGACCTCGATCCTTGTACCGGGGGTAATCCATTATATATGTTTTGTTTATTCTTAATTGCTGGATTTATGTTAAGCAATGGACAATTAACGGCTGAAATGAAGATATAAGATAAACAAAAAACTAGGAATTTAAAGCTAACGACGAATGGATAAACTATTTGAACAGTACGTCGCACTCGGGAAATAATTTTTTCGAGTACATACTATTATAGTAAACTTACAACTTTCATCCATATTCAAATGCGGCAATTCTTCGCATGGCGAAGTTAACACTATCTCCATTTTCTGCAAAGCATGAGTTCTGTGGACTTCCTCATATTTCTCCGTGGTCGGCGCTCCTCGAACTTGTCTATGTCTATGTGGTTTATTTTTCCTAGATCGCCGGGCCATATTGTGTAATGCTCTGACAGTGAATGCATACCTCTCTATTGCTTTATTTAGTATATCGCAGGTGTAGTTTGTCGGCTGATGAGTGAAAATATTTTTTTTTATATCATTTAGTACTTAGTTATACTAAATTTTGTTGCAGATGTACAATATTAGTTTTTATGATAAAGAAATTTTGGTATAAAATCATCTTTATTAGTACCATTGTCTCAATTAATAATACGTAGCTATTCCATAATACTACGTATCCTAATAATTTTGCTGATATTTCACAAACTATATTTATAACTGAAACTCAGCCAAGCACACTTATTTTGGCTGAGTTTCGACCGTTGTCGCTCATTACATGTTCACTTTTGCTGAGTACATTTGAAGTCAATTTGAACCAACAACAGAGTGAATCAGTCTGTAAAGTGTCCTGTGTGCTACCCATGTATTAAAATTTTATTTAAATCCATTTAGCTATTAAATGGTGATTGAGTCGATAGTAGGTAACAAACATACGAATAAATTCACCATTACATTTACTTATATAACATTAGTAGGATAGGAGACTAATTAATTTCTCGGTATTGTTACAGCCATGATCTATTATCTCACACTGAATGTTTTTAAATATACTTAAACATGTTTATTAAGAATAATGTCCAATAATAATAATTATAATAAATTATTTATAATAAACTGTGCCTTTTCTTACTTTGTTTTATTTAAAATATAGTAAATAGAAATATGATTAAAATATAAAAATCATATTTCCACAATTATTTATAACAATCAAGTAACTATTGAAAAAAATTCAAAGCGGGCGGGTTTTGAACCCGCATCTTCCACGCCATGTCGAGGTCAGTGCTCTTATCAGTTGAGCTATCTGTTCACTAGATGTCCTATTTATGTTTATGTACAATAATATCTTGGTGATAAAAATCAATAATTTTAACAAAAATATATTTTTCTTACCGTAATAATAAATGAAGAGTTATGTGTAAAATATTTGTCTTCTTTTTTCTCATATTGGGGTTTTGGCCAAACCTCTCCCTTTGTTGGTGGATATTGGGGTCCTGGATTTACGACATACATACCGGTAGCAAAAAAATTGGTAACGGCAACGAAAATTATAAGATATCTCAACATTTTTGTAGCACAAAAAACCTTTTATATTTAAATACTTATGAAATTATCTAATAAAATAATTCTCATATTCAACATTTATATATCTTTATTTTTTTAGCTGCCTATATAGGAATTGCTATGTATTCACGACGTAATCAAACACTGAACGAGGGAGTAATCAAAATGTTTTTAAACTAAAATCGTACCTACATATATAGGTAGCTAGTCATATGTACTTGAGTATAAAGAGATGCCTAGTCTGTGGTGATTACTTGTTCAATACGCATAACCAAACATAACAAACAGAAAAAAATTTGAAGCTAACAGCAGAAAAAAAGAATGTACATAGGTATGAGTTTTAATCTGGATTATTTATAAAACATTAATTTTTATTATAATAGATATTAGAATAATGATGTCATATTATATGTAATTAAAGTCGCATATCCTCAAAATTGGTCGATAGTAGAATTTTGGATTGGAAGACCTTCTTTACTAGTCATAATTCGTACATATGAAGATTATATAGTTTTTGAAATAGAATGACATGAATAAATAATGAATTTAAATTTCTAGGGTATATTATTAAGTATTAATTTTATTCCTTTTGCTTTCAAATTAGAAAAATAACTTATTATCTATGGTTCTTAACCCGCATATACACAAGAGTTATTTGTAAAAAAAAAAAAGAAGATTTTTTTTGTATTTACCAAAGGTATTTACTTGTCTCTATTTAAAAAAATTTAAATATATTTTTATACGAAATTATATAGTAATGAGGTTAAACGATTTTCTGAAAATTTTTACTGACACTTATTACATCTATGTTACTATATATAAAAATAACTTTTGTGTGAATGAGGGATTACACTGCAACTATTGACGTTTCATTTTGGGGGCGGCTACGGGTATTGTCATTTTATGTTTAATTCTTCATATGAAATGAGATTAATTAATCCATCGATTAATATGAGAATATTATAAAATTTATTTATACCTAATGTGTTTTTTCAGCATAAATCAGGTTGGTTGTCAAACTTTATTTACTCATATAGATCGTTGGCCGTATTCTATCTTATTGATTCTTAATCTTTCGGCTTAATTTTTTCATTTCATTTACATTCTAAATAAAATTTCTTCCTAATTTTTATTTTTAAAAGACTCCAATAGATTTTATACGTTAGTTTAATATGATTTGTTAACCTGTACCACCTACCCTGTTTATTGACGAAAAAAATTATAATACTGTCCTAATTTTATATTTTTGCAATTTTGGCAATTCTATCGCAAACGTAATTAGCAATGGAACATTCGTCCTAAGTACCTACTTTTAAAATTTATGTATCATCTGTATGCCTAGTAAACTACTTGCCTTAACTGTTACAAAAGCTGTACTCTCCAATTCATAAAAATTACAATCATATAAAGATGTGTTCCTGCATAGAATAGGTCACCTCCTTCCCATGGGTGTCGTAAGAGACGACAATGGGAATTTATGATGCAGGGATGGGCAGCAGCATTCCTCACAAAGCATCATCAAAAGTCAAACTGCGGTTGCCAACTCGCCTGCCAAGCGTGGCAATTACTGGCGAAACCCCTCCTTATGAGGGATAGTTAGAAATGGGCATTTCAATTTAAAAGCTTTTATTATTTGACTTGATATTTGGCAAATTTAATAGCTATGCTGTACCATAGTTGCGGGATTGATGTGTTTGTTAGATACAAAAGCCTCCTCCAGTTTATTTCATGTTTTTCTATCCCTCACCGTCTTTAGCCATAATGCGCTTGAAAACTTTTTGATCTCATCTACCTTTTATATCTCTGACCTCTCCTTTTTGGATTAGAAATTGACAATTTCTATTTAAATTTAAATGTTTGTTCAATAATTATAACATATATTTGTAAAAAAAAATAGGCAAATCAACTCCATTCCACTATAAATTATATATATTATTATTATTAAAAATATTATGTTTATGTAGTGTTATTGTATCATGCTTTGTCTTCCTAATCATTTTTTTAATCAACCTGGAGAGGGATTTACTAGGATGATAATCCTGTCTACTATTTTATATGCTGGCTACATAGTGAGGAATGATAGATGATGATGAAGTCACCATTGGCTTATCATGATGAATTTACTATAACTATACTTTTTTTTAAAATGGGTAATAATGGTATGGTAACCCCGCCTGCGCTATCAGTATACACTGGCAGTGAGAGATGACAGATGAGAATGAAAGCTGGTCAGTTAGCCCATCCTGATGATATCAACTAAAATTAAACAAGATGGTTTCCAGGGGGAACTATGTGGAGGTCGACCTGATAGGGTATATTGCTAGTAATGGGGCTATTTGACCCCATTACTAACTATTCTTTTCTCCCCCACTATAACTATACTAATTATATCTATTATGATAGTGGTCAGAGGTCCCCATGAGAGTTGATCTTTCCCCTGGAAATCACAACAGTGTTTTAACAGCATGAAGATAGACTTGATATATAGAGCCTAAGTGCAGAAAAGAGAGTTCAATTTATATTATGTTACATTACATTAGACTTAATATGGAATATTACTAGCAATGAGTTTGTTTGAGCCCATTACTAAAAATCCCTTTCCCTCATACCACCATATAAAAGTTATTTCACCTCTTGTCCAGGCCTAAATCAAAATGATCGGGGGCCTGTTCGTATACAACCACAAGGGCGAGGTGCTTATCTCGCGCGTGTACCGAGATGACATCGGGCGCAATGCAGTGGACGCGTTCCGTGTGAACGTGATACACGCGCGGCAGCAGGTCCGCTCGCCCGTCACCAACATCGCACGCACGTCCTTCTTTCACATCAAGGTAAAGTACAAATTATTAATTTATTAAAGAAAGACCAGAGGGAGACTTTGTACAAAAGTCGATTGCTTGGGTACCTTTGTTTGTTTGTGTTTCTACCGTAAAGCAGTTGTGTTTGCATTGCTGTGTTTCGGTTTGAAGGCGTGAATTTACAGGGTACAGAGAAATAACATCTGAGTCCTCAGGAATGGCAATCATGGGGGGTATCATGGGCGAAACAGTATACTCTGTTATGTCCATGGTGCTGCTCATGTCTATAGGCGACGGTTACCACTTTCCATCAGGTGGGCCGTCAGCTTGTTGGCCATTCTAAGTTGTATAAAAAAAAACTATCAATATTTATTATCATTAGTATCCATGTGGTCCCAGCATAGAATAGGCCACCCTTTCCTTTCCAGTGGGTGTCGTAAGAGGCGACTAAGGAGGGCAATAGATGGGCATCAGTGTCCCTCTTAAAACATTTCCAAAGCCTAACTGTGCTTGCTGATCTGCCTACTAAGCATGACAACTACTGGCAAAACGTCCCAAGGGGGAGGCTTATGATCAGCAGTGGACCATTAAGGGCTGATATGATGATGATGATTATCATTAGTATTTTTTTATAATATACCACTGTGTCATTGTAGCCTACAACACTAGAGGTGTCATGTGTGAGTTGTCGACCCTGAAGAAACTACCACAACTATAAGAAATTTAGATTTGATTGTTAAAGCATTTTGAGATTCGCGGCATAAATTACCTTATCTTTCTTACCGTCATGATAGAAAAATCTATTAAAACCGACATAGTTTACATGAATAAAAAAAAAAATGAGTATTAGATAGAAAGACAGATAAATAATTTATTTAAGTATTTAAATATTTAATTATTAAAGTTAATGTGAGACCAACGAGGTATTTGATTAATCCCTTCAGAACTGCTAACGTAATTGTGCCACAAAAAATATAGATCAGTTGAAGTTCTCATTTAAAATTTGCTTAAAAGGCAACGAAAAAAAAATTGTAATTTTTTCAAGAAAATCTATCATCAACAAAAACAATTTAAGTATAGTTTTAGTAAAATTTTAATATTTCATAGTTATATACAAAGATCACGTCAATATCGTCAAATGTCTTCAAAAAAAGGACTAAAGCTAAAGAAGTTTCTTCAGGGTTGGCAGCGCGTGCGTAATGCTCCTGGTATTGTAGACGTTCATAGGCTACAGTAAAATGGATGTTGAAAACATAATATGTATTTTATTGTTCTCGTCGTTCTTATAAATATATGATAGTTTAGCCGCATTTGCATCGCAATTATCACAGTTTTCAACACGCTTACCATCAGACGGATTGTATGTTTGTTAGCTTTTATGTTATAAAAGAAAAACAAAGGAACCAATTTTGCTATATGCTTCTTTACCACCTCAGTGATATAAAAAATATTGGCAAGTAGAATGCTTCTATTAAAAGGGCGCCAAAGATGTCGACGTTATCCCGTATTTATGATTTTTTTTTTTGTATCATCACGTCTTATATTTCTGTATGTGCAGCGCGCTAACATCTGGCTGGCGGCAGTCACCAAACAGAATGTGAACGCTGCGATGGTATTCGAGTTCTTGCTCAAGATAATTGACGTAATGCAGTCCTATTTCGGCAAGATATCCGAAGAGAATATCAAGAATAATTTTGTCCTCATCTATGAACTTTTGGATGGTGCGTAATTTTTTATAATTGTTGATAATGAAAAGGTGGGATTGCTGCTCTAACGGTTTACGTTGGCAAGGCATCGGTGAGGCATGATAGGTGAGGATGAAAGCAGGTCAGTTGGCCCATCGTGATGAATTAATCAAGAATTAACCACTATGGTTTCCAGTGGGGGTCATACAGAAGTCGCCCAGATAGAGTATATTGCTAGCAATTATGTCTTCAAAGCTTCATCTGCTACCTCATTGCCACCTCATTAGACTCATTGATGAAATTGATCAATCTAGATCTGGTATGGACAGTTGTCCTTTTCATCATCTTTCAGCCACCTTATGAGTATTTTGCAGAAGTGTACAAATATAGGTTTTCTGTTTTCAGAGATCCTGGACTTTGGTTACCCACAAAACTCCGACACGGGTGTTTTGAAAACATTCATTACACAGCAGGGCATCAAATCTGCGTCCAAAGAAGAGCAGGCACAGATTACGTCACAGGTAAATTCATTGTTCAGCTATTTGAGATAGAGAAAAAGAGAGAGAGAGAGGGAAGGAACAAAGAGAGAGAGAGAGAGAGGGAGAGAGAAAATGCTTTATTTGCATCACACAATATGTTAGAATAAGAATAATATTGATTATTCTTATCCGAGTTAGTATTATTCATTCTTTATTAATCATTTTTATCTCATTTATTACTTTAATATAGGACAAATTACATCTAGAATTTATTAGTGCCCAATACATTTATGAGTTGGGTCTCCTTTTTTTTATTTTGTGAATATTGTAATTTTATTAATTTATTTTTATTATTTTTTGGCGACAGGTAACAGGCCAGATAGGGTGGCGTCGGGAGGGTATTAAATATAGACGCAATGAGTTGTTCCTGGATGTACTTGAATATGTCAACTTACTTATGTCCCCACAAGGTATGTTTATTACATTACTACTATTCTACTACACTACTACTAATCTACTATACTACTACTCTACTTCTACTACTTTTCTACTATACTACAACTACTACTTTTATGGGTGAAAATGGACTGATTACTCCACCTGCGCTATCCATATTCGATGGCGAGGCACCAGTTACATGATAGGTGATGATGTAAGCAAGTCACTTGTTTCATTGTGAGGAATTCAATGAGCATTTACTGTGATAATTGCAGGGGGAACCATCTGGAGGTTTTTTTTTATGCAACTTAGAATGGCAAACAAGCTGACGGCCCATCTGATGGAAAGTGGTAACCATCGCTTATAGATATGAGCAGTACTATGGACATAACAGAGTATACTGTTTCGCCCATGATACTCCCCATGCGTTGCCATTCCTGAGGACTCAGGTGTTATTCCTCTGTACCCTGTAAATTCACTGGCATATCCCACCCTTCAAACTGAAACACAGCCACGACCTAATAGGGGTATATTGCTAGTAATGGGTCTGTTAGACATCATTACATACAATCCCTTTTGCTCCTCATTTTTAATACTACTTAACTGCTACTGCACTACTATTACTTAACTATTACATTACTATTAGTGTACTACCACTGTACTACTACTAGTAGTGGGGGAAAGGGATTGTTAGTAATGGAGACTGAGAATCCCATAGCTAGCAATATACCCAACCAGGTCGACCTCGAGATTCTGCCTGGAAACTATCATGGTTAACCATTCCTGATAAATTCATCATGATGGGCTAACGGGTCTGTTTTCATTCTCATCTATCACCCTTCAGTGGTGCTCTGCCAGCGTATCCCGTCAGCGCAGGCGGGGTTACCATACCATTTTCACCTATCAAAAAAAAAAAAACAAAATATCATATAATAGATCAGTCGGGCAACTTTTAATTGGGGTTTCTTTTTTGGATGGTAATAGAATGATAACCCCACCTGCGCTAACGGTATTCGCTGGCGAGGCACCAGTGAGAGATGAATGGCGAGGATGAAAAAGCAGGTCAGTTGGCTCATCATGATGAATAAATCTGGAATTCAGCAAGATGGTTGCCAGGGGGACCACGTGGAGGTCGACTTGTAAGAGTATATTGCTAGCAGTGGAATATAGTAGGCCACATTACTGACAATTTAGACTGGGGTTGGAAAACCAGGCTGGAATTAAATCTTGGGATTCTGCAGTCAAGTGCTGTCTAAGTTGAGACAATTTTAAACTTAATATTTATTTCATTTGTAACAGGTCAGGTGTTATCAGCTCACGTCGCCGGCAAAGTGGTGATGAAGTCATACCTATCTGGTATGCCAGAATGCAAGTTTGGCATCAATGATAAAATTGTAATGGAAGCTAAAGGGAAAGGGAACGGTTAGTTTATATAAATACAAGTAATACATATACTAGTATAAAAGTAGATAGATAGATTTTCATGAATTTTATGATATCATTCCAAAGAATCAACAAATTATAGAGAACTAATCAATTCGTAGGGTCAAAATTGTCCAGTATACGTGCAACAGCGAAATTTATTTATTTATTCATTAGTACATATATGTGTACATGGCGTACCTAAAAGCATTCTCTCCCTGTCAACCATAGGGATGGATATATATATCGTTTATTTGTTTGTTACTAATCACACACAACATGTTCATAAGAATAGATAAGATGTTCATAATACAACATAAAATTTATAAAATTGTGTTATTACGTGTGGTAAAGTAGATGACATGCTTTGCAATTACTGTGTGTACTAGACACGATTCTACGTTATAAATTAAAATATTTTCAATGTATTGTATAGATTTACCAGAGGGAGACTTTGTACAAAAGTCGATTGCTTAGGTACCTCTGTCCCATTCGTGTTTCAACCGTGAAGCAGCTGTGTTTGCATGGCTGTGTTTCGGTTTGAAGGGTGGGATATGGCGTGAATTTACTGGGTACGGAGGAATAACACCTGAGTCCTCAGGAATGGCAACACATAGGGGGTATCATGGGCAAAACAATATACTTTGTTATGTTTATGGTACTGCTCATGTCCATAGGCGACGGTTACCACTTTCCATCAGGTGGACCGTCAGCTTGTTTGCCATTCTAAGTTGTATGAAAAAAAAATAGATATCTGGTTTTTTAGGGTTTCATACCAAAAAGGTAGAAAAGAACTCTTGTGGTGTTACTTTGTTTGACTGGCTGTCTGTCTGTCGTCAAATGATATCGATTTGAAATTTGAAATAGTTTTAGATGTAGTTTCTGATATATGGCAAAAGAAACAATTGAAAGAATATTGTTAGTTTTAAAATGGAATAGTAACCACGCCTGTACTTTTTTTTTGTAATGTTTGATAATGGAATGGTAACTCCGCCTGTGCTAACGGTATACACTAGCGGGGCACCAGTGAGGAATGATAGGTGACGATGAAAGCAGAGGTCAGTTAGTCCATCGTGGTGAATATACCTGGAATTCAACACGATGGTTTCCACAGGGGACCAGGTGGAGGTCGACCTGACAGGGTATATTGCTAGCAATAGCACTGGTAGTCTGCATTACTAACAAACCTTTTCCCCGTCTCCCCACCGCCTACACTGTTGGTATACGCTGGTGGGGTATCAGTGATCACTCACTGATATGTGACGTCATCTTGTTTTTTTTTGATGATTAAAAATGGTATGGTAACCCCGCCTGCGCTAACGGGATACGCTGGCGGAGCAGCAGTGAAGGGTGATAGATGAGAATGAAAACAGGCCAGTTAGCCCATCATGATGAATTCATCAGGAATTAACCATGATAGTTTCCAGGGGGAACCGCGAGGTCGACCTGGTTGGGTATATTGCTAGCAATGGGATTCTCAGTCTCCATTACTAACAATCCCTTTCCCCCCGACGTCATTTAATGGTGTGAATGAATGAAAAACGTCGGCTATTGCAGGCGGTATATCGGGCAACACGGACAGCGACCCGGCGCGGTCGGGCAAGCCGGTGGTGGTGATCGACGACTGCCAGTTCCACCAGTGCGTCAAGCTCAGCAAGTTCGAGACGGAACACTCCATCTCGTTTATACCGCCCGACGGCGAGTTCGAGCTCATGAGGTCAGTAATAGAGACAGAATACGATAATAATTGGACTTAAGTTACTCCAAATTACGCGAACCTGATCTTACACGATTTTCAAATTTCGACGATACATTTTTTTTAACGCCTTTTAACTCTCGATTTCTCATTTACAAAATTAACATTTATGTATTTACTGCAATAATTATTAGCTATCTAAATGTTTTGCCTTTTTTTTTGGTAATTTTTCAATTTAAAAAACAGTGACAAAACATTCTAATAGTTTTTTTTATACAACTTAGAATGGCAAATAAGCTGACGGCTCACCTGATGGAAAGTGGTAACCGTCGCCTATAGACATGAGCAGTGCCATGGACATAACAGTGTATGTCCTTCTGTTTCTTCCTCATGTGTTGCTATTCCTGAGAACTCAGGTATTATTCCTCTGTACCCTGTAAATTCACTGGCATATCGCACCCTTCAAACCGAAACAGCTATGCAAACACAACTGCTTCACGGTAGAAACACGAATGGGACAGAGGTGCCCAAGCAAACGACTTTTGTACAAAGTCTCCCTCTGGGAAAATATATAGTAAATTTGTTGGGTGTTTTGGTATTTATGTTTAACAATTTATCTTTCAGATACCGTACGACAAAGGACATATCGCTACCATTCCGCGTGATTCCCCTCGTCCGCGAGGTCGGCCGCACCAAGATGGAGGTGAAAGTGGTGCTGAAGAGCAACTTCAAGCCCTCACTGCTCGGCCAAAAGATCGAGGTGAAGATACCCACGCCACTGAACACCAGCGGGGTCCAGCTGATATGTTTGAAGGGCAAGGCCAAGTATAAGGCCTCCGAGAATGCAATCGTTTGGAAGTAAGTGCTCTTTTGTGTTGAACTCTATTTATGCATACATATAGTAGTTATTTGTTTAATTTAGTATGAATATGTTGCAATGGTCATGTGGTCTCGGCATAGAATAGGCCACCCCTTCCTTTCTCGTGGTTGTCGTAAGAGGCGAATAAGGGAGGGCGAGGGATGGGCAGCAGCGTCCCTCTTAAAATATCTGTAGCCTAACTGCGGTTGCCAATCCGCTTGTCAAGCGTGGCAACTACTGGCAAAACCCGGCAAAGGTGAGGCTTATGTTCAGCAGTGGACAGTTAAAGGCTGATATGATGATGAAGATGTTACAATTTAATAAACTTTAATGATTGAGAGATGGGCAATTTTTCTTATTTATTTATTTATAAATATAATATAATAAATATAAATAATCCTTTATTTCTTTTTCACCAACGTTCACCAAAATCATTTGCCAAAATCTTGTGTAAGATGCATAAAAACACATTATACCTTTCCTAAATAGTCGAGATAAGGGTAGATAGTTGATAATCCAAAAATGTTTAAATGGCTGCATAAATTTGAATGATTTACTAATGGCTAGATATTATATTCCAAATTAATATTTGGGGCGTTTTATTTTCTAATTCATGGCGTCTGTTATAGTTGACTAATAAAAAAAAAAAAATTTACTGCACTTGTGACATCACTTTGTAAAACTTAATTTGATTATTCCTAGAATCAAACGCATGGCGGGCATGAAGGAAACGCAGCTGTCAGCCGAAATAGAGCTGCTCGAAACGGATACCAAGAAGAAGTGGACGCGCCCACCCATCTCAATGGGTTTCGAAGTGCCCTTCGCGCCCTCTGGTTTTAAGGTTCGAGTTATTATTTAAGTATTAACAACTCATTTTACATTCAATCAATTGTAAATTTATATTCTCACTTGATGAGAAACAGAATTTGTAATCTATAAATATTAAATGAATTTATCAGGTCCATTCATTTATCAAGCCAATATATTTAATTTATTAAATTAATTAATCAAGCTAATGTATATTATCAATTAAATAAATCAATCAAATATAAAACTAATTAATTATGTCAATGTCATTTAATGTATTAAGTATAATTTATTTATTTATTTAATTAACACTATGTAATTAATTTATCAAGCCAATATTATTGAATATTAAAATAAATATTTAATTTATTATTATTATTTATTAAATTGTTTAGTTACAGTTTTTCAAAATGTTTAGAGGTTTTGTTATTCAATCATATTTACTATGTGAAATATGATTGAAATGATTTCACTGATATTGTTTTACAGCGCAATGTACACCTATCCCCCGATTTACACGGTAGATACGTTCCTGAGAAAAACGTGTAAATCGAAAATTAAAAATTTTCAAGTCAAAACCGTGTAAATCGAAAAGCTTGCAGAAAATGCATAATTTTACTATTTAACAGTTGTGATTTTTTTCAATATTTTTAGGTGTACACAGAAATAAAAATAAAAATTTTCATTTGTTCTAATAGTTCTTATTGTAGCTTCGTTCATGTTATATGATTTTGCAACATCTACTACTCTATCTCCCTTTCGTAAGCGATCCAAAATTTCGATTTTAGTTTCTAAAGAAATAACTTTTCTTTTAACTTCTTTCGACATTATAAGCCTATAATTTTTTTTATTTATGTTAATTTATAAAAATCTTAATTATGCACTCACTTGTAATTTACGAATATGAAAAATTAAATCTTTCTGACACTGTGAAACTTTCACTCAAATACAATTTTCCGTAGATAAAACTTTAATTTTATGCGAAGAAATACAGACACAGTGTGCATGTGCAGCAAGTCAGCACATAAGCTCGGGATTCCCCGTGAGATGTGTACACAGCGCACGTGTTCAAACACAATAGCATTTAGTAGAGTGCGATAAAAACAAAAAAAAAAAAAAAACTTATTTGGAAAACCGTGTAAAAGCGAAAACGTGTAAAACAAGTATCGTGTAAATCGGGGGATAGGTGTAATATAAATCCGTCTGTTTTATTCGTAGGTCCGTTACTTGAAAGTATTCGAGCCTAAACTCAACTATTCTGATCACGATGTGATCAAATGGGTGCGCTACATCGGCCGCTCCGGGCTCTACGAGACACGATGCTAAGCACACATACACACACGGTCTCATGTAAGTACACAGTGTCCTCCAATACTTTTATAAAGCAATGATATTGTAATAAATATAAAAGGCAGTAGGTAGATATGTTACAAGCATGCTTAAAATGAAACCTAAAGATGATAGTACATTAGCGTATATTTTTTATTCTAGTTAGTAAATTACCGCTTCAATAGATTATATGACTAAGGGACTTTATGGTCGAGGGATGGGCTGCAGCGTCCCTCTTAAAACATCACCGAAATTCTATTTTTTTTGATGGGTGAAAATGGTATGGTAACCCCGCCTGCGCTAACGGGATACGCTGGCGGAGCACCAGTGAAGGGTGATAGATGAGAATGAAAACAGGCCAGTTAGCCCATCATGACGAATTCATAAACATTTTTCATCGTGCCTCCCACCAAATTGTTTATAATTACTCCTCTCCATCCAAAGGTTGCCTGGAAGAGATCGCTCTTAGCGATAAGGTCGCCCATTGTTTTCTCATTGTGATTATTTCTTGTAATTGTTTATATTTATAATAAGTTTACTATTGTAATCTTTTGGAGGAAACAATAAAGAGTATCTATCTATCTATTTATCTAACATATAAGTCGAGCATTCTCGAAATATGGTTGAGGTTCACATGAGGGTCTACAACTTACATCTTTATAATTTTTTATGCTTATTTTTTTAAGAGCCCCATATTGTGCCTTCTGGGAAAAGCCTCAGTCAGTCAGTGTCATTACACAGCCCATATGCGCGAGGCTGAAACAAGCACATTGTCACATTTATCATATAATTTTCAAATGCATTCTTACTGCGAATGGCATGTAGATACTCATTTGTTAATTACATTTTATGTGGCCACCTAATGTTAATTTTTTTTCAGGAATTTGCCGATTGAATGGAATCTACGCATGGGAATAAATGGCATGCTACGTAACACTATATCTAAATGTGAATATGCAGTTTCATATCCTACTACTCATTCCGAATTATGAGATTTTTTTAACAACTCACTTATGTTTATTTTATTCTCGTAAAGCTGTTAAGTATATGCTAAAAATATTATATTTTTTAACTATTTTTATTATTTTTTTTTTAAATGATCTTAGTTTAATTCTGAACATTATTGTTTTAAAGTATAAATGTTTGGATGATTATAGTTCAGACTGTTTTTATAAATTTCAAAATATACTAAATGTAGAATTCTCTTGATGCATTCTTCTATGTCGTGTTGAGCATGCTCTCTCTATATTTGGTTATTGAACACGGATTATTTTTAAGTATAATAGTTCTATTTAGTTCCAAATACAACGTGTCTAATAACAATTCAAATACATATATGAGATTGATTGATTTTAAACACCTATATGTAATATGTTATGTAGGTATATGTTCCAAAATTTATATTATTCCTTTAAAAAAATAAGCCCATATAATATTTTTGTGGGTTTTACTTTAAAAATGTATTTCCATGCAAAATATTGTATAGAAATACATCACTTATTCAGTGTAACATTTCTAAACATTCTTAGTGAATGCCAACCTTTTAAAAGGAAATTTAAAATTTCACGTTTCTAACCTCAGTACGTTGATAAATTAAGCCAGGAATGTTGTTTTATATGCGTGTATTGTAATTAATATGCAATCATGTATGCATATGTTATGTATCAATAACGTTCAGATGAATTACGTCCGTGCTAGACCTTTTATGATTGCGCTGTCTGCATATTCTTCATTTCCGTAAATCTGACGTCATACGTGACGTCACATTTCTTAGGAGGTGAAAGTTTAAATGGAATTCGTCACATTTTGCCTTCTCTCTAATAGGTGTAAAACTATAAAGCATAAAGCATTTTCGATCATTTAAACACTTCATACTAGGATTTATATTGGAATAAACAAACATGCATGAAATTTAGGTCCGAACTTTTTTAATAGACCATTGTCATTCGTGTCTATTTCAAAGGCCTTAAAATGTTACTACATACATGGTACAATTAGCTCGTAGAAGATGCGGGGCACTTATCGACAGCAATAAGCCATGAATGATGATCATTTCTCGAAGTGGTGATTATAAAGATCGAATCTCAAACACTTAATGCTATTACTACGTTTCAGTTTCATTTTGGATAAAAAATAATTAGTTTTACAAAATTAGGTTTAATAATAAAACAAGATTGTATGTACTGTAAGTCCGTTTAAGACAGCTGTTAATATTTGGCATTCAAATGGTTTTTATTGTATGATGTAAGTTCAATAAATTTTTCGGCTGTAAATTTGGTATGATTGGCATAATTTACAGTTGGTTTATAATTTCGCACAACATGGCGAATGCTTTGCGAGTTTGTTGGTCCTCGTATTGTGTTTTAGCTAAATTAAAAAAGTCGTCGTTTGTTAAGTGAAATAAAAGTGAATAAAAAACAAAAAAGTTATCTTAAAGGAAACACCTAAAACTATTGAAAAAGCGTTTAATTTTTTCATAAACTTGAAAAGTCGGCGGTCCACTACACTAAATTACAGTTTTAATTTTATAAAACTATGTAATTTTATGAATCCAGTGAAAATTTTAATATCATTATTTCATAATCATCAGGAGTATAGACTCCTTATCACTTTATATTGGACCGTTAGCTTAATATTTTACTGCAGATAAATAAAAACCTTATTGTGCAGAAATATTCTATGACAGTACGAAAATTCTTTATGATAGCTTTGATAGAAATTTATTTATTTATTTGGACCAACGAATTTGTCATTTCAGTTTTTAACAAATGAGATATTTTAAATTATGAATTCGTAAACTTTTTATAATTATACAAATGTTATTAGAAATGAATTAGGGAATTGTATACTTCAGACTCGTGTATTAACCGACTGATTTCTCTGAAAAGTATTATATTAAAATTTTACATTGTATATTTAGTACAGCTGTTAGAGAAAAATAAAAGAAAAACAGTTAGTGGCAACAAATTACGGATTTTAATTAACAATTTTGTATTACTGATATGTTTTACATTAATATATTTATTACAAACATGTATGATACATAATAAAAATAGATAAAAAAGATTTCTTTTACCCCTTAATAAAAACTCGTGTTCCTATGTCGAGATGCAAGATTTTTAGATTAATTTGCACGGTGTAGGAAAATGCAATGAAATGACCAACACAAATTCTAACCATTCCTTAGATACTTAGAAACCCTTATTTATATATAAAATTGTATGTATTTTTGTTTATACCTTATAAAATTAGATTTAAAACTGTTAGCAGCCACGAGACACGATAAAGTAAATTGGGACATACTGTAACAATAGTTGTAACTTAAAAAAAATATAACGTAATTAAAAATAATTAAAATAATATAAAATAATTAAAAAAATATAACAACGTATTAAACATTAACTTTAATTAATTAAAAATTATTTTATATCTTTAAATTATTCATCATTTTTAATTAAAATGATATTTTATTTAAATTATATATTATTTTAATTAAATGCTATTTAATTAAATAGTATTTATAATAGAGAGAAATTGCATCTCAAAATCGGCGGCCATATTGTTGCCTTGTCAAATAACATAATAGCCAATTGTATTCGTTGTAAAAATTACATATAATTTATTTCAAAAGGCAAATTCGAATGAACATACTCAATATGAGTTTTATCGCATCTCGTGGCTTCAAGTAAACCGCTTATGGAATGAACTCCCAATGAATTTCATGTTACGGTCGGTTCAGATAATGTATTAGGTAATATTGCGGTATATTACGTATATTATAAGTGCATGCTGTTATAGAAAGCTTATATTGTATCGTGTTACAGAAACGGTGTACAATAAATAATAAAAAAAAAAATTATGGTTTTTTTATTTAATTAATGTTATGTCACTTGTGGTTTCACCTGTATACGTATAGTTATCATCAAGAGCTGATGAACAACGATTAATTTTCAAAACTTTTTAATAGACTTCAAAAAGAAAGAAGTTCTCATTTTGTATTTTTTTTTATGTTTGTTACATCATAATTCGTCAGATAGATTTAGTATTACGTATAATCTAAGATCAGATCTAAACAGAAAAATATTTTTTTGTCTAAAAAGATATACTTACAGATTGGTTCTTTACGCATTTTATCAAATTTTGCTCAGTAGTTTAATTTTTAGATCAAAATGACTGGTTTTGCCAGAATTGAAAACGGTTATTTTGTGGGACACAATCTTTAATTATGACATCATTAAGTGATATCTCATTAAAGTTAGATTTTTTAATCTATTATAATGGAACGATAACTCCGCCTGCGCTAACGGTATACACTAGCGGGGCACCAGTGAGGGATGATAGGTGAGGATGAAAAGGCAGGTCAGTTAGCCTATCGTAATTAATACACCTGGAAATCAGTACAATAGTTTCCAGGACCACGTGGAGGTCAACTTGATAGGGTATTGCTAGCAAAGGGACTGGTAGTCCGCCTTACTAACAATTCTTTTCCTTCATGTTTGCTAAATTTGGGTGACCACTGTATAAAGACATAAGTTGAGTTTTTATAATGGTGTATGATGATATACCATTATAAATATGAGAATTGATATGAGATATGATTTATGCAACTTAGAATGGCAAACAAGCTGACGGCCCACCTGATGGAAAATGGTAACTGTCGCCTATAGACATGAGCAGTACCATGGACATAACAGAGTATACTGGTTCTCCCATGATACCCCCAATGTGTTGCCATTTCTGAGGACTCAGGTGTTATGTATATGTAAGTTATAATTTTTTTTACCATATTTCATCCTCAAAACTGAAACATAGCCATGCAAACACAACTGCTTTACGGTTAAAACAATAGGAATGCGAATGGGACAGAGATAAGTAAATAATTGTATAGTTGCCTTCTGGTAAATTCTGAGGTAAGTAGACACGATGTAGATGACAATGTAACACGACTATCATATTAGCCTTCCACTGTCCACTGCTGAACCTAACCTTCCCCCTCAAGAGGATTTTGCCTTTAGGATGTTTTCCTCCTTTTTAAAATCGGTTGAAAATTCAAAACAAAACTTATACGGCGTGGTGATATCATCATGAAGAACTGAAAATGTGTACAGTAAAAATAAACACATCAAAATAGTTTTATTTGTTTAGATAGATATAAAAGCGTCATCCAATTTTGTGAACTTTATGGGACAGGAGAGGATTTGCAACACGTTCTGTCTCATTGACTATGCTAATCACGTAAATAGATAAGGTCACCGGTTCTCAAACACTTTTAGTAACATTCATGATATCACGGCGCCCATAAATACGAAAATCTTTTGTTAATAAGGAATACATGCGAGTAATTCGCCATGTGGTCTCGGCATAGAATGAGCCAACATTTCCTTTCCAGTGGGTGTCGTAAAAGGCGACTAAAGAAACTTATTAGTCGAGGGATGGGCAGCAGCGTCCCTTTTAAAACATTACTAAAGCCTAACTGCGGTTGTCAACCCGCCTGTCAAGCGTGGCAATTACTGGCGAATCTTCCCTTTGTAACAAAGTCGTACCATAAGGGCTCTTTTATACCATTATGATACGGAATCCTAAAAACAAAGGCTAGGCAAGCATACACTTGCACACAATTGCCACTGTATTTTATTTGGGTCGTTTAAGTACTTATTATAATATAAAAACGCTTATATTTCGTGGCGCTTGATTGTCACAATATGCTAATCTAGAGCTAAATGTATGTAGACTCAGCTTAAAATTCTGTACTTCGTATGTGCCTAGTAATTAATCATTATATAATAATGGTGTAATATGTAGGAATACCATTTACATACTATATAAAAACTAATTTATGAATCATATGGTTTATTTACCTGCTCTTTGTATAGCCAGCGGCCGAGTGTGGGGGCCAGAATACCGTAACAGGGTATTCAGGTACAGATTCTGTCCACTTCCAATGACAGTCTATATTTATTGTATTTTGTAAAATGTAAAAATGTATGTAAAATAAGTAGAAAGAAAGCTTTATTGATAACTAAGGGATTGTGAGTAATGGTTTTAGTTCCATTGCTAGCAATATACCCTGTCAGGTT